AAGAGTAAAGAGTAAAGAGTAAAGAGTAAAGAGTAAAGAGTAAAGAGTAAAGAGTAAAGAGTAAAGAGTAAAGAGTAAAGACGAAAAGGATAAGAAAGGGAATAGGTGTAGGTGTAGGTGCAGGTGCAAGAGCAACACAAGCTCAAAGCCACTGAGGTAAAGTCAGTTCACCGGTTAGGCGCAGATACCTTAGCGGAACACCCTGTTCCGAGAGAAGGCTGTGGAGTTTCCACACGCTGTAGTGATCCTGTGGAATGTCCACAGCATATGACTAGCCTGTGAGATCTCCACAGGCTGTGGATTTTTCACGGCCTGTGGGGAGCCTGTGGGAGCACTTAGTGTTGTTGCCTAGCTTATTTCTTAGATTCTAAGGCTTCTAGGCAGCGCGAGAATACTCCGGATGCTTTCGGATGCTTCTACGTTACTTCAAAGTTCAACAAATATTGTGAATAGCTTCAAAATCGCTCGATTTGGCTAAAATTTACCCGCGTGTAGTTGCCGCAGCATGATTAGGTGAAGTGTGGTGTGGTGTAGTGGACGATAGTGGACGGCCCCAGGGGCTATAGCTTGTGGGTCAGTACGAAAATAGTGTCATTATGTAAGCTCGCTTATGAGCTTGTGGACAGCCTGTGGAATCTCTGGAAATTCCACAGCTGTGGGCATTCCACACCCTGTAGAAAAGCTTTGTGAGTTTCAAGGCTGTGGACAGCCTTACCATTCAGCAGGTCGTGCCGCTATGGTACCTAGGTAACCGGCGGTGGGATGGAGGAGCCGGCTTCCGATGCACATCACGTGATGAGGACCGTGCACCGCGGCATGTACCGGCAGCAACAGTTCCAACGAAACATCCATCTTCAGGTGATCTTGATACATCCTATACCCATCTGCCACTGTTTTACTCGTCGCCATGAGCAGCTCTAGGTGTCACCCTCAACTTGGACCTCCCCGACCTCCCCGACCTCACCGATCTCAGCGGCCTTTGCAACAACAGCCTGCTGCCAAAGGTTCCCTGCGTAGTCTCCTTCTTCAACACTCCTCCAAGCGTCTGTATGTACATCCACTCAAATGGACCTCACTGCACTTGTCACTCCTCTGCTGTATTGTGATCAATGATCAACTCAATACCGACCACTGCTGCCTTAGTCAGGGTCCTTGGCGAAAAGATGCGCTCGAGTTGTGGCCAAGAATTCGACGTTCGATAACCAGTAGTCGTCGAAATGACCACTCCAGAACACTCATGACGTATTTGGGCATGAATGCACAGCGAGACTGCCAGATTTGTTCTGGGTATGTGTAAAACTTGTTCATTTCGTCGTGGGAATTCATGCTAAGGATATATACGCAGATCACTTGCTTTTCGCTATAATCAAAAACCAGTCTGCCATCTTCAACTTCCACTAATGGCATGGTACAACAAAACTTGCCTATGGGCATACATTGACAGCAACTGGATTAATGATCTACATGAGGAATACAAGCCGCGGCAAAATGTATTTTTGGAACGAGCGAAGCGCGCTGTGGATGAGAAAGATCTGCCTATTTCACCATTTTGCATGGCCGTCATACTTGCAATGGCACAGCAAGTAACTCCCGGGCAGCAGGTATGTCTGCCTCATACTTGGTCTTATCCATTCCATGGGCACAACGTTGACCTCCAGAAACAGGTAACACTCTTTCTGTTTGACCACGAACTACCGTCTGATTCCGATCAAATTATTTCAACGTTCTACGAATATACACTTCAAGCATCGCAGACATATCTATCCAAATTTGACCAATCATACGACGCATTCGAATCCGAATTGAATATTCACCGTCGGGTCATCCCTTTGAAGCGAAACATGCTTAAGGTTCTCTCCGACGCGGTTCAACGTGCTGCTACAGGACCCGGTGACCAAGCCGAGACGGCCGCTTCTACCGACCGTGAAGCTGCCATCACCAACTCTCCGTATCCCGTCGATTTGGCTAAGAGAAAACCATTGGATGAGTTAGATAGCAATATTCTAGTCAAACGGGTGAAAAGCAGCAATCACGAAGGGAAAGAATAGAGTGATATTGTGTAATATTAAATAGAAACACAAGATGTCAATATGAATCTGCTGCATCCCAGCCGGTTCTACAAGTTATGTGCCTGTTGTCCGTTTCTTCTTCATTAAGCGGGCTTTGGTCCTCGGGACATTTTGCCAACTGCAATAATTCGTCCATGTATGGGACAACCGCTCTACATATATTGCACCCCATTTTTGTAGACTTTGCTACCGCTGAATAGCTGCTGTGATCCTTTGTGACCCAAAAGCCATCCCCATTGACCAGAAAGCTGGTACATGGCTCACATTGCGTTCTGGACATGGTTACCAACAACGGACAAGGCTTTCTTTTTCTCAACGCAATGGTTCACGAAGTTGTTCAGCCGAATCTAAGAAAGAATAAATGTAATGTCGCCTTTAAGCCTTTCGGAAGACGTGGACAAGAGAACTCGAGAACAGTCGAATTTTTCTTCGCCTGTCTCTCACCGCATTGTGATTTTTTTCTCTTACTGTGCCATACTGCCACTTTCACACAGGCCCTTTAAGCGAGACAATGCTGTCGGAGCTGGATCTTGTATGTATAAAGGCCTAGCGAGGTGCGTCGTTCAAAGCCAATTCGAAAGTTCCCTCTCACTTAGTGAACTGACAGGGCGTTCAAGCTGAACTATTGGTTATGTAGATACAGCATGCTATATCGTTTTCTTTCTAAGAGCAAAGATCATTCGAAGGAAGCTTCAAGCTAAACTGACAGTTTTCAATTAATTGACGTCATGTATCACTCACATGCTAAGATTTACAAATGAGCTAAACCCCAACCTTGAAGCAAAGACATGAATGTAAATTTCAAGCCTCCCTGTTTTCATATAGAATCAATTATGCGAGCTGGTTTGTAAACAGACGTAGCGGACCTAACGTGCCGATCCGTATTCCGGCCAAGGGTGGCTTTTGATGTTGGCCGATCAGCGTTGCGGAGCAAAACGTCATGCAGCTTTCATGTGTTCTCTACAATTATGAAGGTCGTCTCTCATCAGATTTTCGTTTCAAATTCAAAGCGGTTCTTATAATTCAACATGACGGGCCTAGTGAAGAAGATTGAGATTAACTGTGATATGGGTGAGGGTTTCGGTCGGTGGAAGATGGCAAGTTACGAGCTGCCCCACGTTTGAACATCCATTGACTTCAAACTCAGGGCCCAGATGAAGAACTCATGAAATACATCGACGTAGCAAACATCGCCTGTGGCTTCCACGCCGGTGACCCAAGTTTGATGCTCAAGACCGTCCATCTAGGAAAAGCCAACAATGTGAAAATGGGCGCGCATCCCGGTCTCCAAGACTTATTCGGGTTCGGACGTCGACGAATCGAAGTCGATCCTGAAGATATGTATGCATCGATATTGTACCAAGTTGGAGCTTTGAAGGCATTTCTAGATGCTGAAGGTGTCCCGTTGAATCATATCAAGCCTCATGGAGAGCTGTTCTTTTATATGCAGCGCGATGCTGTGATTATGGATGCCGTTCTCCGGGCGGCTTCGCATTACATGGTCCCGGTGTATGCTTGTAAAAATGAGATGCAGAAGGAGATGTGTGCAAAGTATGGGTTGCCTTTTCAAGAGGAGCTTTATGTCGATATCGATTATAATCCTCAGGGAGGACTTGTGCCTGTTGCGAAGAGCAAGACGGCTACTCCGGATATGATATATGAGAGGGTTCTGAATTGTGCTTTGAAGGATGAGAGGGATCATAATGAGGGAGGGGTCTTGAAGATTGGTTTTCATGGTCAACCTTTCAGTATTTGTGTTCACTCAGATATGGCTACGGCTTTGGATAATGCAAAGATGGCGAGGAAAGCTGTGGATGAGGCAAACGCAAAGTTGTTTTCGAAGTAAATGAATTCATAATTCTACCTCAAGAAGTTCATTTCAGATAACAAAAGTTTGTTCAACCCAGGAGAATAACATGATAGTCTCCCACTCTTCACACTGATACGAACCCCCACCATTGAGGTGAACATAATCATGGAAGATCGGGCAAGTTCCTACCCAGCTTGGCCGGCAGATGTTGTAGTCTTGACGTAGCTGTGCCCCTCTAACAGTAATGCGGGGCTTATCGTCCTTATCTCGGATACCCCCCTATTTCTTCCACTATTGGCGATCACTTCACAGCTTCAGAAACTACCTTCTCAAAAACCGCAACACAGTGTTGCGTCACACATGCCACTACCTTTTCGTCTTAATGATTCAGCATGGAGTATAAATTCGAGAACATCCAAAAAGTCCTCGTCGCCAATCGAGGAGAAATTGCAGTGCGACTTATCCGAGCCTGCAAGAATGTGGGCATAAGTAGCGTCTCGATATATACACAATCTGATTCAACATCTTTACACGCTTCACTTGCAGACGAGAATATTCTTCTTTCAGGCGATAATGCAAATGCCTATCTAGACATGTCAGTTTAATTCCTCGCTGCCGAGGGATTCTTCTAATCAAACTGTAGTGATGAGATCTTGAAAATCTGTAAAGAGTACAATGTCGATGCCGTGATCCCAGGATATGGCTTCCTCAGCGAAGATGCAGCTTTTGCTCAGAAAGTCGGAGATGCTGGCATGGTGTTTGCGGGACCGAGTCCGGAATCTATGACGGAGATGGGACAAAAGCATCGAGCACGCGATCTAGCTATTTCTGCTAATGTTCCAATTGTTCCCGGAACAGGCTTACTGGAGTCTGAAAATGATGCTCTTGATGCGGCAAAGAAGTTGGGATTTCCAGTGAGTATGCAAATGAGAATAGGTGAATAAGGCATTGACGAGAATAGGTCATGCTTAAAGCCACAGGTGGGGGAGGAGGCTTGGGATTACAAGTTTGCCAAAACGAAGAAGAGCTCAGTCCTGCATTCAAGAAAGTCAAAAGTAGAGGGAATACGTTGTTTAACAACTCCGGAGTATTTCTAGAGAAGTACTACCCCGAGAGTCGGCACATCGAGGTTCAGATCTTTGGGAACGGGACAGATGTAGTACACTTTGGTGAACGAGAATGTAGCATTCAAAGACGACATCAGAAGGTACGATGCTCCTAATCCTTTCATAGGGAGGTTGTTCTGATGCTTCAGTAAGGTTATAGAAGAGTGTCCAAGTCCTTTCGTAGAGCAACGACCAGGTATGCGAAAACGACTTACAGATTGCGCAGTTGCGTATGCATTACAACTTCACTACAAGTCTGCTGGCACAATCGAGTTTCTCGTCGATGACAAGACAGGTGGTTTCTTCTTCTTGGAAATGAATACTCGATTACAAGTCGAGCACGGAATTACTGAACTTTGTTATGGCGTTGATTTAGTCGCTCTCATGCTCCAGCAAGCAGACTGTGAGAGGGCTGGAAAGACTGGCCTCTCGTCAGAGTATCTACACTCATTGCAGAAAGATGGACCAAATGGTGCAGCGATTGAGACGAGAGTGTATGCAGAGGTGCCGTTCAGGAACTATGCTCCGAGCCCGGGACTTCTTCAGCATGTTCAATGGCCTGAGGGAAACGGTATTCGGGTTGATACATGGGTGAAAACTGGGCAACGGATTGCTTCTTTTTATGGTATATATCAAGGTATGACGATTTTGGCTTTGCTAACTTTTCTTAGATCCTCTGATTGCCAAGGTGATGGTGCATGCTATTGATCGAAACGAAGCGTGCAAGAAGATGACGAGTGTATTGTCCGAAGCAAAGCTACAAGGTCCACCTACCAATTTGTACTTCTTGAGAGATGTGGTTGCTTCAAAATGTGAGTAAATGATTCTGTTAATTTTGACTAAGCTGTGTTACAACGTGTGAGGCGTCTGCTAACGCTCCAGGAAGCATTCCTAGAAGGCGACACACTAACCAACTTCCTCGATACCAAGTTCACCTACAAGCCTTGCGCGATAGATGTTCTCTCCCCAGGCTCCTTCACTACTATCCAGGACTTCCCAGCTCGTGCTACCAGTGGCCATGGTATTCCCAAAGGCGGTCCTATGGACAATATCTCATCTAGAAGTGAGTGGTCAATTAAATGAGGGAATGAAACTTAGCTCATCGAACCTAGTTGCAAACATCCTCGTCGGCAATGATCCTGGTACAGAGTCAATGGAAATCACAATTTCAGGCCCAGAATTGCTCTTCACTGCACCAGCTGTCTTCGCAGTCTCGGGTGCTCCAGTTACTGTGACCATTGATGGCGAAGAAAAGCCGATGTGGTCAAGGATCGTCATCAGTGCAGCGCAGAAACTAAAGATTGGAAAGGTTGAGAATGGAGGATGTCGATGTTATCTTGCTGTTAAAGGCGGATTTCCTGAAATGTATGATCACTGTAGTTCTGATCAGCCTCATACTGATTCTCCATAGCCCATCATATCTTGGATCGAAAGCTGGTACCCCAAGCTTAGCATTTGGTGGAACACAAGTAAGCATATCCATTCCACTAGCTCGAATATCGCAAATGTAACCTTACCTACACAGGGCCGACAACTCCAAATGGGCGACTGGATCGAACTCGACCCCAAAACCAAAGAATGGTCAAAATCAGCAAAACCATACACCCTCCCCAAACCCTGCATCCCAGACTACGATATCAAAGAAATATACTGCATGCACGGCCCTCACGACTCCGACGACTTCATGACGCCCAAAGACCGCCAAATGCTCTACAGCACCGCCTGGAAAATTGGCCACAACTCAAATCGCACCGGCATCCGCCTCGTTGGTCCCGTGCCCGAATGGAGCCGCAAAGACGGCGGCGAAGGAGGTTCTCATCCTTCGAATGTTTTCGATTACGGGTATCCGAGTCCGGGAGGTATTAATTGGGGAGGTGACTCTGCGGCCATTTTTTCGATGGATAGTCCGGATTTGGGAGGGTTGTTATGTTCTAGTACGATTATTTCGGCGGATTTGTGGAGGTTGGGACAAGTGAAGCCGGGTGGGCATCTTAAGTTGACGCCTACGACTTTTGAGCATGCTATTGAGCTTAAGGAGAAGATTGAGAAGTTCGTTGGAGATATTCAGGCTCTTGTTGAGGGGACGTCGATTCATGTTCCGGTGTTGGAGCTTTCTTTGCCTGCTTCTGGATTACCGGAAGGTACCTCGAATGCTGTGCTGAAAGAAGTTCCTGCCAACGAGCATCGGTTCAGGGTCGTGTATCGACAGGTACGCCAATATCTGTTTCTGCACTTGCTTCATGCTAACTCATCCCAGGGCGGTGACTGCTTTCTGCTTGTAGAAATAGGACAACAAACTTGCGATGTCAGAGTAACCAGTCGAATTCGACTTCTCGTCCAAAAACTAGAAGCCTTAAACTTAGGCTTGGTCATGAACCCCAATATTGGATGTAAGCACTTCTTCACCCATATCATTGACCTCAACTGACTTCAGCAGCGGTAATGATCCAATTCAACGCCAACACCATCACACAAAGTGCGCTCCTAGCCAAAATAACAGAAGCAGAATCCTCCATCGAATACACAACCTCGATCGAAATCCCCTGTCGAGAAATCCACCTCCCAGTCGTCTTCGACCACCCTGATATCCGCGCCTCCGAGCAGCGATACATGGAAACCAACCGTCCAACAGCCGCCTACCTCCCCGACAACGTCGAGTACCTCCGAACCAACAACGGCTTCTCCACCCGTCGAGAAGTCTTCCAGACATTGCTCGAATCACCCTACCTAATAGTAGCAGTGGGCTTCCTAGTCGGGACTCCAATTCTATTCCCCTTGAACCCCATGAGCGGTATCGTAGCTCAGAAATACAACCCAACTCGAGTCTCCACCCCCGGAGGCACCATCGGCATGGGTGGTTCCCTGTTCGCTATCTACCCGCTCGAAGCTCCCGGCGGGTACATGCTGTTTGCGCGGACCATGGAATGCTGGGACACGTTCGGCACCGGAGCCAGCTTCTCGCCTTCTCGTCCCTGGCTCTTTGAACCCTTCGACATAGTGCGCTACCACGAAGTCAGTGTCTCGGAATACGACCAACTGATGCTGGACTATCGCCGCGGAGAATATAAATTCGACATCCGAGACGGAGTCTTCGATCTCCATTCCGTACATGAACGGTTCGAGGAATCGCGCACAGATCCAAAAGTCATCTCGTTCAGAGAAGGACAAAAGAAAGGTGTAGCACACAACCTTGCACTGGAGAAGAAACTGTACGGGGAATGGGTTACGGAGCAAGAAGCGGAGAAAGCTAGGGAAGTTGAACGAGTTAAAGAGATGATGGAGTCGGAGCCGTCGATTACGATTGATAGCCCGATCGATGCGAATGTGTGGAAGGTGTTGGTGGAGCCGGGAGAGGTGTTGAGAGAGGGGCAGGTGGTGGCGATATTGGAGGCGATGAAGATGGAGATTAATGTTTTGTGTACGGAGGAGGCGGTTGGGGCGAAAGTCGAGGCTATTGCGAGCAAGCCGGGGACGGTGGTGAGTCCTGGGGCGTGGATTGTTGTTGCCAAGGTGCATTGAAGTGGAATTGTTGGATATAGGCACCGCGTGAGCAAGGTTTGGAGTCTAATGTTTCCAGAAGTCGAGGTTTGTAGAGATTATTCTAGAAAGCAAAGCAGACTGCAATGGCTAGGTTTCATGCCCCGTGTCTTGAACTTTATGCTCACACACAAGGAGTGGAGTGTTCAAGCTAAGTAATTTTGTGAGCCTCGGTGTTCGAAGCGTCAGGGCAAGTCGGCCTCACTCTAAATAAGCTGCTGTCTCATTTCATGTTCTCCATATCAAAAGACTCTTTTGCTGTTTGAATCGTTGCAAGTAAACAGGCCTTCATTGTGATGCTCTGGAAACCTATTATGACAAATATTATCAAATTTTGAACGCTGCCGATCATGAAAACGACACAAATGGCTTGTAACCAGGCATAGAAACATGCTGCAGGGTAGTATAGCAGGACTACTGCGGCAACAAGTAGCAAAAAACGAGACGAGGCAAGAAGAGAAGACGCAGTTGCAAATAGTTGGAAACAAAACCAACAAATTATCCATATTTAAAACCCTCCTCCGGAGTTCCCGAAAATTTGAAAATTTCTTGCCTGTAAAGATCCTTGTGATTGCTTTATTACGCTCTAATCCAAATCGTAAATTGAATCGCGCTTGTCTCGCCCCCTTTACACTCGCTTCAAACACACGTCGCAACTCGACCCTTCACTATCTAAGCAACTCCCGATCCACCCCAGGCCGACAAAGCACCCCACGAGCAATGCGAACCAATCTCTTATAAAGTGGGAGATTGCAGCAAGCTCATCAAACACCGAAAAAATCCGTCACCGTTGCAGGCTTCAAAATCTCGAGCATTTCTGGCCACGAAGCCCAAGCAAGAGACGAGACCTTGCGTTCGCTATTCCTGTCTAGGTATCTTACTCTAAAAAACAAATAACAATAATTCGCTGGGTATTTAACCGACTGCTTTCCCTTTCCCTTTGTCTTCTATTTGTGGTACGCCTTCCGCCTTGTATAGATCGTTTGCCTCGATATATTCGACGACTGCTGAGGGGACCAGGTACCTGATGCTCAGTTCCCTTCGTAGGAAGAGTCTGATCTTGGTCGAGCTGACGTCGTTTTGTATGATTTGTTTGATCACCTGGGGAGTGTTAGTGAATTATCATTGTAGAATCTTCGTTGCGTGAGTAGCAGGAAATGGGTGCTAGGTTGCTCATCAAAACTAGAGATGTGTTATAGGAATATGCTTACGTAGATATTATTTCTATAAGCCTCAAGACTTGAGAGCGCATCGTCGATATCGGTCCCTTGTCGTTCCACGATGAAAGCGCCGTAGACTTTAAGAATGTGATCCAAATCGTCAATGCTCCATACACCTTATAGCCAATTAGCATAGTCTCAGAACGGATAGACGTCACTTACCTGGTGTAGACATAGTTTGGACAACTAAGTAAAACAGAAGAATTAGTACAATTTCGATTACAAAGCACAGGAGATAACTTACGGTCTGCTCCAGCTAAGAGTACAATCCGTATAGGTACTCTGGTCCCATCTGGCTTTTCTGCTCCCCCGAGGACCTCATTAATCTCATGGTTGACTATCGAATTAGCCTCTGCTTTCGAAAGAGTTATATGAGCCGAAGAGCTCAACCCATAAAAACTTCGGCTCTGGAGACAGTATAAAATACCAAGGCTGGATTATACATACAGTGATCTAGCACCAGAGCCGTAGGTATGTATGAACTATTCTTGGCTTCCCAGTGATCAACCATTATAAACTCCGATGATTCTACAGCCAATTCACACATCCGGAGTCTGTGTGTCGCCGCGGCAAGGCCAGCCTTCTTGTATGCATCTCCGACCTGTAGAAGTCATCGAAGTCAGTATGACTTGTCAAGAATGGTTCGAGTGGAGGGAGGCTTTGCGGGGAGCAAGGGTGAAGGTTGAGAGGTGGGTACGCACAGGTGAGAGATATCCACCCATAATTTCGAATTCGGTATTGAATCTAGCCTGTAGAAGAGCATGGTATTAGCATCATATTCTTGGCAGAAGGTGGAAAGTATGATAATTGCCAACTCAATATCGGGGGTATACTGCAATAGCAGATTGGGCTCCAAACAACGAAATGGAGGGGAGATATTACGCACATAGTCTGACGCCATTTCGAACATCCTCAAATGAAGATAAGTTATTGGAGAGAAAGATCCGCAAGCCACCAGCACAAGAGGCGTTTTCTCAGGATAGCGTTGTCGCAAAGTAAGGCGATGCGAAGGGAAAGCATTCTCGGAGGACGGCGGAGCAGCGGCTTGAGCTGAAATGTCGGAAGCCATTCTGGAAATATCGTGCGACTTTGCTGGGAATCGTTTCTTTCGAGAGTCTGCGATAGAGATCGGGAGGTGGGGAGCGGGGTGACGAATCTATAGCCTTGGAATCGCTTTGTCGTATCAGATGCGGTGGACTCAGGCTAAGGGAATGGGCCCTTACAAAGAATAATGTAAGAATAATGAGACAAGCGACTGTAAAGATGAGTTGTTGAATGGTTAAGGATATGGCATGGAGTTGTGAATTGAAGTTGCTCACTGCAGTAGTGGGAGTTACTCGTATCTTTGAGAAGAACAAGGTGGAGTAGCGTGCCGCGGCGCTATCCGTTCCAGCGAGATCTCGGCGAGGCGGATGCGGAAAATCATTACGCGTTCTTGGCTTTTATTTCACAATTTCAAGATAGAGGATTGCTATGATTCTCTTGCCTAGGAACATAATCAATCATTCTCTATTATTTGGTATAGACAATCCGCTTGAACCATGTAATTATGTGTTGTAGTGTAATGCTCAATTTACATTCCAGCTATCTATACAATTGATCGTCACCACGAGTCATCACCTCGTCACTCCTCTTTCAGCAGGAGCCCTGTCATCCCTTTTCTCCTTCGTACCGGCACTAGGAGCCCCAGCCAACCAGGCTGCAGGATCGAAGCTTTGTAGAGGATTTGCTTGAGCGCCGCCGGAAAGAGGAGATGATTTCTGTCGTTCTTCAAATTCTGCCTTCATCTCAGGATCCACTGTAGATTTTGTCAGTATTGTAGAAATTTAGCAATGGGGAACATACTGTTATCCATAATATACGGCATGCCGAATACAAGAATCATACTAAATCCTGCAATCAAGATCATCGGGTTCTGGAGCAGTGACAATGGGGAGACTGTAATTCGTTAGTGAGTGCTCATCAGAATCTGGCAACAGACAGGAGACTCACATCCAGCCCTTTCAATATAATAATCCTTCACAACCCTCGCAGGAACCTCGAATCCCCAAACCCCAACCTTTCCCTCAACCTCTTTCACAACAACAGCTTCTCCTTTGTTCCCCCACTCGTTACCTCGGAACGTTCCCCAAGCCATCACTTCCGCAATGTCATCCACTCCAGATCCATCGCTCTTCAATTTCAGCCCTTCGTGAACATCGACTCGTAGAGGTGCGAAGAAGTGGGTATGGCAGTGGACATCGAGAAGATAGCTGCCTGACGATACATTTCGGAACTCGAAGGCGTTGGATACGGTGAGAGGAGCGGAGTAGTGGTGCGAAAGTGTGATGAGTGTTGCATGTGTAGAGGGCGGAAGAGTGGATGGCTGTTGGAGTAGTGGCGTGGAGGGCACTGAGATACGGAGATGCGTCGCGAGAGCCGCTGGGAGAAGAAGCAAGGCGGAGAGTGGTGAGAGATGCATTGTTGCTGGTGAAATCGGGATGTGGAAAGAGATGGAGCTGTGAGCTTCGTAATTGAGATGTGGTAACGATTTTGCCGAGATTTAACCGGCTGGCAGCCAGAGTGAACTTTGATGCAGATTGACGGTCTTCTCTTCACAACGTTCGATGATATATCAAAGCATACTTCACGGCCTTGGCTTCATTCTTAAATCACATTGGTCATAATTAGTATCCTTTGCAACCAGTGTCAATGCCTGCAACTTCAAGGCGTGGATGGCAAGTGTCAAGCATGCATTTTGCATGATAGAATTCTGCACCGAGAAACTCTGTTTAATTGCTGTTGTTTTTTCTTCATATTGTAAATGAAACCTATTTTCACCTCTTGTTATCAGTTGCTGAAGTCCAGGCCTGAACAACTTGTTGCCTTTGTGGCTGTCATATCTGTCCAAGAAGGATCGACATTCTAGCTACCTTGAAGTTGAATCTGGAATTGGAACAATGAGCTGTGCTAAATGTCCTCACTCAGCTTGAACATCCAGAAATGGCTGCAGTGTGCCTAGTCGAAATTCGATAATAGAACAGGCATACATTATTAGACAGAGAAGTTCATCAATCTTCAATCTCCCCGGAATCCCATAAACACACAGACTGTCTTACTCCTTTCTTCGTCTCCTCAATAGTTCTTCTGCATCTCCCTCTTCACCTCCGGAAAGTTCGGCACAATCGGGTGCACACCTCCATCCTGTCCTGCAATCGGTGGGGCAACGTACTCTTCCCTACCCGCCTTATGAACTCGTCCATTAATCACAATAACGTTCAACCTATCATGATCCTGCAAACACCCAATATCCTCCAACGGGTCACCATCCACCAATATAGAATCTGCAAAAAATCCCTCTTTGATTTTTCCCAACTCATTTTCTCGCATAAAGAGTTTTGCTACACCCGCTGTTGCTGCAATGATGGCTTCCATGGGCGTGAAGCCTAGCAGATTGACGAAATGGGAGAGATCACGAGCATATGTTCCGTGAGGTGTCCATGCGAAGCCATAGTCACCTCCGGGAAGAACCGTGATTCCGCGGCGGTGCATCTCACGGAGACCACGGATGGAGGCATCGTATTCTTTTTGGTAACCTACTTGTTGAGCTTTCTCGTTTGGGTAACCGAACGCTGCTGCGTCGTGGACTATTGTTTCTTAGCACACCTTAGAGGCCAGAGAGACGAGGAAGGTTTACGAGTAGCAATGAGCCAATTAATCCCTGGTGCTACAACGTGTTTGTCTTTTTGCTTCTCTAGCATGTCCATTCCTTCTTCATCGATGTATGATGCATGGTAGATCACATCTACACCGTGTCGGACGCACATCTTTACAGAGTCGCGAGCTCGGGCGTGAGCACAAAGTCTTTTGCCAAGTCCATGGGCTTCGTCTACACAGGCTGCCGTCTCCTCATCAGAGAAATAGCAATCTTGTGCCGAGCGAATTTCTGTGATCTTCACAGACAATTATTAGTTTGAATTTTGGAAAGAAAAGGGAACATACTTCTTCGCCGCTCATACTCAGCTTGATCTGATCAACGCCAATATCAACATGATGTCGGATCACTTCTCTCATCTCATCTGGTCCATCAGCATAAGCGGTGATTCCCGGAACAAGATCACCATCCCGTCGTGCAATCTCCTTCCCATTAGCAAGATACCTCGGACCTGGGATATCTCCCGCGTTAATAGCATCTCGAATCACAATATCCAATCTATCCTTCGCTGATGCTGCTCCAAAACACCTTATTTCATCACCATCAGCCTTCTCTTTTGCTTACAGTAATAGACACTTACATAGTATACCCCGAGTCGAGATAACACTGAGCGCTTCGTGCTGTAAGCAAAGTATGCTCCTCAACCCCCAACTCCCCAAGCCGATTCAAATCCCCACCATTCCACGTAAAATGCGTATGCGCATCTCCCAACCCACTCATCAACGTCCTCCCTCTCCCATGAAAGACTCTGACCTTCGGATCACGTTTCAGTTCTTCAACATTCAGCACCGTACCAACTCTGGTGATCCGCTCTCTTTCGATGAGTACATCGCCTCGATACGGATCACGGCCGCTCGAGTCGAGGATGTTGACGTCTAGGAAGAGGATCCGGGAATCAGGATGAGTGCCTAGGATGTTGTAGTTCTTGGGTTGGAGAGATGCGGAGAATTCGATGGCGTCGATGTTTTTGATGTTTCGGGGTGGACCGTGATATGGTTCGTTGTTTGCTTGAGTAAAGCTGGGGAGGGGCTCATCGGTCCTGGATGGTGCCATGGTCGAGAGGTGTTGATTTGACGACTGTTACGAGGTAAGAGAACACTTTTGGAGCCTCTGGCGAATATATATCTATTTATGTGCTTAGATGGGTGATCGGACTAGGCGTGGATTCGAGTTATCGTTCGTCCTTCAAATGAGTAGGTATGTCTGGATGGTTGATTAGTACAAGCCAAGACAACAATGGAGACCAAAACCCCGCCCTCAGGAATACGAATTATGAGCACATCATACGCGCTGTATGATGATACAATATTAAAATCACTATGATCTCGTGGGCAAGACGAGTAGTTTCTTCGTAATGGTTCGTATTGTTGTGGTTGTTTGCTGAGATTCTAAAATGCGGGGTACGTGGTTCTTGGGTGTAACCCTCCTTTGCCTAAAGTTGTCACTTCGTCTTGTCCTGCACGTAAGACGTGCATTCGTGCCTATCAATTTCTTCTTCAGGTTAACTTTGTGTTCAATACCACCTCATTATTACAAATGGTCGAAATCAGCATTGCAAGACTATTAACTGCCACGTGACAGTGGCAGGTACTTGATTCAACAATTGCTTTGGAACGCTGTTTCCTACTTTGATACAGAAGGTAGCAATGTTAGTTTACGGTACTCATGATTCTAACGTCGCTCTTGCTGATTCGAGGAGAAAACAAGCTTGACAAAGCTATCAATGAATCACGTGCAATGAGGTTAGCTGCATCTTCAAGGTAGATGTATTGGCCACAGCTTCCCTAGCGGCAACTTGCATGATTTCAAGATGAAATTCAAACAAAACCTTCAATGCCTATCTCACTGATCTTCTTCCATTTCCTGTTATCATCTGCCATGCAAAATAGATCACAACTGGACACTGAAGGATTGGAAGCCCTCCGTCCAACCAGTTTACCTCTAATGGAAACAACCTTCGGACCAAGTAAGCCCACTGGTGAGTAATATATAGCTGTTTGTACTGAATTTTTCTGCAGGAACTAGATGTCAACCGCATCAAACTCCAGAAGTATACGACAGCAGTCACAGACTTTCCCTACGATCCAGTAAAGTGGAAGAATAGAGCAATATGCTTCATATCGCTTGGATTCCCAGAGCTAGCTGCTGGAGACGCCTATAAATCTTTGCTCCTGTTCAAGCTTGTTTTGACAGAAAGTGAGACCTCAAGCATTGGAAGTTTGGGATGGATTCAATACGGCATGTCGCGGTGGATGGGCGACCCAAATTTGGTATACATACATGTTCTACAAGCCCGGAATATGCATTGACTATGATACAGATTCTCTGGACAACACCAGCTGAGCTATGCCGCAAACTTCTTCAGATCGATTTGCGAAAATCTCCTTACGAAACGTAAGTAGAATTTGCATATCACTCCATGCAACGAACTTATGATGTCTGAAACTTCTGCTGATGTCTATCTCACGAGAGCCCTATGCTGACAATTCTCACGGCAGACACGACATTTTACTCAGCGCCCTTTGCTATATCGGCGCCGTTCACGATGCCAAGAAATTATGCGCAGAACCGCTACGACTTTACCCTTCAGATGTAAGCTTCTCGAATTGGGTTCATAGACTGAATACTAGATATGACGCCATTGAGGCAACCGCAGGATCACAAGTCTTACAGCCTGGACTGGCATTCGAAGCAAGTCTCCGAAAGAACCAAGCATGTGGTGCTGTTCGGATGGTTCTCTATCCTTGGATCCCGAAGAAGTTCCTAGTTCGTCCACCAGAATTGATACTTCAAGTCAACAAAGATCTTGAAGAAGTTTCGAACGGATTACTGGAAGTCAAGAAGTCAACAATCGGTAATAATCTTTTGAACGCACACACAACGAACCTTGGAATTTTTGTCAGGAAGGATGTCAAGAGAAACGAAGTTGTTCTGCAATCTCCTGGTCCTCTTGGAGTCACTGCCAGGAATACTTATGCCCACATTCGCCTCTTGACGCAAACTACCTCTGACTACTGTTACAACTGTGGAGTGCTTCTGAAGAAGGTAGGACCGGACTCTGATCCCTTCAACCTGAAATGCTGCCCGCTCTACTATCGCTTCTGTTCCGGTTACTGCGCTGGAATGGCTGATGCCTTGTACCACAAACCCATGTGCGGGAAGAAAATTGGCAAATATCACCAAAGGGCAAAAGAAGCAACCACGCTCGATGTTGAATTGTCACCATTTTCGGATCTAGTCTGGCTTCGAATTTTAGCCATCCGTCTTCAACAAAGCGGCCATCCTCGACAATTCTTTCCTGGCTAAATTGTCGGCTCAGTATGGCTACGCCAAAGGCCAGTTGTTGAGTTTTGAAGCACAAGTCTTAGCTCCTATCAAAGTTGTTCAAACCTTAGGAGTCGATGTCATTGCGAACCTCGATTACGATTTCTGGGTTCTGAACATCATTTGGTACGTCTGCATAGTCTTTGGATCCGAGTGATCTGAAATGATGAAAAACGCCAATTGCTGACTATAATTCTAGGCACCGTATGCGCGACAATTGGGCCTTTCATTATTCAAACTCCAATCGCGACTCTATCGATACTGTGTCTTGCATGTCACCGTACAATTTCCTGAACCACAGCTGCGATCCCATGCTTCATGTCGACAGTGCAACTATGGGCAGGAACACTTTCAAGACCTGGTATGCGTCTAGGGATATCAAAGCTGGGGAGGAGGTCTTTATCACGTACGTCAGCTATAAGATGCCGAAGCGAGACAGGCAGATTGCTCTTGAGCCATATCTGGCTGGAAAATGTACTTGCAGCAGGTGCCAGAGTGAGGTCTGAAATGGCGATGAAGCTGAATCTACCCGTTTCCACCACTATCTGTAGTACGTCCTGGTTTAACATATTCATAATGTACTGCATAATGTACTGTCTCCAGTTTAACACTTAGGAAAATGGAAAGTCGAAGAAATAGAGAATATCTGAAGTGAAAAGAGTCTTTTTCTACAAGCTCCATAGCACATCTTTCGTAATACTTTCCTTACATAAGTAATTGACATTGTCTTTTCTAATTACCCTGAAGTAAAGCAGATTTGCGGACTCTCCACTCTGCAGCGGGTAAGTAGCGGGGTGAGAAAGTGGGGCTTCTTGGCGGAAATGCACCTAGACCTTCCTCCCAACTCAAAACTTATAAAGCCATAAACGACAACAATACATCACCATTCATGTCTTCAGCATCCCACTCAGCCAAAGCCACCAAGAAGAGTGCTTTCTCTTGTGACCAATGTCGAAAGAGGAAGGTGAGATGCGGAGGGGAGCAGCCAAGTTGTCGACGCTGCACCGTTCGCAATGATACTTGCATGTACAAATTATCGCCAACACTTTCATATACCGAGAGGCTCGAGAACAAAGTGAAAGATTTGGAAGCGCGATTGTCACAGTTCCAGCAGCTGGATAGTAAGCAAAATGGGACGAAAGATTCGTTGTCATCTTTGCATCCATGGTCACCTGATGAGAAGTCTTCATCTGATCGAGCAGAAACCTTCAAAGGGCTCAAGGTCGATGACAAGGGAGCAATAACGTACCACGGGACAACGAGCTTCTTTCAGCTTCCAACGTCAACGGATAATGGGCCATTCGATTCTGCATCTTCGGACAAGTCAGATTTGACTGCTGAGAGCATTGGACGAAGAGAAAGGCTCGTGAGAAATGCTTGGGAGCAACGCGCTTTGGAAACCCTAGCAGAGACTCCAGTACGTATTTTGGTCATCGTGTAGCTCTAAGCTCATCAATTGCCTGTGCAGGAACCTTTCCAATATCTACTGAAAGCTCATTGGTGTTGGATTCAACCACTGTTCAATTTTGTGTATCGACCAGCATTCACACGTAGGTCATAGCCTATTCAGTATAAGACAGTTATTGACTGGTGGTATTTAGGAGACATGGAAGTCCTCGGACCATATTATTCCCATACCCTACTCAACGCTATGCCCTCACATTCAGTGCGCTGGTGCAAGAACGATCAACAAATTTCACACTTGCTCGCACCGTATGAGAATGGCCAACTATTCTCTCGACAGGCGCGTACTTTAGTATTTGAAGACTTGACCCAAGGACATAGCAGTGTCCCAACTGTTCAAACATTGCTCTTGCTCAGTGCCCAAGAATGCAGTGCAGGCAACAGAACACAAGCATGGCTCTACAGTGGTATGGCGTTTCGACTGATTGAAGACATGGGTATATGTATCGATGGACAGAAATATGCCGGAAGTGTACGACTATCAGATGAAGATATTGAGATTCGCCATCGACTTTTCTGGAGTTGCTTTTTCTGGGATAAGATAATCAGTCTGTACCTTGGACGATCGCCCACCCTTCAGCACTCAAGTATCAGCCCTCCGCAAATCATGCGCAAGTTCCCGTCAATACCTGGAATTCCTAGAGATAGCTAACTTATCTGCAGTTGATGACTCCGCAGAAACCGAGCTTTGGACACCTCACGGTATTGTTTATCCTGACAATGTGGAATATCCTCCAACACAAGCCCACTCGATATCATGCTTCACCAGAATGTGCCGCCTTTCGGAGATCTTCAACCGAATCCTAATTAATATGTACGATCCGCTGGGAAGAAATACTGAAGCTGATATTCGGGATTGTGTGCTAAAGGAAGGAGAGAACCTGAAAGTCTGGTGGAACGACTTACCAAACTTTCTCCAAATCGAAGCCAAAGCACTGCCGCCACACTGTCCACCGAGTCATATAGTTACTCTCAAGTAAGCCGCAAGTTTCGGTCAAAAGAAATACTAACATTTTCAGTTGTTTGTATCACACTTTCAAGATCCTACTTTATCGTCCCATGCTCTCTCACAGGTCGAAGCAACAAGCTCCTGATCCGAACCATCTTGTCGAATGTGTTTCGTCAGCAACGACCATAATTGCAATTTTTGATCTCTTTTCCAGAACCTTTGGATACGGATACTGCATTCTGTCACTATCCTATAGTGTATATACTGCGGCTTCTATGTTTCTCTTACAAATCCAAGCAGCTGCATCTCCCGATGAACAAGCCATGAACCGACTTGCGTTCTGTATACAGTCTCTCGAGCGAATCACCTCTTACAATCCAGGCATGTAAAATTTCTTTGTCACTTGGTGGTTTGCTAACCCTCTGTGTAGTCATTGGAAGCTCTTTGCAATTGATAACGGAAGCATTATCGAAACTGGGTATAGATTTATCGAGCTCACGAATATCTACATCCACAAAGGAGTCGCAAGAAGATGTAGCACAAATCATCAATGCTGTGTATGAAGACAATGGGTCCGAAACATTCTATCTACCGTCAGGTTCAAACGAACCTGTCGATCCTCAGCTGCTGCAAGATCTTGCTCTTGAGAACTTCGAAGTGTCGCCAGAAACACTTGAAGCTTTCTCTAATCTGCATCCAATGGACCCAACATTCGGCTCCTTTCAAGACTGGAATTATACTTCTACCCAAGAATCCCAGTGACCATGACTCCGGAATTTCGTCATATAAGCGCCAACTCATGCGAGGTGCATCTCCGTATGGGGTTGCTGAGCTGCTCTCAAGACTCGGACGACTTGATCATAAACAGTAAATGTTATACCGCTAGAAAGCTACAAATATCATTAGTCTAACAGCGGTCGTTGAACACATTGGAGTCTTACCGTCAATCTCACTAATCTTGGTGTCGTACCTCTCCAGAAGACACCGACACCTTCCATCATCAACGACTTCCTGGCGCAATCTACCATACCGCTGTACTCGTTACATGAGCCTTGCATGCGAGTCTTCATATTATCAAATGGCATCGAAGCATACCTGTTGCCAATTTAGTCGAAAGGCAAACCAATTCCAGGGAGAACGACGTACACTGTCACCACCCCGCTTATGGCTCCAATCGTGAGTGTCGTCACAACTTGACCCTCCCATCTTGGCCAGCGCTTTGCCACTTGTTCTTGCATTGCTCCAAAAGTCGAGATCCTTACTGCGGAATTGGTAGCTTGTTTACTCATGACTGGAATCGCGCCTTTCCATAACGTTGAAATACCGTCCCTCTGCACGATATGCGTCATAGCACCAAAAACTCCTCTTCCTGACAGAACCCTCTGGCCCTTGGGTCCAGAATCCTTAATAAGTCTTGTCTTCAAAGCTTCTCCAGGTGTCACGACCAATAAAACCTCCACCACCCCGGCACTAAGTCCAGAGAGCACGTTCACCCAGGGACTTCTCTGACCTTGCTGTGTATGGAAGAGTTTATCCAAAAGGTCTCTCGAGGTCTCGAATGAAAAGAAACGAATGCCACTCTTCAGTGTATTGCTCATTGCCAATGCTCCACAGCCTGAGTAGAAACCTGTCCATCCAAAGGTGCGATAGGTGCTTTGAATAACGGCGATGGAAGATATACTGCCGTGAGCATGTTGCGGGAGTTGGCGGCGAGTTTTGATGAACTCTGCGGGGTACTAATTCTGGTGAGCTGGCGAGCTAAGAAGATGGGAAGCGTGTATATGATGGGGGACGTACCGTAATAATGGTTTCTGATGCTCCTGCGAAACCCCCTGCTATTATTTTGGTCGCTGCGTTTGGTTTTTCGTTGCCTGCCATTCTCCTTTCTCTAAAAGGACCGGCGATACAGTCGCTCTTTTGTAAATGGCAGTTTTGATACTTCACACAACACTCTATCTTGTATGCAGGAAAGCGCTTAGAGCACTGCGGTGTCTTCTCCGTGTCGGAAATTGGCGGAACCAGATCCTATCTTGCCTAGAATTTCCCGTACGTACTGCACTTGTTTTTTTCAGCTGTATCTAGAATTAATGGGCTCGGAAGTTGGCCGAACCCTCCACTTTTGCACATAGCAGATTTTTGCGGACATTGTCCTTTCCTTAAGATTTTGGAGTTGTAAGCGAATACAAAAGTCATTGTCAGGTAGTGAGAACGGGTCAATGCCACAAGGCTCTAGATTCACCAGCTAATCATATCACACCCTTAGCGTCATCTATTTTAACGATATAGATTCTAATAAGCATTTATCTGGTATCAAGCCCGGTTAGGCCCCCAAGGGGCCAAACGACTGACCGGGTTTGACGGTGACTCGCCACCTTTCCTCCTCTGAAGAAAACAACCTCGATAACTTAATACGCCATTCCGTCCGCCACCGCGAACAATGCTATGCGCTTGGGCGCCCGGGCACGCAGTACTTCGGTACTGTGTGCCCTGGCGTTTTGTTTTTTTTCCCCCTCTTGATAACACGAGCTTGTAATGATTTTTTGGTCGGAAGCGAGGATAAGCGAGGACGGAGGGGGAGGTAAATAAAGGGCGCCCATGCAAGTGGATTGTACCTGATCATCAACATTCCCATGTCAGCAAACATGTTTACTATTAATGTTCTGCAGTATAATTATGTATAAATTACGCTCATCTGCAGGAATGGATAGAGCCAGAAAAAAAATCGAAGCTTACAAACTCCAAAAAAGCAATGTACTGCGCGGAGAGGTGGAACTCACAGAAGTGTCTAGTCCTAATTGTACCTGGCCACAAGCCTTCTCGTTTCAATTCCTCATTACCTCACTCCCCACAAATCTTCAGCATTGCCTCTAAACACTCTCTCAAGCAGAACCTTGTCTCCATGGCACCACTCTATAACTTGCTCCATGAACGGTCTAATATCAAGCCCTTCAAACCGTGTATGAGGCCAATCCGTGGCGAACACTACCCGCTTCTTTCCTGCCACTCTCAGAAGCTCCTTTGCAACTATCTCGATGTCTTCATCCCCCACCAATCTACTAATCCTATATGGAGCCGACATCTTGACGTATATCTGCTCTTCTTGCAACAACTCGATCAAAGAATTGAAACCTGGGAGCGAGTAGGGGTCTAGTCTGCCAGAATTCAAGACTTTCTCGGCGGAAAAAGACATAGAAGGATGTCCAAAATGATCCAAGCATACTTTTAACCCTAATTTCGGTATGATCTCTGCAAGCCCCGCAACTGTATCAAGAGATACGTACAGCTGTAAAACCCAATCAAATTGTCGGATGAGGTTTGCATACTGTTCCAAGATGGAAGCCAGTTCTTCCATTCCCAATTTTTTGCCGACAGATTGTAAATTAACTCTGACCCCTCGAACTCCAAGTTTGTGCCACTCCTCCAACGTCAAAATTGTCGTTGTGGCTGGGTCGAAAGCTACTACGGCGCGTGCTCGATGAGGACCAAGTTGGCGGAGAGCGTTGAGCATGCAGCTGTTGTCAAAGCCGTAAATCGAGGGTTGGACTAGGACAATGTTTTGTATGCCAACACTGGATTCGAATCTTAAAGCTTCGGAGAGGAGGTGAGATTGGGGAACGTATTGGGCATCGGGGGATAATGGGTACTGGATAGGGTCTATGATGTGCATGTGGCTATCCCATGACTTTGGTGGGATCTTTCGAAGGAGGTTATGTTTCGGTGATGGCTGTATCTGAAATCTCTCGAAATTGTGCAGTGAGTGACGCCAGGAAATTCTAGGCAGGTGGAAGAAACACCGTCGAAGAAGGCTTGAAAAAAAGGTTGTGATATGATTGAGACTGAAGGACAACATGCTGAATAGGATCACCTTCGTGATTGATCAAACAATAACACATCTAGATAGACATCGAAGAAAAGAGGAATACATCGAGTGTTCAGGAAAGAAATGCCATTTTGAAAAATCAAGACTACTTGATGCTCCCACTTTCATCGTTGCTTCGATGCACCGGCTTACCTTCGGATTTACCCACCCGTATCAATTTCAAAATCTGCTGAAAATTATTGAGACCGAAGTCTTGTGGGACAAAAAGATAATAATGCCAAGTCCTCTCCACTTTCGTTCGGAAGTTGACCGAGCCTAACCCATGCTTGTCTGCAGTGCAGATCACAACCAACAATCCGCCACAGCGCACTAAAATAAGAACCCACAACCAGCTCGCTCAACTTCTTGAACTATCCCCACTGCTCGTAGTACAACGGAGCCTCGCACATTGTGGCGTTTTCGATTGTTCGTCTTGGGAAATCAGGAGATATTGATTATCTGGAGCAAGAGGCGTCCTCCTCCACAAGCTCCACAGAACCTCTTTCGTGGGGTATGAGCTCGACCCCGCTTCATCCAACATAAAAGTCCAAAACCGTGCCCATTTCAATTCTCCACATCCTCAGAATTACAACTTGCGGTTATTCTTCAGGTCCCGGAATTCAAAATGCTCGACATTAACTATTACTATGTCTTTACAATTATCGTTATTGCCTCTGGTGGAATACCTAAAGGTAAATCTCAACCTTCCACCTAGAGTTCTGGATATCTGACTTTGCCAGGTTACGACGAAGACGGATTCAGCGCTTCGATAGGATTGAAATCTTTCAAAAATGATTACGATCTCAACGCCTCCCAATGGAAGAACAACGCATCAGGACTAGCAAATCGCCAAGCAAACATCACCTCATTCGGGGTACTCGGCGCTGCATTTGGTTCAATACTTGCGCTCATGCTCACTGACCGATTTGGACGTCTGCGATGCTGGCGGTTCTTCGTTGTTTTGTGGGGTAGTGGTATCTTGATGCAGATCTTTTCTTCTGGCATTATCGGCTTTATGCTCTTCGCGAGAATATGGGGAGGTTTGGGTGCTGGTGGTTTGACTGTCGTTGCTCCTCTGTATCTTTCTGAAGTGGCACCTGCTAGGTCGAGAGGGATGATTGTTAGCATCTATATGGTCTTGCTACTCTCATTCCTATCGTTAGGTAAGAAATATGATCGTTTTATGAGTGCATTCTCAGACTGACTTGGTGGACCAGGCTTTTTCATCAACTATGCCGCAAGTGCCAAGATGCCTGCCACTCCAACGCAATATCGTCTTGTACAAGCAATTCCTCTGATTCCTGTCGGCATCGCATTCATCGGATCGTTCTTCCTGTCAGACACCCCACGATGGCTCGCATCGAAAGACCGCGGTGATGAGGCATTGCACGCACTTTCTCGGCTACGTCGGACTGGAAAGAATGACTTTGAGCTCTCTTATGAATATGAAGAGATCCAAGAGCAGATTAGAGCGAAGCAGCAAACTCTTTCACATGTTCCAGTATGGACGATCATCAAGGAGATCGCCACAATTTCCACCTATCGAGAACGATTCCTGCTCGCTATCTTCATGCAAACGGTTGCTCAATGGAGCGGAGGAAATGGGATTACTTACTATATTCCTCAAGTAAGTGCTGAAACTTTCACTTGACTTGAATATAGCTGCTGAGTTTTAATAGATCTTTGTGTATGCTGGCGTTACCGGCGGCAATACATCTTTAATCACATCCGGAGCCTACGGCATCGTAAAGCTTGTCTTTACCCTCATTTTCACTTGGGGATTGATCGACGTATTCGGACGACGCAGATGCATGCTCACGGGCATCGGCCTCCAATGCATCACTCACGTCTGGATGGCCATCTACATGTCAATCTTCGTTTCCTCCCATTACAAGTCCGCTTCTGAGGCAGCTATTGCCTCGGTATTTATCTACGCGGTGGGATGGTCCATCGGACTTTGCACAGTTCAGTATCTCTACGGAACAGAAATCTTCCCGACTCGAATCCGCAGTGTTTGTTACGCGAGTAATATGGCTTTACATTGGTTCTTCCAATTTGCAGTTGTTCGGGTGACGCCGAACATGTTTGTTAGTTTCAATGTTTGGGGCGCGTATGTCTTTTGGGCTTTGATTTGCTTTATTGGGTTTGTGATTCTGGGTCTCTGGGCTCCGGAGACGAAGGGTGTGCCGTTGGAAAGAATGGAAGAGCTTTTTGCTGGACGTTGGTGGATGGGGTGGAAAGCGAGGGTAGATTTGACGCAATTACCCACTGGAGAAAAGTTTGTAGATGGGGTTAAGGAGAAGAGCACTGCTACAGAGATTGGAAAAGTGTAGTCAGCACTGAAATTTCGTAGACACGGGGAAACCAGCCTCTGAAAATTAAGCGAGGTATATTCACTACTCCCAATCAAAATTCAACAGCCTCGGTGACAGCTATGGCCTTCGTCTCTTGGATATATTGTGCTAGGTAGTGTAAATTCTACAAGATAAGGTAATGCCTAAGATTAGATTGGCTACCATCCGATGATGGATTTCAAGCTTTCGAGTCGTTCATCGAGCTCAGGCTATAACCATCAAAGACCACCGGACTGAACGACGAAAGTCGCAGCTCATTAAAGCCTAGCCGTAGTCTGGTATGATGATAATATCAAAAACGCATGTTCATCTGATTACAAACATCTAGGCGGCCGGCGATCACTAATCTTCGGCTCAGCTTGCCAGTCACATGGGTGATGAAATATCAAGAAATGTAATGCGGCAAGCATAGTGGTACAAGAACTACCCGTCGGATTGATTAGATGAGATACTTGAGTGCAGAGTTTGAGTGAGATAAGAAATACCAGCAAGCTTCAAATAATGATAGGCGCCCATGAGTTTTTTCGAGCAGAACCAAGACCACTCCCTCAGTATACAAGCTTCTCAACAGTTCCTGTACAACAAATTTAACTACAATCTTCATCACTTTCAACACAATGGCAATCACGAAAGTACTCCTTACCGGCGCTTCTGGTTACATGTCAGTGATGCAATTCGAGTCTTTGCGTAACCTACATCTCGCTAACTCGTTTCAGTGGAGGTGCTGTATTAGCTCAGATACTCAAGTCCAACCATGATGATGTTAGGATTTCAGCACTGGTCAGATCCTCTGAGCATGCAGATATCATCCGAAATCTCGGTGTAGAGTCAATACTGTTCAAAGGCCTCGATCAGCTCGACCTGATCAAAGCTTCAGCCAGTGAACACGACCGTTGGTGTCTCTTACATTCGCAATCTATGTTACTAATAGTTCCTCGTAGTCGTTATCAGTTGTGCATCTGCGATGGATCTTCCTTCTTGTCTCGCTTTGGTAGAAGGTTTGGCTCAACGCAGAGCCAGCACCGGAACTGATGTTCATTACATCCATGTACGAGTACATATTCTCTGACCAAGAACATATACTGACAGCATTTACAGACATCTGGGACCTTAAACTTCGGAGATCATCCAATCACTGGCAAATCATTCCTCGGCATACGAACCGACAAAGACGACATTTTCAGCTGGGAAAAAGAGACTCAGGATGACTGGCTGCTGAGAAAAGTCGATATCGGTATCACAGAAGCAGGATTGAGATTCGGTGTAAAGACTTACATTGTGAATCCACCAATTATATGTAAGTGACACCCTCATTTTCAAAGCAAAGGTTTCGAACTGAACTTTGGATATTTAGATGGAATTGGTAATGGGCCGATTCATAAGCAATCGTTGCAGATACCTGCGCTGATAAATTTGTCGCTTGGGTTTAAGCAAGCGGTAGTCCTTGGTGATGGACACGGTGTAAGACTCAATCAAATGTATTCAATATCATGTGGCTCGTGGTTGATAATACTTTTAGATATGGACTATTATTCATATCTCAGATGCTGCGAGGCTGTACGACGTGATTCTCCAGAAGTTTCTCCAGAAGCAACCCATCGACTCAGGTAGAAAAGGATATTACTTTGTAGAAGCTGGAGAAACGACGTGGAAAATCATCTCACAAGCAATAGCTCGTGCTGGACATTCGCAGGGTCTTTTCGCTTCGGCGGAGCTGAAGCAGTTGTCTCCCGAGACTTTTGTCGAGAGCTTGGGTATTCCGTTTCTCAATGCTGGAATGGTTGAAGTGATTTGGGGGTCTAAGTAGGTTGTAGATTTTGATTTATGAACAGCATCACTGACTGAGATGTAGTTCACGCATTAAAGGGATCAAGAGCAGGGAGCTGGGTTGGAGACCTGAGGTACCTATTGGAATATTTGCAGATTCAATTGTGGAGGATTTCAATATCATCTCTCAAAATGTATCAGCGTAGGACAGCTTCTGTTTCGAGGTCTCGTAGAAGTCATTGGCGGCTTCTGGTTGTATGGAGGGCGCTGTAGATTCTATGGTACTCAAAGTACCTCGCGTTTAACTACCCTGTCTTTCATTTGAGACTATTTTTTTCTGCGGTACAAAAGGAAAAACTTTTTGCAATGATCGAAAGATATTAAGCTATGATGACTGGCCTTCGAAATGCGCGTTTACGGCGGACGTCAATGTTAAAACAGTCACGTAAGAGACTTGATCAATTTGAAATTATCTCAAAGTTCTCGTTACCAGCATTTTATTCTGCACAAATACACCTTGTAAAGCACTTCACCTCAGCTCATCAATTCTCTCTCCGAAGCCCTCAATTTTCATGACGCAGATTTGCACGCCGAGCGACCTCATCCTTGACGATTCCCACATTCCATGAAAGATACACCTCCGAAAACACAAGCCCATCATACGCCTCTGAGTCCGTTCCATTCATAATCGTAAAAACCATAAGACGAGGAGCCAGCACCGGCTCCGCATCACCCTTAATGTAATAGCTAACCATCAATTCTCCAATGACAGTATAGAGAGCCTTTTCTCCCTCCGTTTCATCAATAACTTGAAGATATCGGGGCTCCATGCTAGCTTTTTCAAATTTTCCGAACACCAGTTTCATCATCGCCTTGATATCATTTGCGCCGTGGAACGTGGCGGCGTTGTCGTGGAAGATTGCGTCGGGGCTGTAGTATTTTGTGTTGGGATAGAGTAGGCGGAAATCAGAAGTGACTTCGGAGATGTAGTCCTCGAGGTATTTCAGAGGTCGTATCTTGCGGGTCGATTGATCCCAAGGGCCGTGGTGTCGGTGCACTGTGATTGGCATTCTGATATTGGTGATATAGGGGCTTCAGCTGGTGCGAAAGGGTTGGTTTGCTTAGAAGTCACAGTACGGAGACGGCACATATAAAAGCAATGCAAGTGGCAGCAAGAATGGATGGAATATGATTATCCATTAATCATAGACTCTCAATATTATCTATCTTCCGCTCACATATCATTAATCATGATGTTACTGCCGGGTGACATTGATATGAATAATCGAAAGGATCACGATGACAGGAATGGGTCCCCACTTAGTACCTTACAGTCTCATCAAATTTCAGATGTACCGGGTCTGTCGCAGTAGACATGTTCACTAATAATATACTTTATACTATGCCAGTTGTTAGCCCGAGTACGGTGTGGCACGTTTAGCAAATACTAGAAGCGAGGATTATATATCGCTCCAGAGGAGAAATCTCGATATTCAGCGAACAATTTTTTGGATTATTATTTGGAATCATGGTAGATTATTTTTCGAATAAGCCATTTACTACTCGTCGGCCATTCAAAGGAATTATGCTTTCGCGATATCGTTAAAACTGTCCTCACCACTCCCCTCTCGCTTAATCTCGCTTAACCCTCCTATTCACCAAAAACCCACAAAAAAATCTCATAGCTCTCTGTTTACCTCGGAAAGAACGCGCTGCGCTTCACCGAGACCCAGAGTACGCCCTTAAATCTGCCTCCAAGACGGAATAACGAATACAATAGGCCCTCGCTCTGTCTAACCGCTCTTGATTAACCCGTGTCAAACGCCCACAGGGATACGTTGAAGCTCGTGACGGAGGCAGCGGCATATCGAAAAATTCTTTTGTTTCATTATCAGTGTTGATCAACGCACCTGAGTACCAATCCTGAAATTAACTATTGGAAGTGATATCATGAGAGCAAGTCACTGAAGTTAGCATGCCACAAAATGTTGGAAGCTGCTGAATATTGGTCTAATTGGTGTTGTAATTGGAATGATGTGTACCTAGACAAAATGTGGCAAGGGTGCTGACAGGATCTTCGAAACTACTAGTCCATCGGTTAAATAGCAATCCAACTTTCCACCCTGATGTTGGTATTCGGCACCATGCCGTGCAGCAGTGCATAAAGGGCTGACGATGGCAGTTGGTACATGTCGGCAGTTCATTTTGTGTTTCAACAACTGAAATATACAGACATCTCTCATTCTACGATGGATCACTATATCGATAGCAAGCGGTGCGTCCTCTGTACCCGAATTTATCTATGGAGGTAATTTTCAACCAGTAAATGCTTATATTCAGCTCCCTTGGTTTTGTTCATGATTATACAATTGTAACCATGGATAGAACGACATCAGCAATGGACTCAAAGTTCAAACTTTCAGAGGTAAAATCAAGAGAGGACTTCGACGAGATCACGCGCGTCATATGGGATGCATTTGAACATCCCTTGAATCCCTTCCTGCGAATCATGTTCTATCTTAAATCCGACGGGCCGGAACATCGTACCATAGCGAAGGCAGCTTGTTCGCAAGGTCTATTTGAGATACACTCGGGAGATGCAAGCAGCCGCTGGGTCAAAATCAACGAGCTAGGTACTGGCAAGATGACAGCATGCGCTAATTGGAACCTCCACGAAACAAACCCATATGAGCTCCCGGAAGATCCTCCGATTGCTACTTGGTGGCCTGAAGGGGAGGGGAGGAACTTCGCGACGAAGTTTTACACGCAATGCGTGTCTCACAAACCGACCATGTACAATAAACCACATCTTTGTATGTTCTCCGTTTTCCCCTCTTTGGAAATCTCGAGAAATGAATGCTCACAAATTTGTTCCAAGATCTCAACATTTCGGCCACTATGCCAACCTTTCAACGAAAAGGTGTGGGCGGCATGCTTGTGGAATGGGGTTTGAAGTGGGCTGATGAGATGGGTCTTGAGTCTTTTACAGAAGCAACACAAGTAGGAAAACCGCTGTATGAGCATTATGGATTCTCTGTTATCGATGTCATTACGGTGGATAAGACGAGCATGGCTATTGAGAATCCAAGCGAAGAGTGGAAAGAGTTGGAAAGGAGGCTGTTGCCCAATATACAGTGCGTATTAGTGAAACATGAAGACCTCGAAGTTGCTCATAATTGAATAGGTACATTATGCGAAGGCCAGCTAGTAGTAAACCTGGTGGAAAAGCCATGAAATGAATGTCCAAGGAAGAGGAGACAATTCAAGCCATTTCAAAATCAATCTCAACCCAAAGGTGCTAGCTAGTGCTATTATGGCTAATTACATAAAAATTCCCGTTTACTGCAGAAATATCTTGTACAACATGAAACAATTTTCCCTTTCTCGAGTGCCATATGGGGTTAGTAAGCTTGCTGCTCTTGCTCAGGCGCTAATCACCCTCGGCTCACCTGACACCTTGAAGCCATTCTCCAAAGACTAATCATAAAATAGGCCGGAGTTGATCTATCGGGAAAGCAATGTCAAATTCATTACTCCTCCACTTTGAAATTCCTAACGGTGTATCCACCGTTGGCCATACGTCGTCACACAATGCTCACACAATCACAATCTCCCGCTCTTCCCCTTCACGAAACCTCCTCTCTGCCTCTTTTCCAAACAAAACCCCAACCCCTACCCTCTGAAACCTCCTCCACTTAACACACTGCAAAAACAGCACATTAAAAGCGGCATGCCAAGGAACCACATACCCAAACTGAAAGCCGCCTTGGTTCCACCCCATGGTCGAGGCATGGAGAGCCAAAATCTGACATTCATTTTCGTGTAACCAGTATAGGGTTTGGAAATCAGGATGTTCGAAGGAAGCCCAGCCACTTATTTCTTTTAGACTTTTTGACGATGGTGTGAGGCGCTCGATGTCATTGTTATCGGGCTGTAGGGAGGGGAGACAGACGAAACGGATTGTTGGAATCTGAGGCGGTGAAGATGTTTTTGTTTTCCTGCTGTAGTATTTCCGGAAATCGTCTACGCCACCTAAGGGATCGTACTTCTCGGGTAGATCCCGTAAGTCGTCTAAGTTGTGAAAATTTCCTTCGATGAGAATACGTTGCAAGTGGCCTCGTAATACCAAGTGCGCATTTATCATGTTGTTCACGCTGAAGATGGTGCCAGTAAGGCATTCATTAGTCGAGGAAGTTGCGGACAGCAATGGAGCATCGGGCTCATCAGAATACATCTCAGATGCATCTCCTCGAGTTCCAGACAAAGAAAGCTCCACGCTATTTGGAGTAATCAGTTTGATGAATGTGCATGCCGGCGTTGTATTGCTTCTTCCCTCAGTAAGGCGATTCCAGGAAACTCGCCCAGTTATTGAGGCCCAAGACCATGTTGGCGCTCCTTCGATCCGTTGGTTGATGCTGCATGGATTCTTATGCTGCCACAAAAGGCCAACGTGTAAGTCGTCGGGCCATAGACCACATGCATACTCACCAGTGGCAGCTAAGTTGGAAGAAGAGGGTAATTTCCTCGAAGTTGCATGACTCTTTTTCATAGCTCGACCATATTCCAACGCAATACCAGAAAGTGCTTTGATCCTATCCTGGGCTGGATTCGTGAGACTTAGCGCAGAATAGACTTCGACAACGGTGTACCAGAGATCGGAAATGTTTGAGCTATCGAAATCGAAGAGACGTTTGAGAATCAGGGGGAGAGGATCATCTCTCGCGATTTCGATTTTCAATGATTCGCCACAAATATTTCTTGGGTCTCGAGATTGGCATTCAATCAGTGTTCCGAAGGGAGTGAAACAAACTATCCTTCTGCTAAGGAGCCATTCTTGAAATACCCATCCGCGTTGAAGTAGCTCACTGCTCCGAATTGTTTCTCTGTATACTTTGCTGAGATTCCGCTCAGGATAGAGATAAAAGTAGCCACGTTGCACTCCAGACTTGTCTCGATAAGGGAGGCGCACAATTCGTCGGATATCGTAGCTTTTAGTCGGACATAGTCCTTCTTCGACTGAGCCGGAAGTAGCTGCCAATGTCAAGATAGATCTTTGATAGTATTGAGCCATTTTAAAAGATTCTCTGTTCCAGTCATCGTAGTTATCTCCTTTCTGGATGATGCATAGAGAGTCAATCCATAGATAACGGACGCCAAGTCCTCGGGTGACTGAAATAGCATCTTGAAAGATTTTCGAAAGACAAGAAACATCCACCTCTTTTTGCCGATCAGCAAGATTAGACATCGTAGTGATGCATAGCTCGGTGCTTGAATTCCAGCGATGGCTAAGCGTGACGTATGTGCCTCTCAGATCACTAGTCTCTTGGAGCACGATCTTGCCTCCTTTAATTTCGATGCAGCGAGTTGGCAGTGGAGCATCACGGGCGTCGATGTCCTCTGTTCCCGACAGAATTTTGCAGCATCCAGGATGCTTCAAACATCTATCTAACCAATTTCTAACTCCCTGGAGGCGCTCATCAGAGACGCTTTTTCCGCCGTAATATCTTCCGACGACATCCCCATTAATTGCGGCACAACTTCCTGTCCAGACTAGTTAAATATGGTACTGGCACCTAGGCGCTTCAATGGCCACTTACCTGGGTCTGCAGCCACATGAAATACGAAATCATCCACCGTAGACGGAAAGAAGTACTCTCGAGTTCCAATCCCCACCTTAAGCCGGTCTATCTTCAACCCATCATCGAGTGTGGCCTCCTCGTCACCCGACCGAAACATCTCAAAATGAACCCATAGAGGGTTTCCCTTAGTTCTTTCTTCCGCCGACTTTGCTTGCTCTTCTAGGTAATTCATCAATACTGAGCAAAACCCGCAGCCTGACGCGACTGCTTGCCGGACATTGGCTAGCCGGTAGCCTTGTTGTTGAAGTCTTCTATTTCGAGGCCTGGCAAAGCTCTGGATATTGAATTTTCTGCATGAGGAACACAAGTCCATGGTTTGACTGTGTTGGTTTGTTGTTTTGGAGATTACGGGACAAGCATTGTGGAGGAAATGGACCAGATGCCGCGATCTTGAGTCAAGGATTGGATGTTGGGAAATCCTTTAAGTGACAAGGGTTGTCGCATCGGCTGAGACGCCGTCTCAGGGCGATCTCTCGACCGGGGTAACATGAAATAATCAGTGATTGATTATCAATTTATCTAATTGTTCACTGGCTATTCTCGAAAGTTTTCTAAAGGTCTTAGGGACTTTGAAAGGTAGAAGGTTGAGATATAAGGTGTTGGGTACCTTTTTCTCGCGTGTCAAAATCGGCCTCTTTTTACCCCGGTGGAGGGGCGATTCTGCCTCACCATGTAAGCGTTACTGTAGGGCGCGAGAAGGTAGCCTAGTTAAATATCCCCCTCCTTTAGAACAGCCTATTGCCGCGATTGACATGCTGCTTCCAACTTCTACCCCCACGCTTCCCAATCTTCCTCTTTTCCTATCGTCATTCACATCCTTTTGAAGTGGGTTTCATAGCCTTTATTTGCACCTTATAATTATTGGCATTAATTTCTTGCATCGGAATAGCAGCCTATCATGGAAGCTCTTGGATATGAGGACGACGAAACTGCTGGCCGTGACATCGGATGTATCAATGACGCTGCTTATACATATTGGAATCACATCGCCGACACCATGCACACTCTAAAAATTTGGTTAAGCGCGATGTCACTCCTGATATGGTCCACGTCTACCGACGACTGGAGCTGGGCGCCCGGTATACTATGTCTATATGGCGCAACCACCTTTGATTCATTGCCAATATTATGTGCCGGGAAGAACGGCGGTGGTGTGAAAGCCTTGAATCCAGACACATTACAAGATGGCTACAGGCTGGTATCATTGGTTTCCCTCTTCTGTCTGGGAATACTCTCACCGATCATGCCTATAGTCACAATTATAGAGATAAGGGGAGAAAATCGATCCTTCGCTATTATCTTGAGCATTGTTTTACTTCTTCTCTCATTGCTCAATCTGGTTTTTGTCATGGCAGGCTACTGGCGGCTTCGCAATATCGACGAAACGAAATAGGAAGCCCGTGGTACCTGATGAGTACCTTGAACATAATCTAGAGTTTGAAACGTTGTTGCAATGGACGGATGATGCTCAGGATGATGATGGGCCGCTGGCTAGAGCATATAGAGAACAGCTTTTACTGTCGCGATTTCGTGCCCCTTGGCGTCAAGGTCAATCAGTTTCTGACTTTGATCATGGGGCGGGAGAAACACCTATAGATAACGATTCGAGTCATGTCGAAGGTTATGTCGATTGTACAACGCCGGATATTATGCTTGAGCAGATAATTCACACAAGCAAGGTATGAAACCTTTCGATTGACTTCAGGAATTGCTGACACGAAAGCAAGAGCCAGGATATAAACGATGAGAGCAGCCAAAGAAGTCTCCTAGAGAACGGATACGGCGAACAGATACTGTCTTCTGACGAGATTCGTCGAGCAGTAGTAAGTGCTTTCCTCGAAATATCTCAGGCTCTATTGTTGAAGCGTTCTCACGGTTAACAGGATAACGACCTGGACTTCTCTCAATGCTCTGTCAGCCGAGTGTATTCCTACAACATTCAGTCAAATGCATCGGCTCAAGTGCGAATATTCGCTAATACCATATGGATATTATCAGTCTTACCGTTGGTTATTTTGGTGTACATATTTAGGCCGCCAACACTGGGCCCTGAAGAAAATTTTGGGCTTCCGCATTGGTGAGCGTATTGACGCAAACAGATTTGAAGCCACTAAGTTTCTTGTTTAGGTTGGCATATATGCCGGTAATATACGGAAGCATTTCTGTTCTCCGTTTGTTACTTTTCTATCTCTTTGTCTATCTTCGGATTGCAGTAGACGAGCCAATACGCGTACTTTGCTGGCAAATTTTCCCGATCCCTATCCTCAATGGACTTTTGGACGGCATACTCTTCATAACAGGCGTTCTCGCAGTTCCTGGGACTGGGGTTTTCGGCAAACACCGCAGACAGACCGATCCCGGGGAAGGTTTTTGGTCCGGTTGGAGTTTTGCTGAGATTACTATGTTTATCATGCTATTGGTATTGTTTGGACATAACATATCGGTCACGCTTGGAGTCCAGGTCACCTATAGAGAATGCAAGCTGCATCATGTTGAGAATAGGTCTCTGCAGGTCTCCGAGTCAGACTGACAACCAAGAAATACACTTGCTCTGGCTTTTAGCATCCAAAAACATATTTCATCCTAGCTTTTCTCTATTTCAAGTCAAAAACATCATCTAATACCAAGACTAGGGAATCATCGTGAAACTAATTCAAACTCTCGAGACATTTCAAGAATCTTACGATTGGTTTAGCCAGGGAGCCGATGAGCGGTGAGCTCCGTGAAATCCAGGTGTTCATGCTCCAACGATGGTTACCTCGTGGCTTTCTTGAATTAGGCATGCAATGTCCGCCGATTATTATTCTGGCAACATCCCACTCGCTCATACGATGCATGGTTCTTATATTTTATCGGTGGTATTTTCTCCCCCGCTGTGCTAGTATATGCTATCGCCTTCGAGATTCAGTCGCCTTCTTACAACTACGACGCGGTCAATGACACCTATGTGTCTTATCCAGCTATTGGGCAAAGCACTGTCTGGTCAGTTGATATCTCCGTTGTTCAATCGATCTTCTTTCTCTAACATTTGAATAGGCCTTTCGCAGTCGAGATCGCAGCTTCGATAAACACAATTGCGTTCATGGCGATATAGAGATGGCAGATACGCAAAAATAAACTAAATCCTAATTTATGGATGATTCTTCTGATCCTCTGTTTTTCTCTGTGGATGGTGGCTATGGTGCAAAATATCTGGATGGGGGCAAACAACTTTAACATCTTAATTCAGGAAAGTAAGTATTGTTTTTTTTTTCTACCTAGACGAGCCCAAGAGCACCTAGCCGCTATAACGATTCTCCCTAACAAATTGTTTCTGTCTAGCCAATGCATTTTTAGCTGTCGGTGGATTAGAGGCCGCGGTTGTTGTGTTTATGTCTAAGATTCTAATAGTTGACGCTATGTACTGGTTCTACTTCTTGCGCCGGTGCTGGCTAAGGAGGAAGATTGCTGTTGATAATGTTTGAAATACTTCTACACTATAGTAAAGATTATAACATGTCTAGCGACTACTTTGCCGAGGTAAACGCTCACAAGAAAGACCAATGGAAGGCTAAGCCAATGCGAAGAAGATGCAGCAACCATCCCCTCTGTTAAAACTCACCAATATGAGAGTGATCTAGCAGGAAGAACCCCACCATGAACTTGAGGCGATGACTCACTGTACAAATCACAGTGACAAGTATCAGAATACCCAAAGTATTTCTTTAATACATTCGGTGATTAGGTCGGTTGTTGAATCCCCCCTTTCTATCTATGAGTTGCGGTGCTAGGGAGTACGAGTACGACTAGCTACAGGTTGACTTCTACCATGAGGACGGCAATTCGTTAGGTAGAGTAGCGCGGTTTAGGAGGCATGCATGCGTGAAGTGAACACCTTCCAACGTTCGAAGCAGTAACTAGGTAGGTGCTCTCCATCAAACAAAACAAACCACGAAATTCATAACCCACTATACCTCGAAAACGAAGTCACACTCGCGCAACCCTAGCATATAACAGAAGAACAAAGTCGAGGTAGGTAAGGCCAAGGCCTGTTATGCAGCCGACGCGTGCCCCGTTTCCGCATCGTCTCATCGTGTCGTGCATTCGTTATGCATTACAGTAGCGAAGTGATGCGACCGCCTCAATTCTGGTACAATTCTGTGCCACTCGGCAATCTCTCTTTGTCGCTCCATCAAAAGACAAATATCAATGTAAGAAAAGAGATATGTAAAAAAAGACATCGCATCAAATTCATTATTCTAAAGGAGAACGGCCCCAGTCCGATCCAGTCAGCCTGTTCCCATTCAATCCATCCGTCCATTCCATATATCATAACCCATACCTACCTACTGAACGCCCTTCCACGGCCTAACATCAACAACAACCACCTCCTCCTCATCCCGATACCCCAACTCCCTCCCCTCATCCAGCACCCACCTCCCTCCCCCTTCTCCACCCCTAACCACCTCCCCCTCCCAAACCCACCAACCGCCCCTCCTCTTCCAATCGCCCCTCCCCCTCCCACGCCACTTCCTCTCCACTTTTCAAGCCCCCACCCCGGCCCCCTGCTCCTTCATCGCGACCTTCGCCTCGCGATCCGTTCGCACGCCCTTGAACATATCGAGCGCGAGTAAAGCAGTAGCACCGGTCCACAACAGCCACGAGAAGGCCGCGAAGACGGCGTCGGCGCGGGCCGCGGCGCAGACGGAACCCCGGCAGAAGAGCAGTTTGCCCAGGAAGACGGAGAGGGCGATGAAGCCGGCGAAGTAGAAGAGGGTGTTGAGGAGGGAGGTGGCGAGGTGGATGTATGGGTGGGAGACTGGTTTTTGTTAGTTTGGGGGAGGAGAGCCGAGGGATGGATGGATGGATGGGAGGGGGGGAGGAAAGCAAAGTACCTTTGGCCATGAAGCGGGGGGAGAGCTCGAGGTAGATGAGTGAGAGGAAGGAGAAGAGGGGGACGAAGATGAGAAAGTTGATTTGCGAGGGGGAGGCGGTTAGGGTGTCGGCGTCGTACCAGTGGGCGACTGTAGTTTGTTGTTAGTAGATGATTTGGAGGGGGATTGGATTGGGAGAAAAGGAGGGTTAGTTACCGTAGGCTGAGAGACCCATGACGACGATGGCGAAGATGCCTTGGGCGATGCGCAGTGGGAGGAGTAATCCGAACGCCATTTTGAAGGTATATGTGTGTGTGTGTGTGGTGATAGTGTCAAGTATCGGGTATCTCTGGTGTAATTCCAATCTTCAATGGGAGGGAGCTGCTGCAACTTGTGCGCGCGTGCGAGTGAAAGAGTGTGGTGTGAAGAAGATATATACCGAACGTCGTTGAAAATCGGAAGGAAGAAGAGCAAGAAGAAGGAAGAAGGAAGAAGGAAGAGTGAGAAAAGTCGCAGACAAACCCACTGGGTATTGTATTATTGCAATTACGGGTATGTAAGAGAAGTTGGGGGGGGGGGTGAGGACTGGAAATGAGCAGCAGCGAAGAAAGAGCGCCGTGCCTTGTTAAAGGAAAAGTTGGTCGCATAATCTGGGGGACGCTGGTCTTGACCCCTTCTGTGTCATTTTTGAAACAGCGTGCAGGTCCAGGTGCAGGTACAGGGGGAGTGCAGCGCCCGAGCAAGCAAGGTCCCGCTGGCTGGCAGGGCCAATGAGGGGTGGCGAATGGCGTCGGACCACGGTGGTGGACTTGGGACTTGGAATTGAATTGCTGCATGGAGTCCTGGCGGGTTATCATTTGATGATAGTACAGTATTTTCCGTCGCCAGAGATGCGTTGTTGCATTTTGTGGGTGAAGAAATGCAGGGGAGCGAAGGAAATCTGCTGAGATTGCGCTGGCATCACTCACTTGATGATGGAGGGGTACATACTGTAGATTGTAATCTCCTATCTACGCTACGAGGGACAACGAACGCCACACCATACACATCGCCACTCTCTCCACTCCCATAAATAACAATAACAAGAATACTTAATCCCATCAACAATCGAACCCCCCTCCCAAGAAAAGAAACCAGACTTCGTACGGTACCTAGGCAGGTAGTCCAAGGCATTCGACACAGCAGATGCGACGACGCATTGATCTCCCCAAGCCCGCGCATCAGCCCTCAATGAAACAAACATGGCGCGCCAATACCCGCCCAGCAGTCGCAAGACGCGATTCTCTTCCCTTCTCCATAAGAACCCAAGGCTTCGCCCAGACACAGCCAGCATGGCTCTTGGAGATAGATTTCTTGTGCAGACCTCATCGCAGGAGGCGGCCGAATGATCGTCGCGGCTGCCAAGGGGACGTATCCTAGAGGGTAAGTATCTTGTGAGACTGGACAAGAATTATTGTGGATGGATGGACGTGGATGAGAGAGTTGCTGTCAATGCGATTTTCTTTTCGGTGGTCTGTATCAGATCAGGCTATTTATGGTTTCGCGGCCAATGGAGGAGGTGATTGGTGCGTCGCGTCACATCACTGTCTGAAAAGGGTGAAGTTCACGTGATTTGAGCTCCCAAAACGGTCTTGGCTTGGCTTGACCTGATCTTTTGCTTCGAGACCCGGGGAAGTAGCATCGAGATGTCAATGAGGCTGCATTATCCTTGGAAAGAGCTTGGTTGAGGTTTATTTTCTTCTCAAACCGATGTCTAAAATGTCTCGCCAAGCCTTCACTTACTCGACTCCACATCTTTGCGCTGTCAAAGATTGGCTTGGAAGGTTTGAAGTGTGCTAAGATTATCGAATAGCCTTTTCAAGTGGCCTTCGGCCAAGCTATTCTCATGTCAATTTCGTGTCGTCTCTTCTGCCAAGTGATCCAGAGCAGTCTCTCGTGATATAAAAAGACGCTGAGCCAATCACAGGTCGGGAAATTAATTCGAGCTTTTGGAGCATTGGGTACTTCTCTTGATTGCAAGATACTCGAAGAAGTCACGGAATTGAGCCCATTTCTGGTCACTTATCATGTTCTATAAGCTTCACGAGCCCGGAATGGACTTCGTATCACGTGCATAACAAGTGGTCCATACCTTAGATATACCTATGCTTTCACATGGTTTTGTTCATAGACCGAATTTACCGAACTTCCTAAAAAGAAGAGTTGACAAGAACGGCTCTCGTGCTAAAGCTATCTCTCGCCTCCTACTTGAACAAAATATCAAAGAACCCTCTTGAGAGTTCGTTTATCAGAATCACGAGGGCATCAAACCATGAAAGTGATATGCTACAGCCCCTTCCTCTTATCGATTCACCTACTAGCTAGCGTAGCTTGATCCCCGCATATGGCTATCGCTTGCTGGACACGGTTGTAGATTGTAATAAGCAAAAGTGCTTCCATCAACCACTCGGCTGGCCGTATGGTTGATCAGTCGTCGTCACGACTTTTCAAAAATAAACGACAATGCTTTGCGCTTGGGCATTTGGCTCGCAGCTCCCGATCGTCTCCGACGGTGAGCAGGGAGCCGAAATGTTTTGTTTAATTTTTCTATTTCATTTTTGGTCTCTTGTTTAATCTGTGCTTCAGATGAGACGAGGTTGTTCAGATATATAGCCTTGAATCTTCTGCTTCGATTAATCGTGCGTAAAATCTTAGACAGTCTGAGTGTCCTAGTTTTATGAATTTAATTTAGCTGTGTAGCTATCCTCTTCGCTTGTCTGTGGACGTAGTGTTGATGTCAGTTGTAGCCCCTTCACAAATGTATTTATTGGGTTGTGTTTATTACATTATATACATTATATAGCTTGGCGCATGAAGTACTCTCAAAGCGATACACATTCCACACTTTCAGTTCCGAAGATACCTCAAAATGTTTGATCCATCACGTGCACTTGCTGCACATCGCAACCTGCGGCTGGGACATCCAGACTTTACATCGTTTACGGATGTCCCTATTTAGGGACGACTGAATTCCGCAAAGTGAGGATGTCCTGAGGTATAGTGACGTGCAGCAACACTTTAGTGACACATCCAGAACCACTCCACATGTCTTTTTGTCCGAGGTGCCAATTTAACCTGGATTCCCTCCGTGTCGTCATCCAGGTATCCCACTCTCTCTGCAGCAAAGATTAACATCGAGACAGTGTGAGGGAAACATATTTCGTACCAAAGTCGTACTAGCAAGAGGAGGTCATCGTTGAGACTGAAATCTCTTGGCTAGACTTCGCATATAATCAGATGCCTGGCGGTTGTCTTCCAGCGCATTCTGGCTCTGCGAGTCTGCCAAATTCAAGCAAATTCGATTTAGACATTTGATCAACAGATGGAGACCTCAATTTCGTCAATCCAACAATTTAAGACGACAGATCGTTAACAGTAGCAGTCCTTCAAAATATCCCTAGTTCCAACAATTGTGATTTCGAAACCGATGAAGCGTAAATCACGAGTGATTCTGCTCGGGACTACGTGGTATTTGGAAAGTAGATATACCCGACAATTCTGAGTGCCGGATTGTTGAACCAGGAAGCTCATGGGCCGTCGTATCCTGTTCCGAGGTTGGGGATATGTGCTGAGGGCCCTGACTTCTTGCTGGCGACAGTCCATCGTCTGATCCAGGTGGTTTTTCTGGGATGACGGCTACTTCGGGATACTGGCTGTAGTCGGGTTGTGGGCTCGAAGGGTGGAAGGGAGCTTGCACTGGGCTCCGAGCTGGGTTTGGAGCTGTATCTTGAGTTGGGGCTGGAGTAGCCCGTTTTCGTCGGAAGAACAAGATTGCACCAACTATAATGCCAACGAGGAGAATGATCCCCAAGGATAAGCCGACGCCGAGACCAATGGCTAAAGCGCGATGAGACTTCTTTGGAGTGGACGGGTGTGAGGGGCTTGGTGTTGGAGTCGGTGTCGGGGAAGAAGCACCGAGGTTGAGCGCGGGTACACCTGCTTGGCCGATTGCCATGATGTTGGAGGAGGCCTTGTTAGAAGTACTGCGCAGACCGATGGAGATCTCATTGTTTTGTAGATCGAAAACAGTGTACATGTGTTTCAACGCCATGACCCCGATACTGTTGAACGACTCGTTGGTGTAAATAGCCCCAATATCAAGCTTACATCCTTCTGCGTACGTGCCGTCCTCGCCATTGATCCCAGTCCCATTGTGGACTGTTATATCGCTCATGGGTATCTGGATGATCGTAGTGGAGCTAAAGTGCAAATCCAGAGTGGTCGTGTTAGTAAGGTACGAACATGGGACCACTGGGACAGCATCCGGAGGGTCGATTGTGGTGTCGTAAGTTGCACCGAGGGCTGCCCAGATCGTGGTTGCAATATCGACAGGAAGTGACATAGGTCCCGAGGAAGGGTGGACCTGAATAGCCTGGAAAGGTTGTATCGCCTTTTGATGGGAGAGATCTCCACTCGGACTATATGATACTGATTCCAATGGTACAGCTAGTACCGTGTCATAAAATGTGTTTGTTCCCCTCACAATTGTCGTGTCTAGAGTTTCGAGACTCCCATTTATTTTTCCTGCGTCTAATCCGCCCAGCAAGATATTTCCTGTTGGCAGTGTGTCGAGGGGATCATCGAACGACACGCTGTATGCCGTTGTCTGTATCAAGCCTTTAGAGACGGCATACGTCAAGAAAGTATTTTCTGGCGACGAGCTATCGTCTTGCACAGCCGCCTCGTCGACCTTATCGCCCAGTCCGAGAAAATTGTCACCAACTTCGACACCGTCCTCGATGAAAGCAAATATGAAATCTGCGAAAGAACTTCCATTCACGTGCAGTGTATCTTGTGCATACTCTCCGGAGTACCATAAGCCATTTCCTTCAGTGGTATTGAATTCAGTATCGGAAAGGATGCTGAAGGTAGTAGATTCGTGGGAGGAAACTTGTTAGAGTCAGCATTCTTCTTTGGGCCAGAAAACATATTCCCAATAAGCTCACATACATGAATCACCAAAGTTTACTGATCCATTCGAAATCTGCGAGTCTCCCCAATATGTGATGAGAGACATGACGACAGGCTGCCCCTGAGTCCCAACGGTTACATTGGTGTACATCCACAGGCCATACCAATACTAGCACACGAAACGATACTGTTTAGCCATTGGAACGCACAAGAGAATTTATAGGAATTCGAGACTTACAATGGTGTAGAACGGAATGTCGACTGTCATCGTACTTCTCGGTGCCAGACGAGCCTCCACTGCATTGTTTTGAACGTCATTTTGTAACGCTGTAGACGTGCACCTTGACGCGAGTGCAACAGCAACCAGCAAAGAATGGCGAAGCTTCATCGTCGTGATTGGAGAGAACTGTAGCACTGGCTAAATTGACTTGACTTAACTTCGTTCTCATCGACAAAAGATAGAATAAAAGAAGGAGTAAATTGGATCAGAGCCTTGCGCGACAGCGCCTCTCATCATAGCGGAAATTGCACTAAACCTAGAGTAGAGTTGAAGCTCGAATTGCGCGCGAGGTTACATCTGGAAGGTGGCTGAGTGAGCTGCTGCTGGCAACTGGTGATTGGCCCTTCCCCGTGTGCCTCCTCCGTGCCGTGCGCATTCGAACATGGCTTCGAATCCTTCGATGACCCTCCATTGCTATCTGCAACAAATCAAAGCGAAGAAAATGCCGTAGTCGGGACAACAAATTTTAAACGAGGTGAACGCGGCTGAGAGAAAGGGATGTAAGCTGGCCCGTGCCGGAGCTCCTCTTGAGTTGAAAGTTGGAAAAATGGATCGATGTAAGCAACTGAGCCGCATCCAATCCCCACATTTAAATTGATTATCCCCCCTTCAAATATTGGTAAGAGCGCTCGTTCCCATCCTCGAATAAGCTTGTCCCAACGTCAAATTTTTGAGTGCTCGAAAGCCCCCAATCGCTCCCAGAGCTTCTCGCACATGCTCTCGGGACCCAGAGAATGATCGATGACTGGGATGAAGATTCTTGTTGATTGCCGTATGTTCCTCATGCAGATCTTGCCTTACAACTTCGTGGTAGCTTTGAATACATCATCTTGCGGGGTGGTGATTCGACAGCTCTTTCTCGAGACTCGTGTTTGCCGATCTAGACCAGGTTCCCTTGTGCTAGACGCCTCGTCGCGGTGCGTAAGGCTGATTTTGGGAATTGATCCATGAGAGTTCCGAGAAGTTGTGATGGAGAAAGATTCGAGATATGGTTGCTGCAAGAGGTTGAAAAAGGCTGAAATGGAAAGATTCCAACGGAGCTGACTAATCAATCCACATGTCACGGACAATATGAGTGGGTCAAGTCCCAAGTATAAATTAAGAGTTCAAAGACGGTGTGGGGTAGGAGTGACGTGAAGAACAATGTAAATTTCTTATCTCAAAAACCTACTTTCCCACTTATATGGTCCCTTAAGTCTGGAACAATATTCTCTGATATCCAGATTTTAAGGCCTGTGTAGATAACACGGTGAGTTGTCACGTTGCAAGTATGGAACGAGTACGGCATATTTTGCTTGATTCGTTTTTCATATTAGTACATATTCTACTTCGTACAACACCTTGAGTACCATGATGTACCCAGCAAGCAAAAAGCCCCATGGAACAGTCAAATTCAATTCTTACACTAGACAACTATCAGCCACGAGCACCCCTCTTCACACTCATGTTCCAGACCTGCCCTTTAGCATGCAGAGGTGTTGGACACTACGCTGGCAACATTGTACATCTTCAGTCCGGAGATTTTCTCTCCAACCTTCGTCTTTCCAAGCCGCCCTCCAATCTTGCCCACATCCATAGCAACCATCAATTTATATCGTTCCGCCCCCACAATGTCCGCCAGAATCTTTGATGACGCTTGGGCGAAGAGTTTCTGAAACTTCTCTTTGTATTCTCGTCGCTCATTCCAGGCTTGCTTGACTTCCTCGGCATCATCAACCTTTTGGATGTATAGGGAAGAACCGATTATAGATGAAGATCGTTCGATTGCCTTGGTTCCGGCCTGCCTTCAATTGAGGACTTCATCTTCCAAAGAAAGAAATCACTTGATTGCATTTCAACAACTTAAGCAACATACTTTGAACCACCAAAAGAGCCAAACGATGTATCATGAACATACCTCAAAGCTATACCCTGAAAACACCTCGAATATCCTCGAAATCACACTACTAAACCATCGATTCTCCTTCTCGAACCCTCTTAAAGTCTCACACGCTCATCCGTCGTCACTCATGAGCCTGGCTAACCACCGAACTCTACAGGTCATCCCCAAAGCCGCAAATCCAGCGTTCCTCCTCGGTCTCCTCTTCGATATGCCTCGCCGTACTTTGGCAAGCTTTTCCCAAGCCAAGACTTGGCCGAAGAAATGACATAAGTGATCTAGAGCGGTCGAAGGCTTAAGATAGAAGAGGAATAGTCCTCAAGATCAAAGGTCTCCAGCATAGGCATACGAGGTTGGCGACAGAAACCCGGAGGATAAATACCCGAGAGATGCCTCGACTTAGAGATACAACCCCAACATCAACTCAACCTTCTTGTGAGCGGCTTGTCAACCTTACACTTTATACAGTTTCAAGCTACTTCGAAGGAGCATCTTCAACTTAGGTCTCTCGTTGAGAGCACTACAGTAAGGAAGGTAGGAAAGTTTTCTTGTTGTCCTCTACAAGAATAAAAAATCGGCTGCAGGGTACTGAGATGGGATAAGTAGACATAGAACGCCAGATATATGAAAGGGGGACGTCCTCTCCGTCGGAGAAAAAAGCTGCCGTTTTTGACACGCGAGAACACCTAAATCTAACGATTCAAATGTTTTATTATTTAGTAGTACACGATCCAATTCTTATACAAGAAGTGAGAAAGATGTGGGAAAATATTTAAAGATTATTGCGATAAATTTATCTTGAAGGTTTTATTAATTGTGTGTTGATTAATATGTGATTCAATCGAAATTGCGCAGTGTGTCAAAAACGGCCACTTTTTTCTCCTACGGAGAGGACGTCCAGGAGAAGTTCTCGACGTTGCTTAAATAGTTGGTTCTTCGTATACGCCGACCTGCGTATTATATGTCACAAGCTGCAATGAATAGAATTAGTCATCAAAAACTACCCCTCGTCGGTCATTTTCTTTTATCCTTTCCTCCAATTTGCATCCCCTTGCATCCGTCCAAATTCTGACCACTGAAATCCATCAATCCAGAGGGCGACTTCGGAACAACCAAGCTGCACAAGCAACACGACTGCTGTAAATTTTCTGCTCAAGTGCATCGACTCACAAGGTATGTAGCTCGAGAAACGTCGAATGAGGCAGCAGTGAATCAAGCTCAGCTCCTTCCTCGGGTCGTGATCACCCAATATGGCGTGCTCAAGTGGCTTCCTTACCCCACATTGAAGATCGCCGACCTTGGAAAATTATTAGAGGTAGGAAAGACACTTTTAAGTCAAGTCAGCTTCTCTTTGTTCATTAATCAATTTCTCTCTTCTCTCCTTCAATTACTGAACATATCCACAATGGCTCCTGTCGAATCCGAACACTTCGAGACTCTGCAGTTGCATGCAGGTACGCAAGCTACCCCTCCATCTACTGACAATTGCGCATTCTGATCCCACTCTCAGGACAGGAACCCGATCCAGCAACAAATGCGAGAGCTGTTCCTATCTATGCTACGACGGTGAGGACATGCCTGCTAAATTGAATGCTTTCTCGAGCTAATTAGGGGAAAGAGTTACACTTTCAATGACTCTGCTCATGGCGCCAGGTTGTTCGGACTGAAGGAGTTTGGAAATATCTACAGCCGGATTATGAACGTACGTCTTCTCATTCCTGCTAGTCTTTGTGCGATGAGGTCTACGGGAGACATGTCTGCAATCGTTCTCTTCGTTGTCAAGTCATGGTGTCAAAAATCGGCTCTGCCAAGCTAGACACAGCTTCAGGCTCCAAAGATCACCTCAGCTGACGATTTCGTCTACAGCCAACCGTCGACGTCTTTGAAAAACGAATCGCAGCTCTCGAAGGTGGTGTTGCCGCTGTTGCAGCCAGTTCTGGCCAAGCAGCTCAATTTATGGCCATTGCAGCAGTCGCACACGCAGGAGACAATATCGTATCCACGACCAACCTATACGGAGGAACATACAACCAATTGAAGGTCTTTCTTCCAAGATTGGGCATCCATACCAAATTCGTGAACGGAGACAAGGCCGAGGACTTTGCAAAGGCAATTGACGAGAATACAAAAGCAGTCTATATCGAGAGCATTGGAAACCCCAAATACAACATCCCAGACTTCGAGGCTATTGCAAAATTAGCTCACGAACATGGCGTACCGGTCATCGTCGACAATACATTTGGTGCAGGAGGATATTTCGTACAGCCCATCAAGTATGGTGCAGACATTGTCGTCCATTCAGCCACCAAATGGATTGGTGGTCATGGTACCACGATCGGAGGCATAGTTGTTGATTCTGGAAAATTCAATTGGGGAGCCAACGCCAAGCGTTTCCCTGAAATGGTTGAGCCATCACCAGGATACCACGGCCTGAAGTTCTGGGAGACTTTCGGTCCCATTACTTTCGCCATCCGAGTCCGTGTTGAGATCCTACGTGATTTGGGAAGTGCACTTAATCCATTTGCTGCTTTCCAGCTTATTCAAGGCATTGAGACCTTGAGTCTGCGTGCTGAGCGTCATGCATTCAATTCTCTAGCTTTGGCGAGGTGGTTAGAGAGTAGCCCACACGTTTCTTGGGTTTCATATCCTGGTCTAGAAAGCCATCCTTCTCATGAACTCGCCAAGAGATACCTGAAGAGAGGATTTGGAGGTGTTTTGAGCTTTGGTGTGAAGGGTGGCGGAGCAGCTGGATCTCAAGTTGTTGATGGGTTCAAGCTTATCTCTAATTTGGCTAATGTTGGTGACTCGAAGACTTTGGCTATCCATCCTTGGTCGACTACACATGAACAGCTGTCTGAGGAAGAGAGGTTGGCTTCTGGTGTTACTGAGGTTCGTCTCTCTTCCCCTCATAGATCAATATCTACTAACATAAATTTAGGATCTCATCCGTATCTCAGTTGGTACAGAACACATCGACGACATCATTGCCGATTTCCAACAATCATTCGAGGCGTCAGCAGCAGCTAAGACTACCGGAGGAGCCGAGGAAAATGCAGAGAAGACGGGAAACGTAGAGGCGGATGCTAAGATGGTTGTTTAGAGTGGGAAGAGGATTTGCTTTTGCGTTGCTTTTTCCATGGGGTTCATATACCTTTGCTGCGATCTTTTAGCATAAGCGATTTCCTGGATGAGGAGTGGGAAGTGAGAAAAAAGCATGTGGATTTTGAGATATGAATGCACGATCTCACCTCCTGTTCCCCAGATGCCAGATCTTATTGAGAAGGTTAACCACGTGAATGTGTACATGTCATGCTACGGGAAAGCCACACGAGTGTGAACCTCGGGTTTAGTCACTCTAACACTCATCATTGCTGCCATGTCTCCATACTTTCAGAAGACTTGATGATGTTGCTAAGTCGTAGCATTTAGGGTATTGAACGTCGATTATACCTTTCAGCACTCTCACACCATGGCTGTCATTTTGGCTTTGGCCTTGAACTGGAGCAAAGGCTGTCTGAGTGAATAATACTTTTATGAACTTGGAATTGCGTGGTCTTCGTTGCAACTTCTAAGAGGAGGTCAAAAGCTGGGCCACATTTTCTCTGTGGAGGTGAATTTCCAGGTTGGGCTGGAATTGAGTTTCAGGTTGAGCTTGTATATGAAGGGAAGACAGTAATGCCTAGTGGTGAATCAATGTGACAAACTCTGAGAGAAAGTCTGCAGGTGAATGTATATTGAATTTACATCTGCTGCGTTTTTGCTGTCCTCAATCTAAATATAAATACCCCTCAACCCCCCACCATTTCTACAATCGCACTTTAACACAGACATGGTTGTCTTCACATGTGCTTGGATACTTGGATTTGTTGCCTTATTGTTGAGTACCGTTTTTGTTTAGTTTTTTCGTTTTCTTTGGCTTGCAAGCTCTTGATTCTTGCTTTGTGGGAGAGGGGTACGGAGGGAGCCGGGAGGGCGAGGTTGTTGTTAAGATTAGTATTGTTGTCAACAAACTTTTTCTCTTGCTGCTCGGTATTAGACGTGTCGTAAAAGAAGCACGATATGCGTATTAGCAAACATATCAGGTGTCTTTTTCGGGATAGGTGATGCGCGGCAAACGGGCACCGGCTCGAAGCCCGGGTATCGTAAGGAGGAGGAGGGTCGCTTGGGGTTTAGAGATTGAGTGTGGAGTTGGGGGGGGGGGTTATACTTGAGAAGGGGGTGGAAATGGGGTCAAAAGAGTCAGTCGACTTCGAAAGCAGGCTGAGAGGTAGGGTGAATTTTAGGGATAGTGAATCGATTCTGGGAAGTAAATCTGTGTGGAGGTAATTATTGAATTTACGTCGCTCGACCTTCAGACAAGTTTTCTATATAAACAGCTTCAAAGTCGTCGTCTTCCCCTGCTACATCACCGTACTATATCTTGAAGTGAACTCATAGATTGCTTCTTGATGCGCCGGGTTGAGGAATCATTCTTTGTTGTTCTTGGTGTGGGATATGTGAGGAAGAGAATGGTGTGTCGGGGAGTGGCATTGCTGAGAATGCTGTTGTTGCCAAGCATAGGTTGCTGTCAATTTAACGACACATGAAGCGTAGGGGGACCGGAAATCATGGCAAATAGATCCTCTTCGTTGGGATATCCGCGCCGAAGGTGACGTCCAATTCATGAGTCGGAACTGTATACATATGGTGATTCCTAAAGTTTGAAAACGTGGTCTTGGAGGCTTTTATAGACAGGAGTGGGGCGTGGAAAGCTGGCTTTGAAAGGAGTATAGGAGCTGCGGATTGTAGGCTTGAATAGTGAATTATTGTACGCGTAACTCTATGAAAAAAGCTTGCAGAAGGAGTGTATATTAAATTTAATCTTACCGTCTTCTTTCTGTAAATCTAGGTATAAATAATCTTATCTCAAGACACAATTTTCATTGTATCCTCAATTGCGGATCATCAGGCGCGGTTCGACGGAGTTGGTGTCCGTGGAAATACGCAGTTCTATGCCAAGTTTAGTAGTTCTTACTTTTTTGGGCATCCATTTCTCTGGGTGTTCGGAATTTAATCAGGGGTGAGAAGGGGTTGTTATCATCAAAAGTAGTGTCGTTGTCAACTATTCTTTTTACAATGATTGAATGTTCAAAATCTCCAAAACACCAGTGTGAAAAGGTGCTCGGTCAGTTCGAGTGCGTGCCGTACGCTCAGAGTATTCAAGCAATTTACCAAGGGCTCGGTATTCGAATCCTCTAGAGCTGTGATGCTTCGATGTGATTGTTGGTAGGTTTGTGGCTTGGAACTTGGAGTTCAAGGTGGTTTATATAGATCTCCGAGTACCCAGTGAGGAGTTCCTAGGTAACCTTCAGAGGGGTGAATTCTGGGCTTTTGGTGAATTGTATATGATTGTTAGACAGGGTGGTGTATTCACTTCAAGGTAGAAAGTTGTTAGAAGTCAGAAGTGAGTTTAGAAAATTGTATAAATAAGACAGTTTAGTTTGATACCAAGTGTGTGCTTTGGGACGTGGGGAAGTTGGTGCATCGTAGTAGGAAGTTGAGATTTGTCATTTCAGGTAAAGCAGGTGTTGACATTTACCCTTTTTGGGAAACCACAAATTTGCAGGGGCTCAAACCTTTCGCCTCCTATCTTGCATTTGACGATTATGTCAACCCCTCTCTGTTGCATACATTAATTAAAATGAATGGAAGTCAGATATTGCGCTTTAGGAGATTGTACGAGGTAATTGATCACATGTTCAGGGAGTGCGAAAAGTGCTAAATCGAAACAAGAGCCTTCGTATTTAGTTCACTAAGATCATAATTTTCAAAGTAATCCATTCATCTAGCCATCTGAATCAATATAACAACATCCAAATTGGCACGAAAATCTATGGGAAAAGCTTTCCATCGGCTTCGTTATCCAGGTGGTGTGCTGTATCTACGAACCGAGCAATTGTTGGAACTTTTGGTACATCCCAATCCTTCTCGAACGCTATAACCACTAATCCTACGTAAACAACAACAGAGGTAAGCCCAAGCAAGATACCCACCACTACAGCAGTTGATTTCTCTTCCTTCCGGCCGAGGGTAATATAGATAACTGACAACGCAACATTTGAAATTGAGCGGATGACGAGAAAGGGAGCGATAACTTGTACCAGGATATTTGAAATCTGGAAAAGCAGATTAGCTGATATTCAGCAGAGCTTTCGTTCGAAAGGTTCACTTACAGGACTTTGCGCTTGTTTTTGTCGAGCTTCGTGCCAGATCCTGACGGAGCAAGCAAATATCTCCAGGATTATAGTGCAGTAGATTATAACGTACGAAAGATGAATGTTCTTGTACCAATTCACTATGTTCAGGGCCTTGGCGGGATCGATGTCGTCGGACTCCACGTATGCTTGTGCGTAGAAGAAAAGACTCTCGTCCGCGATTCCAAGGAGAAAGATAAGGAGCCAAGTTCCCATATGAATGCGGTGTGCATGTGCATGATCTTGGGTCCCGGGCCTCAGGTGCTTCGACCGATTCCTGATAATACTGTAGAGGACGAAGATGAGGATTGTGTCTGTTGCGTTCGCGAAGACCTGCTTCAGGATCGGCAGGGCGAGGTAGGGGCCCACCACGCTGCTGAGTCCGAACTCGTGGATGATTTCGTCAGCCAACGTCCGGCCGTATGCACTACATAACATAGATTACAATCAGCCAAAGTAATAAGAGCTACGATCATAGTGGGTAAGGCTAACAGGGACATGGCAACGACCAGGCCGTACAAGACGGCAAACACTTTCCTGCCTTTTGCTCTCCAACTTAATTTCATGCAACAGGTCACGATTGCCAGTGCTAAGAAAGCGACGACACAGAGTCCATTGACCGCAATTGCGGAGACTAGAATGTGGTCTTTGAAATGGCTACCGGTAAGATTGGTACTGTTTTGGTCGAAACCGAAATTGTAGCCTCCGAGGAGGATTGGGTTAGAGTCGACGGAGTCTGACTGATTCATTTTAAAATCAAAGATAGAGAATGAAATCCCACATTCTACAGAATGGATTGCAAGGTGACGAATCTCTGGGAGTGCAGTTTTAGGACTTTAGGTGATATTGCCAATCGTTTGCTCGTGAGCAAGTTCCCAGTGTCGGGAAGGAAGATCGGGTGCATTGAAAGACACCGAGTAAAAGCATGGCTTGCATACCATGATTCGGTTTGAGAATTGAGGCCATCAAGTTGCTGTGCATGGTCGCATTGGTGAACAGTGAGCCTGTTGACTGGGATGAAATGTGCATGTGCTCCACGAAAAAGTAAAGAGCATCGGGCGATGCGAGGAGATGGGGAAGAGCTTAGGGGTGCCACGACTTTAGCTCAAGGCTTTCCCCGTCGCGAGTGCAGAACAGCAGCCTTGGCAAACCTTGGCAGTCAAGCTGCGCCTCCGGACTGTCTTGGCTGCAGTTTTACAAGGAATTATAGCTACATGTGGTGGAGCGGAATTAACCCAGAAGTTGAACACGACTATAGGGCTGAGACTAGGTTCCCGTCATGTCCGACAACCTGCTGCAAGGCTGCGACTCTTATAGGTCGGAAGAATCTTCGGCTGGATCCTAAACAAAACGGTATGTTGCCAGTCTTGTTTAGCGTGAGGAAAATTACTTCTCTCTTCGTGTCAGGAAAGATGAGAACGACTCCTGGAAAGGCGTATTGTGAGGAGGCGAGTGGATGATATAGGCTTTGTCCTGTGTAAAATGTCGGAGCTGGAGGAAATTCTCAGCCCTAATTCCTTCTGAAAGGCAGCTCTCAAGTTAATCCATGGGCAGAGAAGCGGAGAGATCCTCTGTTCGTTAAGTGACAAAATAGAAAATCAAGCCTTGGCAATCCATAGTGAAGCCCATTCTCATGTTGATCCAATGTGCACGGCAGAGCGGAGGGATGATCTGTCCGTTGAATGGCACAACAAGAAGCTCAGCCTTGATGGCCACAGCGAAGCCCATTCCCCGTTGGTCCATGTGCATAGAGAAGGAGAGACAATTCTGCCCGGTAAATGAAACATTAGAGCCATTTTGCCTCTCCATAGATTTCTGGTTATTTCCACTCAGTTCCCCTGCGATTGCAGCCTTTACGAAACCGAAACGGTATTTCAAGAGAAAAACACCTATCAAATCACTTTACACAAGAACTCAAGGCACAAAATGCAGATTTCGACTCTGACTTTCCTGTTCCTGGCACTCATCTCCTCTTCTTCTCGCAGATTTCGAAGTCAACCTTGCCCAGCCCCGCCACGAAAGCAACGAGGTAGCAGAACGAACTTATTTCGATTTTGAATCTCTGGGTTCTCTCTTCAGCTAGCGTGATGATTGCGGGACACAGTATGGGCCAACTTGGGTGGATTGTGGTTTTAACGGATGTTACCAACCGAGTCTGGGACAAATCTGTTGCGCGGACGTGAGCAGTTGGTTTCTCCTTCATACACTCCTTCGTCACACTCAATACAACGATATGACTATCATGCGTGGGACAAGAGACTGACAATAAATTGTGAATGGGTTATTGCGACGCTGGGAATTATTGCCAGGGTTTGCACTGCTGCGCAAATATATGCCACCCCTCTCCATTTCCTTAACCCATTGTCACAAATTGCCCACTCCTTGCTTGCTTCCTGACTGGAACCTCAGCTCACATTCATCGTAAATAATAGGGCATTCCTCCTTCCTGCTGCGGCACAGGTTTCGGCTGTTCTGCGTCCGATACCTCCGCCCCTACTTCCCCACCTTCAACTACATCCTCACCCGCAGCAGTCAGCACGTCCTCTATAGCAGCAGCCTCAACACCTAACCATACACCCACCTCTTCACCTAAAAGTTCTGCCTCTTCCTCTGTGGCAGTGAAGGTTACAACCAGCGTCGTGGGAGGGCCGAGCCAAGCCAGTACATCGACTAAGACCAGTTCCACAGGGCTGACATCGACTGTTGTTCCTGTAGGAGGAGCGAAGAAGTTGATGGATGTTAATGGTGTTGCTTTGGCTGTCTTGGGACTTGTGGGTTTGTTGTTGGGCTGTTGTAGAGCTGAGAAATTTTTTAGGGGTAATGATTCTCTTGGCGGATGGAAAAGGGGCGATCATGTGGCAAGATACTGTACTTAGAGATTGCTTGGAATATAGTACTTCGCGGTTTAGGCAGGAGCAAGTAAGGGGTGCGGGATGGGTTGCATCATTCCTTAGGTTGTGGGTGGTTTGATTGCTACTGCGCTTGTTGTTGTCAACCAACGTTAGTTCGGATGAGTTGAGAGTTTGAGTGAAGTTGGGGATTAGAAACATATTCTGACACATTCGACCAAATCTACAGAGACAAAGATAAATAAATCCTGGGCGCTTTGTCTAGAAGGACTTCGAATCCTGGATCTTGCTCTGACTTGGTGCTGGTAAACTGACGAGCTGGTTGTCCTGTTTCCTGGATTTGAAAAAGGGGCTTTAGCGAGTGCGACCCCTGACCGGCAGCCATGTCGCTTACACCTGCACCAGTTCCAGATAAAATGCCATGTCTCTATGTAGCATCTATGGAAAGTATGTTATCTCGATGAGTTTCTAAGAAGAAAAATGATTTTATCTTCTCTATATAATGAATCTGGTCTCGTGGCAGAGTGCAATCATAAGCTGATTTTGCGCATTGCCTCTCGGGACAATATAACCTACTCGAAGCTATACGTGCACTTGTCACACTCCGAGATTAAGGATAGGAGATTCAACTCCAATGGATTCCTGCGCACGTGCGTGTGGCGGTCCCCTGGAGCCAGTTCTGGCTTTTTTGAATCCTTCTAGCTAGGAGTTTACCCTCTCGATACCCGTATATCTAGGGATAGACATATCCCAGGCGAGACGGGTGAGCAGAACGGCGAAGGGTTATGTGCGCGTGGGTTGGCAACGCAAAGTGAAGTTGAGGATTAGCGCACAATAACAACGAATATTAGATTGTGAAGGATACACAACTAGTAAAAATGCGTTTCGCTTCTCGAAGTCTTTATAGCAACTTTCTATGGATTCGATCTTCGAATTCTTGTTGGAGAGACGATCTCCGGGAGGTGCAGGTTTGTGATCTGAAAGACGAGGTTTGGGGTCTCTTTATAAATATCTAAATACTAGGTGATGAATTCCGTGGTAGATTCTAAGTGGTGAATTCTCCGTTCATGTTGTGCTAGGTGGTTGAGAGACAGTAACGTATTCACCCCGAGTTAGAAAGTAGTCAAATTCAAAAGTAAGTCTGGAAAAACATATAAATATACCTTAACCTTGCCGCAAGCTTCCCAAGAGAAACCCTGAGTTTTATCAAGATTTTTGGGGCGGTGGGTCTGTTTGGTCTATTAAATAAGGACTTTGCGATTATGAGGCTTAGATCCTTTGTTTACTTATCATCTGAGTATGGGTGCGTAGGGTGCAGCGTGGTGACATCTCGCGGAGGGAGGTAGGATAGTTGGAAAAATTGACAATAAACAAACATTTGGTAATATAAGTTACCATCTTCACCAAAATTTAGTTCTCTAGACAGCCGTTAATCAAGTGAGTATAACTGTATCTAAAATTTCAACGTTCTTCGGCAAGGCTCCAACAGAGTGCTTCGCATGGTCGAACCCTTCTACCTGATGATATCCTAGTATAGGAGCATGGTATTGTCCTGTTCGACGATGTATTTATAGCCTCTCTTCCACTATTTCTTCGAGTCACTGATCACTCTTGCAACAGGTTGCGTTGGTCTCAGATTTACTTAGAGAAAGACGAAGAGAAATAGAAGTGGTGTCATGTGTTTACCAGCCAATAGTGGAAGCTCACTTTCCAGATACTTGAATAGAGGCGAAGATTTGATTCGAGACGCAAGATATAAGAACATAAGTCATCCAAGCTCGACCGAAAAAAGCCTTTGTCGCTGTTTGTTTATGGAAGTGACGCCAAAGCTGAGTGAGCTACTGATTATGATCGTTTTCGTATTTTTGCTTTTGATCTGGTGGGGTCAAGGGACAGCCCTCTTGTCAGAAGTATTTTTGTTGTTGATGTATGATTACGGAGTGGACGTACGATAGGTAGAACGATGGAGACAGGGTTCAAAACACGATTCTAGTAGCATCATCTGAACTATGCGAGGACAAATCACACAAAAGCCACTGTGGTGCCCACAGTGTGTTCAAGGGTTTCCGCCAAGAGCTGAAAAAGCATAAATTTTCTTGTTGACGAAACTTACCTTTAAATATGAAGGTGGATTGTACACAGTCACTGTCGAGAGTTAGATTTGAAGATTCACTAGGTCTGAAAAAATCAGCTGGTAGTGTGCGTCACCATTTGCTTTTTTCCCGAACCATTCACTTGGACTTCGTTGGGATTAAGCTTACAGGACATTAGATGATCTTCAGGTTTAGGACTTATTTGTCTTCTATAAATACCATATTCGAGAGATTGGGTTTGTCAATATCCAAGACGTAAGAAATGGAGCTCCAAGAAGAATAGAAAAGTAGAGAACTCCAAAAATAGATTATTAATTGAAATTCCTCCCATTTCATATGTGACCTATCAGGCTGATTCAGCTGCACCTCTTAGCGTTTCTTTTCGACTTACGATTTTGAGCAACTGTTGTCACTTCTAGACTTGTTGTCAATAATGTTCGACAGATAAGCAGATATGTCCATGACTTGAAATTGGAGAGCTTCAAATGCTTGAATGATGTTATGACTTTGTTTTGACCCCCATCGGAGCTCCCGGATCGTGATCCTGGCATCGAGGAGCCGGATCGTTCCGCGGCTCTTATTTGGAGACGTGTAAACTGCCATGAAAATTTGTTCTTGGATTTCTTGGTAGGGAACAAGCTATATATACACTCAAGGTAGCTCCAAGGAGAAGACTTTTTTCGTTTTCGAGCAGTGAATCGAGGAGTCCTGCTTCGAGTGCAAAGTTCACCTGCTTTCTTGCTTCGCGCTGGCTTGAGCACGTGCTCATGAACTCTTCCTTACCAGATAAGTATATAATCTAAAATCTTGTTGTAGAGAAACGTTCAACTAAGGAAATGAGAAGACTATGGAGAACACCAGATCTTCGCGGGACCTTACCCAAAGCCGAAACTCAGAGATTGTTGTCGTGGTTTCCTTCTCAACTTGGCGTCCTCTTTACACATATAGACTTCGTATATTGCTACGATTACATTTGCTAGGTATTAGTTGACAACGCTTCGATAATTGACAGTGAGATAGATCATGTTAGTAGGCAAGGCTTTGCTATGCAGGGTACATCATGAATCTTTACAGAGAGTGCGGAAAACTAGCCGAAAGACGAGGCTGGTTGAGATAAGTTGACATCCGGCTTTCCTGATCAAGGATTGGTGTGCTCTTTGTCTCGAATTTTAATCGCTTGTGTTACAAAGTTCTGCGTTTTACTACGAGAGTTTATATAGTGCTGTAATGGTCCATTTCCTTTCCGTTGTGGAAGTGAATCAACTCAAGATCTTACGTTATACACTTGTCCACGATTAAAGCTTCCTTTGAAAATGAGACTATTGTATCCAGTGAATTTGTCCTTCACTGGCTACAAAATTTGACAGATATCCAGCTATAAGTACTTTGCTTCCTCGGTGAATATATTGCAATTGGCGACGGAGCCTCTTCTGATTCTAATTCTTGTCTTGTAAAGCAGTCCACAGAGTGTATGGGGGTATAAATTAGCTCTTGACCCTTTAGACAACGAGCAAGCAAAGATAAATCAATACCGACATTTCTATGCTGTGGGGGAGGAAGAAATCCCGTTCAGTCGCATATCGTTGCGAAACAGCTATAACTCCGCGCATAGAAAAATTTATAAACAGTTTAACTCTACTTCATACAAAATACCATTGTCAACTTAATTCTTGCTGTCAAATTCAGTCTGCTGCTAGCCCTGCCGTCTCATTTGATCCCTTAGAGCTATCTTCCATGTCCTCCCACTCCAGCACTCTTCCCGAACCATTGTATAAAACATTATTCATCCACTTCCCAAAACCAAGCCTCGACATCTCCCCCGCGTCCCACTCTCCACCCATCCTGTCCTGATCATATCCATATGCCTCAAAGGAACTTTTATCACTTGGCCAAACCCGGGTCTCAAAAGCCTCGCCAGGAGCCAGCCAAGGTAGTGTCTCGATATCTTGAGTGTCGACTTGCTCCTGAAACGGCCATTTAGGCATCGGCAACGTTCTAGGCGTGGAAAGTTCTCGAGATACGTTGTTCTGAAACGGCCATCTAGGCAAGGTTCTGGCAGCAGGTTCGGATAAACTGTTGAGCACAGCAGATCCGGATGAATTATTCAACAAAACTTTCAACTGTTTCGTCACATTCTTCGAATACTCGCTACTACCAGCGTACTGGCATGTCTTTTGCCAGGAATCGAGCTCAGCGTCAGTGAAAGGGTTGTTGTGCGCGTAGATGATCGTCAAGTTTTCCATTTCTGAAAGGAACCTAGGAAGATATTGGAGCTTGTTTATTGCGATATCGAGGAGCTGGGATGGGTTAGTTTCTAGATTGTAGATGGTAAGGGGTCTCGTATTTCTAGATTCTGGAGGTTGGCGAGGTCGGGTGGGAGGTCAGTGATGGCATTCTGGGAGAGATGCAGAGTTTTCAGCGTTCGAATGCCGCAGATCTGATCCTTGTTAGAGTATGTGTGCTATGTTTGGATCTTGAGCTTACTTCTTCTGGAACTGATTCGAGGCCATTTGCTTTTAGGTTGAGGTAAACCAGGTTCTGGCATCCCATGATTGATTTGGGGAGAGTTTTGATGCTGTTCGAGAATAGGAAAAGACTGTTATCATACTGATTAGTCACTATATCTTGCAGCTTTGAAGTACATGAAAGATAAGGAGCGCTTACGATTCCAAGGTTTGTTGAACCATTCTGATTGTTTCCTCATTAAGTTCTGTCAAGCCCATGCCAGATACGTTAATCTCAGTAGGCGTTACGTAGAGCTTGTGTCGATTATAAGCCAGCTTCAATACTTCCCCCGAAGAATCTTCCGCCATGGAGCGTGAAGCTTCTGGCATGGAGTCCCACAGGGTAGCCTTCTTGGGAAGATTAACCATTTCAATCTGGAACTCCTCAGCCAAGGCAGTAACTGAAGAAATCGAATCATTCTCGGTGGTATCTGCTTCTTCCAAGATTTCAGAATGCTCGGAAGCATGATCTGGTGTCCTAGGATCTGCTTGGACCTCGTGAATGGTTTCGTGTGTCTCGTCGTCTGGCTTGGTATTGGAAGAAATCGGTGATGTTGCAAAGTCTCCAGATTCCAGAATCACGTCGAATTCGGTTGATGCCAGCTCGATAGTGGGGAATACTGGTAGCGGTATAAGGAATTCATGAATAGACTCCCTAGTTTGAGAGTTTGTAGTTATCTGAGAGGAGGGGCTGCCTAGACTCTGTTCCTCGTTCGTCTTTGGAAGCGCAGGTACTTTAGACTGGACTTCCTCTTGCGGCGGAACAGCAGCCCTTCTGGCCGCGGATGGGACTGGCTTTCTCTGGATAGGCCTCGCTGTACGACTACTTGACCCAAGTATCAAGTTTGGTACAGGTCTCGGATGTGAGATCTGAACTTTTCGGTACGCTGGCGTCATTAGGACTTCTTGATCAAATGAGAAGTCCTTAGGGTCAATTTCGGTGTGCATCATGGGTTCCTGATCTCGAAGTGCAACTGTTTCGGAGATATAGGAAGCATTGCAGTCTGAGAGGAAGATTGAACTGGCGTCGTCTACCATTTGTTCTAGCAAGATGCTTGCTCGCGAGGTAGTAAGGACTTGCTGAATCTCGAGTTGGGACTTCCTAGGCAGTTTAAAGATCGGGATGTGTACTCGCTACTGATCGATATACTTACATGTTAAATGCTGTGAGAAGTAGATTGAGTCCATCTGAAATCCTGGAGATGTTTTGACTAAGGTCCATAATCTCGCTCTCTTTCCAAAGCCGCTCGACTTTCTCTCGGGGAGAGAGTAACAAGGCTCCATTATCGATGTTGCCTGTTAATTTCGACAGCCTGCCTACTACAACAGCAAATGTGAGCTCGCAAGCTCCAAGTACAGTTTTCAGACTCTGGCCAGAGAAGCTGTCGTCACACATCAATCTTGCTGAGATCTGCTGGTTGCTTAGAAGGGCATTTTGTATTTGACCCAAGGCTACGAGTATGCAATCACATTGGACCTTGATTGATACGGCTGAGAGATCTTGCAAATTATACTGCGAGCGATATGAATTGACAACATTTAGAAGTTTCGCGGCTGTAGCAACCAGCGATGCAACGCTGATGGCTATAGACAGGGGATCAGGCATTTTGCTTCTGAATACAACGAAGAAAGAATTTTGGGATCATGAGAGTTCTTACGATGAGGCTGTAGTTACGCGCTCTCATGTTGCAGGTGGGCGGAGTACGCCTCGCGACGCCTAGTGTGGCTGAGTGTTGTGCAGTGCCCAATCAGAAGGGCGCAGGTTGCACCAAGGCTTCACTATGCGACAGGCCGAAACCAAGGCCAATCAATTATTTTCCTACGCAACATGAGATAGAAAAACAAAGCTGGGTTGCAGAATTGTGCTACAGGCCAGGTAGTCAGGAGTACTCCTGACTACTAGTTTTCTCAATCATATCACCACACCACCCAAAAGGGCTAGCTACGTCAATCAAATAGTACCAAAGCTCTGACCTCAATGCTTTCTCGTGCCGGAAGGTCCTCAGTTCCAGGTAGAGGAATAGAAGTATGAGGACATCTCCAAGCCGGAATATCTCTCTTCGAGTCAAGGTGCTTAACAATAACCACCTCATCGGGTGTCATGTTACTGCAATAGTGCCATCGATGCTCTCGCTTGTCACCACACTTCAAGATTGTACCGTTGTACTTCGGACCAACGATATCGCAATAGTCCGAGTTTGGAACGCTGCCAGAATCCGCGTATGCTAGAGGGTCTCGAGATACACTCTTGGTCGGCCGCCAGATACTAAAAAATTGCCATCGACTACCTTTTGTCATGGCGTCAAGTTTTCCTGGCATCATGTTGCCCACCAAGCGCTCTGGATCTATTGGCGACACATCGACATGGACCCTCGGTGATGGTCCTTGAACTTGGCCTAGGACGTAAACATCGTCAGTATACTTTATTGGACAACGATATAATACTTTGGGAGTTGTTTGGCTGCATTAAAGCTTTGCAGCGAGCAGAGTTCATGAGACAACCCAGAATAGGATGTCAAGCTCAAAGAAAATCACATACCGGGGATGAATTCCTCGGGCGTCAGAGCATCTCGTTTATATTGGCGCACGATGTTGCCAAAGCATGTCACATCTTTCCCTCCAGTCCTACAAACCATGTTAGAATTCAGAACATACAAAGTCAGCAAGCTACTAAAAATCGACTGACTGTTTCTTGATCAGATCAATTATCTCTTGATAGTATTCTTTCTGAACCTCTTCCTGGTTTAGATGATCTCTTTCTTTGGTGGGGAGTTTGTGGATTTCGAAGCCATGTTTGTCCAAAGAGTAGGTCGACTCATTCCCTCGGACATCGTGAGCTACAATGTCGCGGCGGTCACCCTGATGTTTGTGACCGACAATGAGCTGCTTCCAATCGCCAGAGTCTGGGCCCGATCCATCTTCTGGCTGTTTCCACTATAGAAAGTTAGTACTTGATTGCATGCAGTAGATGGAAAAGGATAAAACTTGTCGGGAAGCCAAAACATGGCTTATGTGAAAAGAGGCGGGGAGAAGAGGCAAAGGGGAGGGCTGTTTACATAGGTAACGTATGTTTGAACGTCTCCCATTGCTTAGATCCAGTTTGCAGAGAGTCTGATTGGATGATAAGATCTTGATTGAAGAGGGTGCTTGGCTTGGCTTGAGTTCTTAAACAAATAAGTAAGCCGTCAGAATTTTTAGTGCATGTTGGATCTTGATTTCTGCGCCGCAGGCTTACCATCTTTAGATAACGGCGATCTGTTTTAGCTTGAGATTTAATAGGATGACGATCCGATAACTCATACTTCGTACTTCGTAATCAGCCCTTATAGGGCAGGAAATTATCCCCACCATTTGCTGATAAGCACTAACTACGGCTTTATTTCATCGGGACATCACGCCGCGCCCGAAACCTTAAACATCTGTCACGACAAAACGGTTTACCAACAACGAGAATCAAAATAACAATCCTATAAAGCAAGGTTCTTCTGACCTAATTCATTCATGAGATCTGTTTTCAAATTACTTTAAGTTCTGGATATATAAAAAGTGCTCATACCGTAAGCCAGTCTAAATAACATAAAAAACGCATATTGAAATCAATTCGTTTACCGAAAGTCTTTATTAAAACAAATCGATAATTAAACAACAATAGTATGCGAATCTTATCAAGAAGGTCTTTTTTGCTTTATAGAACGAATATAAAACAAGCATAACTAGAGTTGTGAGAGCTACACAAACGAAAACAAGGAATAGAAAAATAAAGAAGAACGGGGAAGGGTATGCTCAAATAATTGGCTGAGGTTAAACTTGGGCAAAATATCACAAGCCTTCCAGGTTTATGTTCCGCTTATAGTTGACTTTTGAAGCCTTGACGAACCTTTATTTGATGAGACACATCAATAACATCTTGTTCACTTCTTCGATTTGGCATTAGATCTCTCTCAGAATTCAAGATCACTTCCGTCGAAACTACGCTACTCAGCCGACTCGCCCTCCTCTCCCCCAACGACGTAGACTAAGTAATGTTAGTATTTAAGTGCTTCGGGTCCAACATTGGGAGCTTACTGCCGTCGAAATTACGCTTCTTCTCAGCCGACTCTCCCTCCTCTCCACCAACAACGTATACTTAAGAACATCAACCTCTATTTTAGAAGAAGAAAGAGCAAGAGTCAACTTACTTCCATCGAAATTACGCTTCTCGGCGCTCTCTCCTTCTTCTCCACCTACAACGTAGACTACTTGACGTCAACATATGGAGCATACCAGGTTGCAAATCAAGAACTTACTTCCATCGAAGTTACGCTTTTCGGCGCTCTCCCCTTCTTCTCCTCCGACGACATAGACTATTGATTATCAGTATGTGCTTTCAAATATAGAAGGTGTGAACCTACTTCCGTCAAAGTTACGCTTTTCGGCACTTTCACCTTCCTCTCCGCCAACGACGTATACTTGCCTGAGTTAGATCTGGATCGTTGGAAAGAAGAACAAAATCTTACTGCCATCGAAATTGCGCTTCGCAACTGGCTGAGCAGCAGGAGCGGCCAGAACAGTGGCGATAAACGCCGCGAGGAAGAATGTGACTTTCATTATTGCGATAATGTATGGAAATTCGGACTAGGAAATGTCTATTGTAAGCAGCTCGTCCACAAGAGAAAGAATGATACTTATAACCAAGTGCAAAAGTCCGTTGCAACTTGCAAGTTTATTCTCTTGTCACGATCAACATAAGCTCGAAAGCCGAATGGAGAAGGCAACATTGAAGCCCCTCCCTTAAGGATTACGACAGAACTCGGTTGGTACTCAAAGGAGAAGGTAACAATAATGCCCCGCCCTAGTTCTGTCGGAAGAAAGCTTACGAGAGACATCGAAGGGTAAAACTAACAACTACATGAATGATAGCGGCGAAGATGAGGTACACTGACGTAGCAGTGGACCCTTCTTCTGCAAAGCACAGCTCCGGGGCGATCACGCAAGCATTCTGACAGATTGGTAAGTACCGATCAAGCCAATCAGCTTGAGGAGTATATCTTGTGGTATGCTATCGCTCGCGTGGAGGACTAGAGGAAGGCACAGCTACTTTATGCAAAGTAGTGGATACTTCCTCAGAGCAGCAGGTGGCTACTTCAGATTATCAGCTTACCTGAGGCTAATTGCGGTCAGAGCAAGCTTGGGAGGGGTGGCAGGCGCCTTACGTAAGTAGGAAGAGAAATAGACCAAGTTTTTAAAGTGCTTGGCACCTATCACTTTCCAGAGGCTAATGGCGAAAAGCCCGAAAACCCTTCAGCTCGTTTAAAAGTCTAAATCGGGTAACTCGTATGGCATGCGCGCCGTACCGTTTTCTTACAGCGCTTAAGCTTAAGCTGATACCCTAGGGTATTAGGCCATAATGTAGATAGGACAAGAGCACGAGATCTTCATATGTAAATGGCCAATCAGAAAACTCGACTCTAAAAAATTCGTATTGTCCGCCAATGAGAAATGATCTAGAAAGTCCCCGCTTTCGGATACGCCCCCTGGAGCTCGCTAAAGTTAAGCTTATAAATTAAGCTAGTCCAAGATGACATTTTTCTAGAAGGCTACCGTATTGGAACAGTTACTGATCAGGGGCCTTGACCGGCCGAGGCCGAAGCAAGAGTCTCCTCCGTCCACTCGCTTGCTGGAAAGAAATCCTTAATTGCTTGGCAGCTTTGAAAGGCAGGAAAATAAAGGCAGCAAGAGTTTCACAACATTAGCTTTATAAGCTTGAGACCCGAAATACCCGAGTTCGGGGTGACCGTTATCATATGCTACGCCGCTGCTAATTTTGCAGACTCCTCGGGAGTAGCAGCCGAAAAGGGTATGGAAAGTTCGCCGAGGGCTATTCGAGAATTTGTTGAACGACGTGGACCGGATGTATCGTTCCTCCTTCTACAGATTTGAACAATATAGCAAGGCATATAACCATATCCTGTCTAGAGCAAGCGTGAATAGGATCCTAGAGTTCGGCCAAACTCTTGAAGCTCTTTCAACAGTTTACCGTTTACAAAATTTAGCTACAAGATAAACACAATCATAAAAAGTACACAGGAACTTTTTGATCGTGGCTTCAAAGTGATTTGTAAAGTGTGTATAGTCAAAACATACCCTACATTACAGGTGACAGACTCTATCACCAGATCGTCTTCCTGCAGCGATAAAATCCAAGCTCGATATAATTAGCACGAGGCCCATTCGCAATCTCAGAAGATATCGATAGTTGATCCGCACAATGTTTCGAGTGATGCATGCTAATGGTCTTGTTGTCAATGAAATCCATCTGGTGATTATAAGCGTACTCCAACTTCCTCCACTGGAAAAGACAATGCTCGTCATGGTAGCTACGGTTATAATTAGGCTCAAATTCCTTGGAGGATGAATATTACGAGGAATAGACATACCGGTCTGTGTATATGACATTATGCTCGCCGGCCCAGAGTTGGGGTACTTGTATGGGTTGAGTCAAATTCGCATCACTGTGTAGATGTGAGCTTGCGTGGCATATTGATACACGTAAGCTTCCTACCTGAAATACTTGCGGTCTTCAAACACTGGCAGGGACTCTGTCAGTTCTTGATAGACGCACTGTGGCGGCATCCACCCATAAAACATAGGTTCCATAACACAACCACGACTCATGGCCGTGACACTCGAACGTCCACAGTAGTTCCAGCTCTCAGCCTCGATCTCTGCTCTTGCCTTCGGAACAGAAGTCAAACGGTAGATGGACAATGCAATGACACCTAACACTATGCTTGCCGCAAAACCAGCTGTGAAAGACAAAATGTGAAAGTGCTTCCGGCGCACTGTCTGCATCTCCAGCCCACTGTACTCGACATTGCGGTAGGGGTCAACTTCCGGCTTCATTATGTCGAGAGAGGGTGTTGAGTAGGAAACATCGAGCATACAAAACAGCAGCTCTTAAATTGAAGAGAGAAAGACGAAAGCCTTCAATTCTCTCCCACCTCTACCTCAAACTCAACTTCGCTTCGTCATCACGGCTTCTACTGAAGCGGTCCTGTACCTAATTCTATCGGGAAGGTCCGTACTTGTGCCGCAACATTGCATGAACGGACAATGTAAGGCCGCTTTTACAGCTGAGACGAAAAACTGATACACGTCATGTTAGCTTGCCAAGAAAAATGCCAAGAGGAATTGCGGCCCTCGATGCTACAATAGGCAAGTCCTTATACTGTCAACTTTAGCAATACACGAGCCCACCAAAGGCATCTAGAAGTTCGCTCGGACAGGATAATGACTGGTTCAGCAATCGAATGATTGTTATCATCTGCAGTGGCGAACATGACAAAAAGATGGTGCCATTTCAGTCCTGGAAACAATCATAGGGTCAAACTTTTCCCTTCGTCCAAGTTCTGCCTCTTTTTTCATTTTAAACAACTCAATTGTAGAGGATGACGAGAGAGCCATCAGATGATACTGAAGGATTGCTTCAGAAAGACGAGTTGTTCGATTCTGACCAGTTGTCGCGACCCACTTGGCAACAAAAATCGAAGAGCTGGCGCGCACATTTGAGAGTAAATCAGATATACTTCGCAGTAATTGTACTGCTCATCGTCTCTAACATCACCACGCTCTCATTCCTCTCCTCGTTATATGCAACTCGGCAGACGTATACACCATCCGTCAACCAACCCCCAGGAGGCGTTCCTCCGACCTTCAAGCACCTGGTACGGACACCAACGCCAACATTCGTCAATGTGAGCTGGTATCCACCTGAAGATAGCTTTTTCCGGGAACATAATTCAACAGATGCCGATGAAAAATGGAAGTGGTATGATGCATCATGTACGTTCTCCTCTGTAGCTAGCTATGTGCCCAGTGTTGACTTCGATACCACAGATGGCGGCTATATCATGATTCCAAAGGAAGAAGCCGTGACCGCAGACATCGATCCAGCTCGGCACGCATATGTTGATAGACCCGATCTCGGAGTAGAGGGGTATCCTGTGCTTCCGGAGGCCATTCATGAAATGCATTGTGTCAATATGGTTCGCAGAAACCTGTACTATAATATTGAACATACGCGAGCAGGATGCCACCCACCTAATTGTGAACCTCCTGAGCTTGAGAGCTGGAGAATGCAGCATGTCGGTAGGTTTTGTATCTGGTCTTGACCATGGCAATAAACTAACGACTATTTTGAAGACCACTGCCTCGAAATAATTCGCAACCGTGTCGCATGTACAGCAGATTTAGGTATAGGTAAGACATGCGAAGCGGAAAGACTTCCACTTTTCTTGACGTTGCAGCGATAACTACTAACGCATAACTCAGTGCCTTTCATGTGGTACGGGCCGAACGGCAAGTTGGCAGGTGATATGGCACGAATGCACACATGCAGCAATTATGATGCCATCAGGAAGTTTGTGACGGAAAAGGGCGTCCTCCCAGGTGAAACCAAAGGAATTCTGAAACCTCCAGAGGGGGCATTTATCACCGATCTCAGAAATTAGGTACGCAATTAACATACAACATTAACCTTATCCAGAGAATGAGCGTAAAGTGAGATGTTATTTGTGAGATGCCATAGCTCACAACAGAAGCAATGGACTTCTCATCGCCATCTAGGTACTGCATTCCAGAACCAGACTTCAGAAAGCAGAACTACTTGGAAATCCGAAGCACAAAAATCTAGGACATTCAATGGAATAATACCGTGAACAATAACAACCAAATCCAAACTCCAATATCCATATTATACCTCAAACCCACACTTTCCAGAGACACAGAACAAAAAGGTTGCATTACCATCTCACTTGGGGCGTTCCGTAACAAGCTGAGAACCTGCCAAAGAACTCAAATAACTTCAGAAATCACAACTGAACTAAGAACTTCTAACATCCCATTCACGTAGGCACCCTAAAAATCTATTGCACATCGACAACAAATCCTTCTCCAGCAGCCGGCCACCTTCACAGAAAACCTTTCCCGCATCAACTACTAATACATAGTCAAGCGCATGAGTCTACAAGCTTCATTAGTATACCAAGTATCGAATTCCGTCTTGGTTTACCCTTTTTCGTAATTTTTTGGTTGATTTATTGATGTTAAGAGTCGGAGGGTGGCTGGGGGAGGGAGATTTAGTTTTAGGCTAGCCTTAAATGGAGTTGAGTAGTTGGTGCCTGGTGAGGCTGCCATACAATACTCGATTGGCCATTATCTTATCAATTGTTGCATGTTCTCGTCGTTCATCTCATGCTGCGAGCGGATGGATACTACATGAAGGCTCAATGTTCGGCTGAGTAGTTTCAAGCCTTTATGACAATCATGAATGATAACATCTCAATTCTGTGATCCAATGTCGATTCGTCGAATATCGCAAGGCTGAACGGACAGAACATCTCGATGAAGGGCACACCAACCCTAGAATTTGCATCGAAGCCTTGGAACGAGCTCGTTCGTCAACATGATCAGCATTAAATATGGAGCTCGAAGCATCGATAAACTGGGCGAATTTATTTACAGTGCAAGCTTCCTTTCGAAGGGGGCCTGCTCAAGCATAACCATGAACCTTCAGCCACTCCAAGGTCACAGCCGCGTCTCTCTCCTTGTACGTAGCCCTGCCAAGAATGGTATCACTAACAACGTTCAAAGTACGGTCGTAACCTCGGTTGTCCTTGCCCTCAAAGAACTTCGCAATGCCCTTCTCAGTCTGCTTGTCGTTGAATTTATTCAGCGAGCATTTCACAAATCGATCAAGCACAACCATGTTCTTGCTGAGTTGTTCTCGAATGGATATCCAGTTGTCTTGAATATATTTCCAGAGTCCGTGCCGGGTTCGAGGATTGACGGCAAGAGCAATGGCACCAGTGTGCATGTCTTGGACAGCAACTTCGTTGAAGAGGAGTTTGAGGTAGTCTGGTAGAAGTTCGACGTCTTGGATTCGACCAAGAGCACGGAGAGCAATCTCTTTACCATCAATCGAGGTCGTCGTTTGCCACTCCTTCTTCAGAGCTGCAAACTCGTCCTTCCCGCCATTGCGAATTGCGATTCCCCAAACTGCACCCCGTAAGCTTGGATGAATGGCATCAGTGTTACCACCTTTATAACCTCCGAATCGTTGTTTCGCTTCAGCAATTGTCCTGAATTATTAGCAATGTTCAAACGCAGAAGGAGCTTATCGATACTTACTGCTCATGTCCGTTCAGCCCTGCAGTGAGAAGCAACAGCGAGCGCAATTGTGTAGTCAGGAAATCATCATTCGGAGATGACGCCCACCCGATTTTCTCAACGGCAGGTGTGATGAGCTTCAGTGTGAAGTTTTTCAATCCTTCTGAGATGGCGGCATCGTCGGCAAAGACAGACTTGACTGTTGCAAGTGAACCAAGAACTTGAGACCATACGAGATGATTCGTCTCAGATTGGAAGCCCTCCACAAAGGCAAGTAGACCAGGGGTAGCTGCTTCTCCAGACATTGCTAATGCTCCGGCATCACCCACCAAGCCTGATGTTTGTTAGCGTTTTCCTAGGTCAGAAGTTCCAACATTCCAAGGAGCTGGAACAACAAGAAGACCAGTCTGGATTTGAAGGAAATCGAAGAAAAAATGCATACCAATCTTGTCAGAGATTGTGAGACGATCAGTCTGCGAACCAAGCTTTGCGAGTCTGGCTGGAGGGTAATTTGTTCTGTAGAATCCAGAGTTCTCCTTATTGATCTTGTAATAGGAGTCATCAACCTCGCGAACGATGTCTTCCTTCTTCAAAAGAGCGATCGAGGCAACTTCTTTAGATCCGGATTTGCCTTCGAACCCAAGAGGAACCCACCAAGTTGTGGTATCATCTTCAGGCTTGACATCACCTGTAGAAAGATACCTGGATTGCTTTACACCAATCTGACCTAGCTCCTCACCAACGGTGAGAACAGGAAAGCCCATCTTTTGGATCCAAGGATCCATCAGTGCTGGAACATCTTGTCCCGAAGCTTTGCTGAGAGCGCTCCAAAGATCAGTAGTTTTTGCGTTCCCATAAGCATGGGCTTTGAGATAATCGCCAACACCTCTCAAGAACGTGTCCTGTCCAAGATGGCCAGCCAACATGCGAATAACGGAGCTGCCCTTGAGGTAACTGATAGAATCGAAAATCTGGTCGACATCAAGAGCATCCTTGACCGGAACTTCAATAGGGTGAGAGCTTCGCAGCGAGTCTAGAGTGAAAGCAGTTTGCATGCCCTCAGAGACAAATTGTGGCCAGACATGCCAGTCCGGATGGATCTTATCGGTAGCTAGCCATCCCACCCAGGTAGCGAAGCCCTCATTGAGCCAGAGCTCATTCCACCAGTCCATCGTCACGAGGTTACCGAACCATTGGTGAGCCAATTCGTGAGCAACAACATACGCGATTCGATTCTTGAATTTAGTATCCGAGGCCTTCTCATCGAACAGAACAGCAGTGGTTCGGTAGGTAATCAGACCCCAATTTTCCATCCTAGTAAAAGTCAGCAACAATAAGGGACAGGAGTATGAATGTAGTATTCATATCATGGACGCTGGAACATACGCGCCGTGAGACTATGAACGCCTCGGTTAGCAAAAATCTTTGAATAGGTGCTAGGAAAGACTTATGATAGGCTGAACAATCATCAGGCACAGGAACTTGAAGAAGGGAACTAAACTTACGAATTCATGAACAGCAAGTAGATCACACTTTGGGAGAGGATACTCGATCCCGAAGATATCTGAGAAGTAGTCGACAATTTGGGGAGCATGATCAAGTGCATATTGACCTTGGTGCTTCAAGCCTCTCGTCGTATAAACACGGACTGGTAAGTTCTTGCCTCCATATTTGCGTTTCGTAAAGTCTTCAATATATTCGAAGTCTCCAACAGCCCATGCGAGGAGGTAGGTACTCATGATAGGTGTTCTGTCAAAGGAAACCACCTTGAAGCCATCCTTGCTCTTCTTGATTTTCTTCTCGGGCATATTGCTCAATGCCACTTGATCTTCTGGTAATTCAATTTCGAAGTCAAATGTTGCCTTGAGATTTGGCTCGTCGAAACAAGGGAAAGCTCGACGAGCGTCACAGCTCTCGAATTGTGTCGAGAACATCACGTGGTTATCACCATCCTTGGGAACAGATGGAGCTGGAGTGACAGCCGGCTTGTACTTCGATCGATAAAATCCTGCCATATTGTTGTTAATAGTACCTTCAAACTTGATAACCAAAGATGCCTTCTCAGAGGTTGGTAGATCCTCCGCAAAGGACAGCGTAGCACGCTGTCTAGGAGCATCGTAGGAGATGTCGGTAGTCTTGAAGGTTTGCTGAGTCTTTGTATGCTCCAGAGCAACTTCCGCGCTGTGGATCTTCAATTGATGGGCATTCAAAGTGATCTCCTTGGATGTCTTGGTGATTTTAGAGAGAATGGTAACGGTTCCTTGATAGCTGAAACCCCCACCAAGCTCTAAATCATAAAGCGAGATATCATAGTTGACAGGCTTGACATTGCCCGGGAGAACGTCTCTGTCCGTAGCCATTGCAGCCTCAGAGGTATAGCTTCGGACGAACTTTGGTTTGAATCGAAGTAATGTGGAAGCTGAAGGAGGTACAAAGGTACGGCGCCCAGGATTCGTGAATGATTTGCCGTTTGATGGCTGGGCAAATGTTCGTGTTTGAAAAATGCAAAACAAGAAACGAAGATTCTTCTGTGGGAAAGGAGAAGAAAAAATGGAAGAAAACTTTTGGTGAAATCTGAACACCGAAACTAAATTAGAGCTTCGGTACATGAGTGAATTGGTGCAAGAAAGGAAGGACAAAGTTTGTGGTCTCACGAGGACCTGCCATACTGGGCCATATGGCTGGGAGTAAAAGTAGTGGGGTAGCGTCCTCAGCTCCTATTGGCCGGCTTTCTGCTCCTGCTAAATCCGCCAACGAGGCTGAAGCATCAACAAACATCTCTGGGACATCGATACTTTCTTCGACAATTCAAACACAGTCAGTCATAACAATGGCAGCTGGCCAGAAGCTCTATCCAAGAGCTACCGTCAAGAAGATTGTCAAGGCCCATTCGAAGCGGAACGTCAGCAAGAACGTCGATGTTTTGGTAAGAATTCTCGACGCGTCGCCCGATTTTCCTTATTGACTTTCTCTGCAGATATTTCTCGATTATGCGCTCTTCCTCCAGACGTACGCGACCCTCCTTCGACCTGCAAGACTACATTTGCGGTGATGGCATACACATTGGGGTTGATGGGCTGACAGTTGCATGTAGATTGATGAAGGAAGCCAGCATTAACGCAAAGCAGGCAGGAGAACGAGGTATCAGCGCGAAAAGCGTCAAGAAAGTCACAGCCGTATGTTGAAATATATAAGGCGTGGTGTCTACCATTGTAGCCACGGCTTGCTAATGCTTTCTCTAGCTGTCGCTCACGAAATTCAAGGGATGAGCCAACTTAATACAACAACGGGATTGGATGTGTGAATAAAATTATAGAGGAATGTCAACAGCAGAAAGCGTAATGCAGGATCTTCCAAAAGTAGAAGAAGGTGATTATGCAAGCAAGCAGCATCAGCTCGAGACTGATCGTCCTCACCACGAGGCTACAAGGCTGTGGATTGGTCAGGGGGTAGGAGAAGTTGACAACGCATCGTAAAAGTCGAAGCCCTGCAAACGTGCTCTCTTCAGAAGCCAAGAAATAAATATGTTCGGGACAAGGACTGCGATGCAGTCATATCCAGCAAAGCAAGATATCAAATGAATTAATAAATATTGACCATTCGTGCCGTGTGACTCCTCAATGGACTTCTCTCTAGTTCTTCTGTGTTCTCGCTTACAAGGTTTGCTCGATGGGAGCTTTGGGATATTTCCTCTTCAGAAAGGAAACTCTTTAACTCTTCAGATACAACTCATACCTACCCCCTACGTAAGTCAACACCTCCTAGAAGCCGATACTTCGATCTCGATATCTTATACCTCGCGAATTTTCCCACAAAAAAAATCTACACGCGACTCCGCAACGAGTCATTCTACCACAACTACCTCCCAAGCTCCCCAGATCGATACTCCACAAACCACACAAAATACGCACAATGGCTGCATCTGCCACACAAAACCCTCCCGTCAAGACTGAGTCGAAGTCTGCGAAGAAGAAGAAGAAGGCCAAGGCCGCTTCTTCGGAGTCTGAGGCTGTCAAGTCCCCAGCCGTCGCCGAGCTCAATACCCCAAGTGCTACCGCAGAGAGCAACAGTGGCGATGGTTCCTACGAGAGTCCCTACATCAAGGAGCTGTACAAGTGAGTGTCTATTGAACGCAGAGGGGAAGTGTTGACCTAACCTGTGCTTAGGAACATCCGCAATGTCAACAAGAAGATCGTGAGATTCCCGGTTCCATCCATTGTTACCCCATGTACTAATGCCTATGTTCTTAGACCAATGCCTCCAAAGTTGATAACGTCGTCGCTGCGAACCCTGGCAAATCCCTCGACGAGCTCGTATCCACCAAGCTGATCAATGCCGACCAAAAAGCACAGATCCTCAAGAAGCCAGCTCTCCAAGCATCTCTCACACAACTGGAGGAACAAATTGCCCAATATAAGAAGTTCGACCAGGAATACAAAGCTGCTTCCCAAGCCGAGAAGGCCGAGTTCGAGAAGACTCTAACAGAGCGTGCCAACAAGGAATTGGAGGAGGCTGTTTCTGCTGCCAAGGTTGAAGCTGAAGCTACTGCCGCAAAGGACCAACAAGACAACTTGCTGCTCCTCTCACAATTCTTGAAGTTGGCTGCTATCAGAAGAAGCGAGGAGGAAGTTGCAGAGCTGGAGGAGAGCAAGGCCCTTGAGGGTCTGCTTGGTCAAGTTTACCATGGTGACTCTACTGCTGTGTCTGCTATGATGAACTTGATTCAAGGTAGCAGCGAGAAGGTCAAGTCTGTCAATGGAGAGGTGCTCGATGTCGATTGTAAGGCTGGATAATTCTTCCTCCAGATGTACATGCTAACTTTACATAGTTGCCCATCTCAAGGAAATCGCATCGGTCATCCCACCAACGATCATGCCCGCCCCAGAAGCCGAGGAAGAAGAAGTTGAGGAGGAGCCTGCTGCTGCCACCACAGAGTATCCAGTTGAGAGCGATCCTACAATTGCCAATGCTGGACTGACTGAGCTCGACGAACCTACAACCGCCACATTGACCAACGGCCATACTGAGTCGACTTTGGAAGGTCAAGGCATTCCAGCCAACGCGGGTTTTGGTGACGGAGCTGCCAATGCTGCAGCGGAGGCCAACTGGGACCAAAGCAATGACCTGTCGACATCTCAAGAATGGGTCGAGGTACCTCGTGATGCCACTGAGACCGACACAGGAGTGACTGCTACGCCGGCTGCTCCATCTCAAGTCCAAAGCTGGGCCGATGACCAACCAGATAGTCCAGTATGTATCTTGTCTACACAATTCATTTCTATACTAACTGCTACACAGCCTGCCGCACCAGCATCAAACCCCAATGACGGCTTCCAGGAGATTCAACGAAATCGAGGTGGTCGAGGCAACTTCCGTGGCGGTCGAGGTCGTGCTGATGGATTCAGCCGCGGTGGACGAGGCTCATTCCGAGGCGATGTCTACCGTGGACGAGGACGAGGTGGTGGCGGTGCCAATGGCCCACGAGGAGGCGCACGCCGTGCCGAAGAATCATAAACCACACCTCTGATCTGAGCTCTTGTTCGTTCCGACGACTCATACATCAGCTCAGTCCACAAACTGTAATATCTCCTTGCTTGGTTTTGCAGCATTCTCGGCGGGCGAAACTGGTACGTAGCGGCATTGCATTTGTGTCTATCATGACTGGTTTCACTGGTCCTTTGGGGTGTTATTTCGACATTGCATTCAAAACAAAACAACCTCATTGCTGGCATTTTTCTTTCTCGGTGCGCGTCTTCTCTTCCGGATCTGATCTGAATAGATAGAGGTTGGGACGGATGGGGAAAAAAAGTTTGTAAAAGCATGGGTGGTGTGGGTTGTCTACTTTACCTGGTAGCTGCTGCATAATGCGTCAATGACAAATGACTGAACCAAAAGTACGATTATATTGAGTGACAGATGATTGGTGATTTGACGAAGTGATCTTTACTTTCTATTTCATTTGTCATTTCGTTTTTGGGATTTGATACGGACGTGCTTCAAATAGAGGCCAGGCATTTACGAAGCCGGAGAGCAATCAGTTATGGTCTTCGTCCCCCGAAGGCATATCATCGGTTATACTTACAAACATCGTGCCCGGCACAGTGTTCAGTGAATATAGGGAGATTTTAGAATTCTGGCTGTTGTGAATCAGTGAAGCTTTTTCAATTGCTTGCTTGCTTGCTAGGCAGGTAGGAAGGAGATCCAGTGAATTATCCAATTTTCTAGTTACTCATCTTGTTGTTTCTACGATTTTGTATAAATTAAAAGTCTCTGTCTCGAAGCTCAACCAAGCTTGAGCACTACCGTCGAAGGTCTCCCTCAACTGGGCCGGGACGCCCCTCTATGCTTAGTCTTTGCTCTTCGTATGCCATTTTCTTCCCCCATACTAGTCCTACTTAAGTATTTCCCAGCATCAGTGTCATATCCACCACTTTGATTTGCTTGCTATTCAATTATTGTTGTCATCTCTCCGAGTTTCGTTGTCAATCTAAACACCTTCACCGCATACTTGACAACAGCCTGTCCTTTCAAAACAATCCGTAACAAACACACGCGTCCGCGAAAAAACACCACAATCGCAACGAGACTGACGTTTCTTGTCAGACGGTACCAAGCGACAAATACGCCAGGCGCTAAGGCGTCCATCTTCCCTCTGACGGCGGGGAGATTCCGAATCTTGAGTTTAGATTGATTTCTGAAGAAGGGACGATGGTTTGTTCATATAGGGAGGTCGAAGCGAGATTTTCGCTTCGAGAATTGGCTTGGATTGGAAGACGGCGGAGTTTGGAAGGCGAATCTTGTTTCTCTCCTTTCGTTCTTGGATTGCAAACTCACGAGGTTCTTCTGCGGTGGATATAGCTAGTTCTAATTCTTTTCTTTTTCTTTAATTACTCATTATTTCTTTTTGTAATTTGTATTTTCCTTTGATATTTGGAAAATATTCGTTTATAAGGCTTTGGTAAAAGAAATCTAGTTTAGTGCTATGGTCGGCTATAACGAGGGTATTTAAGTCAGCTAACACTTAGGGAGCGGACTGTTTCAGGTCGGACATGGTAGATATGATTTATCGAAAATCGACCTTCGTTCTCAAGGGATCTAATTCTGCTTGCAAGAGCTCAGCACATCGACATTGCTCCCGCTGTTGCCCTTCCTACCCCGCAACCGAATATACCTCGTCCTGCCATCAAAGTCAAAGCAGCCACGTTCGCTGTCTTTACAACCCTCTACAACAGAACACAAGCTCGGGGAAGTATCGACTGGGTAGTATTTGAGGCTGCAATGTGAATTGGAAGTGATGTCAAACAGAGTTGAACCGTCTGAAGGTGAATAGTGCTAGATCAATGACGGACAAATCTGCGGAATCGTGCAGTGGTGAATAACGGGCTCTAGAAAAAAAGCTTCTTCCACGTCTCTGTCTATTAATACAATGCGGCCGCCCACTCCGCTTCTTCTTTTTTCAACGAGCAGGATCGTGGCGATTACGTTCCGTACCCTCAACTCTGTCAACAACCCGCAGTGAGCTAGGTTACAAGGTTCCTAGGCCAGGTACAAATATGCTTCAAAACAACGAACTTATTTTTTGTTTTTCCTTTTCTTTATTGTTATTATTGTTGTTGTCAAGTTATTGAGTGTTATTAATTTAGAAATTGCTTTTTGTTTTTATAGTCTTTGTAAATAAATACAATAATCACAGCATATTCCTTGCTTTGCTGTATATCTAAATAGCTAATTGTTATCACATTGGATTGTCTGAAGGTGAATAGTGCTAAATCAATGATAAATAATATTTGCAAAATGTGTCGTAGTAAATAATAGGCTCTAGAAAAAAAAAAGCACACTTTATCTTTCCACGTTTCTATCTATAATACAACGCGGCCGACCTCCCGCTTCTTCTCTTCTTCTCAACAAGTACCAGAAGCCTTATCCTATGCGGAGCAGGATAGCAGCATTCAAATTGCGTATCCACCTCAACTCCGTCAAGAACCGACCCGCAGTGAGCCAGGCTACAAGGTTCCCGATGACCTGGCGAGATACAGACATGCTTCAAAATAAAGGAATTGTCTTTCTTACCTAGGTAATCGTTATTGTTGTTGTTGTTAAATCACTGAGTGCTGTCAATTTCGAAACTGCCTTCCTTTTCTACAGTCTTTATAAATGAGCATGACAACCACGGCACTTTCCCTACCTTTTTGCAAGTCTAAACAGCAAGCTAGCTATTCCATCAATCTAGTAAAGAACTTGGATTTTGTCCAATGAATCTTGTCAAGTGTCTCATCAACCTTTTTCGTCTCTAGTATTGCCAATTTTTTGAGGCTTTTATATCCTCTTCGACTATCGTAAGCTCACTTTCTATCTTTAGAAAGGTATATAAACCCACATCCGCATGGTCTAACGCTTTTGGGAAATCAAGATACCTTGGATATCGATTCATGCTCCCAGCAGAACATGCAGCGGCTATGACTGGTGTTGATTGTTCTGGGATACGCCAGACATTGTGCTGTGATGCCTTGCTTACTGACCAAGAAAGGAAATCATATCGTCCGGAACTTTGATAGTTGAGAAGGAGGATTGATTGCTGTCATTTTGTCTATTGTTGTCAAGACTTTTGACGGCTGCGGATGGTGAAAAGTTTGAACGTGGGGAAACTTTGGAACACTTTATGCTATCATATGTCTGTGGTAAAGCAAGAACAATGAGATTGCCATTATTGTTTGTCAGTTTCCTACAATTATCTGAGGGCTGAAGCAGCTTTGGATTAACATAAGCATCTCGGTCATTGCTCCATCTCAGACCTTGTTAACCTGGAAATAAAACCTAGGATCGAGGATTATCCACGCACTTTCACGACATATCTCTACAATGAGCTGTAGATACGTTTCGAGCATTCAGAATATAAATTGAGGGCAGAAGACATATTTCAATACTTTTTTTCTTCGAAGATATACTCCGTCCACGTGATAGTCACTGGTGCTTATGTAAGCACTCTTAACTTGTGAGGACCTGAGCTATTTTCACCGAGGAGAAATAGCACCCAACCGGCTCAACAGCCCAAAATCTGGCCACCAATCACAGAGCCTATCAATTACCTTACATCACACGATTTGCTTCTTCCGATCGTAGATCTCCGTCGCGTGGAAATGTCCAATTTTTGCTTGTTGAACGGCACGTATAGCCTTATCGTAAGTTGATGATTGAAAGGTAGGTAGTGTATTCTCTCTTGATTATCTTGCTTGGTTTCGGCAAGGTATCTTTCTTGGCTCGTTGAAATATATTTTCTTTGCTCTGCTGTTCCTGTGGTAAGATGGGATCTCCTGTTGCAATGACCGACACGGAGCACTTTAGTCCTTACCGTGCGGATGGGAAGCTGGTGAGTTTGGCATTACTGGGCCATACATTGGGATGAGATTGACGAGAGCTGCATAGTATGGCTTCGTGTGCATCGTTACTGGAGCACAGCAACCTGTCGGACATGCGATTGTGGAAGAATTGGCAGGTTCGTGCCCCTCATTGACCCCGCGTTCCCCATACAGGCTCGAGACATTGAACGATTGCTGATGTTTATAGCTCACGGAGCTGCCTGCATATACGGTATGTCCAAAAGTTACTGTCGATAGCTGCTCTACATACGAAATGTCCCCTCTTCAATTGAACAACTTTGTCTGACGAATTCCAGCCTGCGACAAGGGAACGAGCTCCTCATACACAGCTCTAATTGAGAGTGTTGCCAAGGCATACCCGAACACGAAGGTCATAGGATACCCGTTCAACGTTGCAAAGGAGGATGAAACATTGGGATTGATTGACGATGTCCTGAATAGTTGGGGTCGTCTCGATGTCTGGGTCTGCTCTGCAGGTCTTCTTGGTCCACCTTCCCTCGAAGCTACCACACCAGCAGATCTGCAGAAGTGCTTTGAAGCCAATTCCATGGCACCGTTCTTCGCACTGAAGTATGCGCCACCTGCGATGGGAAAGCTATGCTCGAAGCAAGGGTATCCGAATGCGGCACCTAAGGACCAGAAGTACGGAAGCATAATTGTGGTTAGTTCTGTTGCAAGTACATATGGAGGGTGTTGGGGTCCTTGCTATACAATGTCATCGCATGCAGCGTTGGGTGTTGTAAGAGCTGGTGTTGCGGTTTTGAAAGGTGTGTGCCGTTTCTACAGATTGTATGGAAGAAGACCGCTGATTGTAACATAATGCAGGAAGTGGTGTGAGGATCAATTGCATTTCTCCGGGCCAGATTGATGCAGGTGTTGACCTCCAAAGCGTGAGTTCAGAGGGTTCAGTACTTTGGTACCAAGCTGACTAGTATATAAGTTCGACATGCGGGGCATGACTGCACAATTTCCACCTGCAAGCTTGCAGTCGAAGGAGGTAAGTTGGTCCAGGATCTCCCCAATACATATTTTGACTGTTCTGCAGACTCAGAAGAGGGATATTGGGTTGGAACGCTCTGGGTTGCCTGTTGAAGTGGGTCGTGTAGCTGGTTTCCTTGCAAGCGGCTTCAGTAGCTATATAACGGGTGCAAATATGGTAGTAGATGGAGGTGCATCAGTGATGAATCCGTTGACTGTTCCAATTTAGTATCTTACATCTTCCAATTCAAAATATAGACGCTTCGCTAGGTGTTATTCAAAGTGCAAATGACTCGCGGTGCCATGCGAAGTGGGGGGAGGTCGATCCCAAATGATATCGTCACACATGAGAAGCAAAAAGATGTGCAATCTTATGCTGAACATTCCATAGAGGAGAAATATTAAATTGTTGTCCAGAACGTCGTTCCTTCCTAATACGGGATACTCCGGCCACTAAATCCGTCATATTTGTGTCTCTCTCGACGTATTTCTACCACTCTCCCTCCCACCTACAGTATGTCCACCTCCATACTCTCTTCCACCGACGAAGCGCACGTCTCTCAGACCTGCAAAGCCTACTCTCTTGAGTCGACCCAGTTCCACGCACTCCACTCACGCAGCGCAGGTGCCAAAGCTACTGCATACTGCCCCTACTCTCAATTCCGCGTCGGGGCCTCGATTCTCACAGACGACGGCCAATATATCGATGGCGCGAATGTAGAGAATGCCTCATATCCAGTTGGAACATGTGCTGAGCGAGTGGCGTTTGGGAAAGCTATAACGGAGGGGCACAAGAAGTTCAAGGCGATTGCAGTCGCAACAGACATCAGCCCGCCAGCCAGCCCATGCGGGATGTGTAGGCAGTTGTGAGCATCCCAGTGATCCTAAATTCCTGTATTGGAGGATTTAGGTGTCTGCGAAAAGATATCATGGTATTGCGGGTTTGCTGGAGGTCTGGCTGACGTTGAGGATTGGTAGTATCCGCGAGTTCTGCGAGCTTCAGACTCCTATCATCATGTTTGATAAAGATGGCAATTTTGTGGTCATGAGACTGGAGCAGGTATGTGCCGTGCCATGTGTACAGGTATCGTATGCGTATCGACTGACTGCCTTTAGTTGCTTCCACTCTCATTCGGTCCAGAAGCACTCCCACGTCCAGGATCGCTGCCAGCGCGAGGCTGATATTCATATCTGCTATGATTTACATGTGAAATGGGGCTATACAGGTGGGCATATGGAATTTATCCGGCGTACAGAGAGGCTATGAGCGATCAGATCTTATTGGGGGAACGGGGAGGGTTTCATAGAGGTGCATTTCCACCCTGCATTAAGACCACCATTTGACGAATCAACGACTATCTTTACCATCCTCTAAAAAGATGTCCACGGTGGTATCAACCAGCATATGTGCTTCTCTGCCCAAATATCTGAGCCTCTGACTCGATGCTGTACGCGACACTTCTCTTTCTCCCGATTTTGCTTCTGCTTCTGGTGCTATCAAGCTTTCTTAGAGGCCGCATAATAACGGTCCTCAGTTCGAAAGCTGAAAATATATGCATATAAATCATGGAGATTTTCTCTTGATGTAACACTCGAGCAAGCAAGCGTGATTGTGGTGTTGGTCTTGCAAGCTCTCTCAGTCTGGGCTCGAAGGAATGGGATTGACCAACCCAAATCAGTTCATTCAGCGACTCCGGTTCATATTGCCCTTTGGCGTTGCGAATATGGACTACAATCTGCATGCATTTATTTGTCACCGAGTCTCACTCCCCACAGAACTCCAGAGCAGTCTTCGTACGGAGGCAAGTCTCAAGCTCGCAACAATAACATACAGCGAAGTGTCCATAGGATGCTTCACTATCAGTCCTTTCATACCAAAGTATAGTAGGTACATGTAAAGTTATGACATTGAGCATGGCTGAAGCTTAAGAGATGTATGGCTGTCACATTCACTTTCTCTAGGTCATACAGATAAAGTACATATGGAGAGATCCACTTTTGCTATTCACTCGAGCTTTTCCTCTCCCCTTTTACCAAATTAGATCCATGTCACCACCAGCCAACGAATATAGCTCTACCAAAGACCGATAGGACTTAGTCTTTGGTCGTGCAGCCTCATGAAGGTGGAATGCTGTTTCGTTCTCGAACTCGCCACGTTAGGCTCAAGTTTCACAGAATGACAACTTGAATGTCTACCATTTTTCGAGAACGAAGTCAACGTCAAGAAAATAGTCTAGTCCATGTCTACAAAGCAGACTATGAATCCAGAGACTGTGACAATCACCAGAGTTACAACCACTTTGACCTTGCCCTTGGACAAGGTGGTGTTGGCACGTGACGCCGCTGCGCTTACCTGCGCTTCACTTTAACCTCACTCATCCTCATTCGTTTCTATTCTGTGCTCCACCTCGTAACCCTTGCTCACCTATCTTGCCTAGGGTTTACTTATCCTTGGTCTCGCGGCTATTAAGACTGTCAACTCCTAGGAAAAGGGATTCAGAGCAGCTAGAACGAGCTCCAGGAAGTTTGCATCAGTCCCCATTGTCGAGCGCCGAAGTCATAGCATCGGACTGTTATTACCATAACAGCTTCACTTTTTGATGTGGCTAGAATCCGGTTTCTTCACCCCGTTCGTAACATTTTTAGACTGCCCAAATAGAACTTGTCTCGATCAATTACATTCCACAATCGGCTATAGTGCTTGCCCCTATTCTGACAGCTTTACAACGATATACTTGTACGCTTGGTACTTTTGCTTCCTCCCTCATTTCCCTTGGTGGAGGTAAGTCTTTTCCAATTTATTTTCAACCTAGCAATCAATTTCAGATCCTTCCGAAGCTTATCTATCACCAGAGACACCATGAAGACATTAGGCTTGCTCGGTGGCATGAGCTGGGAGTCCACCGTAACTTACTATCAAGAAATCAATCGTCGAGTGCGACAAGTCAAAGGCGGTCTGCATTCCGCTCGTTGTATCGTCTTTTCCTTCGACTTTGCGGAGATCGAAGAACTCCAGCATGCGGGAAAGTGGGATGAAGCAGGCCTGCTGCTGGACGAAGCAGCCGTGAAGCTGAAGCTGGCGGGCGCAGAGGGGATTGTGCTGTGCTCCAACACCATGCACTTCATCTCGCTTAACATCGAGAGCGCCTCCCAACTCCCTCTCATTCACATCGTCGACCCCACGGCCCGGGCCATCTTGAAAAAGGGGTATAAATGTGTCGGCCTCTTGGGCACGCGTTTTACTATGGAGAAAGACTTCTACAAAGCCCGACTCACGGAAGAGTTCGGGCTACGCGTCATTGTCCCGGAGGAGGAAGGTCGAGCAACTGTACATGATGTGATATATACCGAGCTCTGTAACGGCATAATCAACGAGACATCACGGGAGAAATATTATAAGATTATTGCCGACCTCAAAAAGGCAGGCGCAGATTGTCTCATTCTAGGTTGCACGGAAATAGGGCTATTGGTAGATGAGGGCGGCAGTGAGCTGCCGGTGTTTGATACTGCTCACATTCACGCGATAGCTGCTGCTGACTGGGCAATGGGAATTGAAGGTCGAAAGGAGAACAAATCGCTTATCCTGTAACGATATACCAAAATTCAGCCACTTAGAGCCGAGCCCCCCAAAAATCATAGAAAATTTTGACAAAACATTAACAATTCATCATGATGAGACAGGTCATGATGAATGCTTAGTACAAGGGCGAACCATTATTTCTCCTTAGCGGCCTCTTTTCGTAATGGGTATTTAACCATTGCTACTCCGGCCTTGCTTTGTTTTGAGCGATTACTGTCTCTTAAATCTATATGCTCTAACTCGGCTGCTAATTCTGGGACTAAAAATTGCTTATTCGAATCTATATGGGAGTTAGTTCGAGCTAAGCCAAAAGAAGGAGCCAGCGACTTACGTAGGACGAGCGATGGTAAAAGTGAATGGATGGTGCAGGCAAGACAATTACCCCGCACTGTTCATCTTTCGAGGACTTCATACAGGATTACAATTTATGTTTCCCCCAAGCTTGGTAAGACTTTTTGTATTACACCTTTGGCCTATTCAACTTTCCCTCTTATGAATTTGAGTTAGTAGGCATCGTTGTTCAGATGATTGAAGGCTCTAGAGAGCTATAGAGATTGATAACCTAGGTTTTTTAGCGATCAGAGACTTGGAAGATAGCAGGCCTTATTAGGCGCCGTACAGCGTTGGAGTACTATGCCTTGCACCTCGTAAAAAGCGCTACCTGCGCTACGTGCGTTGAACCCGCTGAACCCGCTGAGTGCGCTGAGTGCGCGGAATGCGCTATAGTCTAGCAACGAAATAATTGCACCGCATTGTAACAGTGTATTTGGAGCTTAGGGAATGCTTGGAGCTCGAAGATCTAAAGAAATTGAATTAATGAAGAGTAGAGAGCTTAACTAAGTGGAACATCGAGAGGATGAGAGACCCACGTCCACAAGCGGTGAACGAAATCCGTCTTTGTTTTACACATGCGGTATGAAACATCACGAAAACTTGAGTCTATTATTCCATGGAAGTATTCATTGTTATGATGCCCTAAGCTTAGGTGAGGCTAGTTGTCTGGATCGTCGCCATTATCACTTCTGCCATGAATTTTCGGCGCCCATGATGTCTGCTATAGCCCTTCTCTGCCGGATCGGGTGTTTAACTCCGGAAGGCTTTAGGAGTATTGGTCGTTGCGCAGATCCGTTGTGGGATCTAAAATAGATTGGTATGGAGAAGTGATTATGGTGTCTCTCGCCGATCAGGACTGTGATGCGGCTCTTCCAGCGGCGCATTTGAGACGCCGTTTCTCGAGCAAGAACCGCGGCAGAGAATGGGTGACGATTCATAGCCATCTTCTTCAGGGTAGCAACTAAGGCTGTATGGAAAGTAACTCCTGGACCTCCAGCGAGTTCATTGGCCCCGCACGCCATGATGATTTCGACGGTAATTGACGTCGTGAGGTCCTGAGGCATGTCGTTGATGGCTGCCGCTGCATCGCAGCAATACATCAAGATCAATATGTCCGAGCGTGAATGGGTACACAGTGCCTCGTACAGGGATGGCCACTCAATACAGTTTTGGTCTTCTATGAGGTCTTTGGCTGGCCGAAACCTATAGTTCTCTTAGCGTCTCAACGTCGACGGGGATTTCATATACAAACTGCGGGTATAGGGTTAATCTCCCACACTTATCGGCCTCGCCGTGACCACTGCAATAAAAGATAAGCAAATGATCCGGATGCGAGTATTTCTTGATCCAGCTTCTGATGTCATCCAAATCTGCGCCGTTCTCGTTCTTGATGCTACTTCTGAAATGCAATTGTGATATGGAGTTCAGGGCATAGTTCTGCAAACTGGATTCAAGGCCTTCCATTTCGAAATTTATTGAGCGAGAGTTGTCCCAGAAGCAAAAGAGAGCGTGCACCTCCTTGTAAGGATACTCTTCAGCCATGACTTTGGATATGACTGTGGTAGAAACCTACGGAAGTTTAGCATAGCAACTTCAGCAGACAGGGGCGCAATTGGTTTTTTACTTTGTGATTGTGACAGTATTCTGGACTCTCGAATGATACTCAATGGATTATGTCTGGTGTGATTGGCGCAAACGGTTGAGTTGCAAGATTTGAGGTGGGGAGCTTGAAGTGGTAGGGAAGGAGGATGCCAAACGCAAAAACATGTTAAGAATCCGAGGCGCACTAGGCCGCTTTGCATCTGGGAACCTAAACGTAGCAATAATTTTGGAACTTGTGACTAGTGGCTGTTGTTTGTATCGAATGTTGGTTGATGGTAAGTATCGAACCTGAAGCTAAAATATAAGCCCTGTCTCGAGGTTGAGGGACACTGCGTTCAATTAAAATGCTACAAAAGAGCAAACATGAAGAGTTTTTGAGTTGCTGAAGTTTACATTAACAAGAAAATTTGAAGGGCTGCTTTGAGGACGTTGATTTGGAACTTGGGAAGCTAGACCAGAGCCATGGAAAGCTCTTTCATGTTGTGAGAGACCCTCCTCGGGTATTTATAGTAAATAATCGTGTAGAAGTATAGCTATATACCCGCCAGGTATCAAATAATAGGAAAATTATACCTACCTGCCCTACGGTCTTGGCTATTGAATGTCCAGTTCGGATGAATGTTGCCATCTCCCCGAGTAGGTTTCTTTCCACTTCAAGAATCAGATTGGACCAGTCAGGCCAGTTCTTGTAGACTCAAGTAACACCACCAACTGAGAACGCCATCGAGGCGAGTTGACCCGGATCCCGGATAGTTATCCGACAGATGAGAAGTTGCCCTGAGGTGGAGGTCAATGTGAAGCCTGGGGAGCGGCAAGGCAAACGGTGTTAGGTTGGAGACCTGGAAGTTATACGGAGCCTTGCGAAAGCGGCGTCATTTTTCTGGTTGATAAATCGTGAAATAATTATATACAGCTTTGTGAGAAGGTTTAGACTTGTCCGAGGTGAAAAGTCTGATGCCTCAGGCACGGAAGTCCAGATTGTGGTGGCTGAGTTCAGCTGGAGATCGCTTGCTCTTGCCGCCAGCCTCATCCTCGCATGAACCACCATTGTCCTCAGTGAGAGACAATGTTCCAGATGCAATATATAAAGACACAATATGGGACCCAAGTTGGATCTTTATAGGCTCGTGGTACTTGGAGATGGGGGCGTTGGGAAGACAGCGATGGTCATCCAAGTTTGTCCTACTCCTTGTCACAAGTGAGGCTGAGGTACTAACGAACGACAGCTGACTATGAATCACTTCGTGGAAACTTATGATCCAACGATCGAAGATACATATCGCAAGCAATTAGACATTAATGGCAAATCATGCATGCTAGAAGTTCTCGACACAGCGGGCCAAGAAGAGTACACTGCTCTTCGCGAGCAATGGATCCGAGACAGCGAGGGAGCCGTGCTCGTGTACAGCATTACCAGTCGGAGTTCGTTCAGACGTATCCAGCGCTTCAATGCGCAAGTTCTCCATGTCAAGGGTGTTGAGAAATTCCCAATTCTTCTGGTTGGGAATAAGTCTGATCGCGTGACCGAACGCGAAGTCTCAACACAAGAAGGGTACGCATTGGCACGAGAACTTGGTTGCGAGTTCACGGAAAGCTCGGCCAAGAATCGAAAGCATATACAAGAATCTTTCATGGATATTGTACGACAAGTACAGAAATATCGCCTACAGCCACTGCTTCCATCCGCAGCTGAATCAAGTACGAGCATTGAGACTAGAGTCTCGGATTTGAAAACCCCGAAAGCAAGAAAGAGGGATAGTTTTAAGTCCATTATCAAGAGATTTTCACGGACGGACATTCTCATACCAGATGGTGAGGGAAATACTGAGGAAGGCCGCCAAAGACTCACCACACGTCTCATCGAAGCCGCTCGAGCGAATCGCGAGAAAGAAGTGCGAGCCTACCTTTCAGCTGGAGCTCATCCGGATGGGCAGCCAGGAGCCGATGGAGCAGCTATTCACGCCGCTTCAGCATCTGGACATGTCAATATTGTCGCCTTACTCTTGAGAAAGGGCGCGGCTGTAAATGCCCTGAGTAAAGGTCCCTCGGGCACCAGCGCCCTTCACATTGCTGTAGCGGAAGGGCATGCTTCCATTGTCCGACTCCTTCTGCATAAAGGAGCACGGATAGAGCAGTCAAGTCCTCTACATGGAACAGCACTCTGTGCAGCTGTTTCGAGAGCTCGATTTGATGTCGTACAGATTCTGCTAGAGAAAGGTGCAAACGTGAATGCTGTTGGAAGTCCTTACGGAAATGCTCTCCAAGCAGCCGCTTGGGTTGGCAATGTTGCTATCGTCGAAGCACTACACAGAAATGGGGCTGAAATCAATGCCAGAGGCGAAGGGGAATGTACAGCCCTACAGGTCGCGTGTTATGCAGGTAATTCCGGTGCAGTACGCTCTCTCCTCGTGAGAGGTGCTGGGGTTGATATGCCAGGTGGGAAATATGGTCGTGCTCTGGAGGCCGCCAATACTGGTGGACATTTCGAGGTTGTCAAGTTACTACTACAGTACGGAGCATCTTTCGAGACAATCCAGCTCCCTTCCATCGGCCTTGCATCAACACAACATATTGATGCACCAGCTCCAGACCTCCCTGAGGACTGGCCACTCGGTCCAGGAACACTCATCCATGCTTCATCGGACCCGCTACCTGTCCCTGATCACCAAATCGAATCAGCACGCGCTCCACCGCCCCAAGATACCATTCCTTCCAATGCTGATTATCGCTTTACTTACCGACCAGTGTATCGAGATACGGTTGATTTAGGGAATGGATGAGCGCCTCCACGCACCTAGTCGTGAAGTGAACCACCTTTGTTAGACACAACAGTCGTCTCAGCTGGCAGTAACAATTCAGACATTTAAGAATAGACCAATGACAACCGAATACAGGGATTAGTTTTATCTCTAGCATAGTGAGGCGTTAAAAAATGAACTGATCCAGCCTTCATCACCAACAATTGGTAATCGGGTGCTGCAAGTCCCTCAATCTCTACGGATTGAACGCCTTATACACTTGCAGCGCGCCTTCAATTCCTTGAAGAAGTCCGAAGAAGATCGTAAGAAGTAACACGAGTGCTGCCACCCAGAACGTGCACCATTGGACTTTCTTCCGCCTGTCGTTCCACCATTGCGACGCGGTGCTAGGCTCCGCTTCATCGAAGACTTGTTTGAGAATTAACAAGCGGTCGTGCCAGTACACGAAGTTTTTGATCTGACGGACAGACTTTTTCAATTGGCCGCATTCTCGTGCAAGCTGGAAAATCGCAGTGTCAATCTTCAGCGTTTGACGAGATATGGCTTGTGTTACATTGTCGAGTGGAAGTCTTCCTCGCTTTCGAACAAGCTTCTGCTGGCTTTTAAACCAAGTCTTGACATCTTTGTTGTGCTCCGGAAGTAGTATCGCCAGGGTCTGGATCGTTTCTTCAATAAATCCTTTTGGAAAGAGAGACCTATCATTATGTCAATTGAAGTCAAATACCAGTCGCGAACGTAATAAAAACTTACGAATTTTCATGGCATCTTAAGAAAGCTGCACAGTGAAATATTTCCACTGCAGTGTCATCATTTCTCATCATCAAGTAATCTGCAAGATTGCTGGTCCATCTGATCTTGATGCCACAGATTTGCTGGAGATTCCTTGCCTGCAGATAGTTAGCTAGGCCTTAAATAAAAAGAATAGACTTCGCACATTGAAAACTTTGTCAAGTTTAACTTTTTCATTCAAAACAGGGGGCTCAAAATGGTCTGCAATAACGGTGGATAACGCTCCCTGCTGTCGTGTCTCTCCTGTTACAACGACGGATGATTTGCCAATAAGTGGTGAATTAGTAGATATCATTAATAGCAACCGTGCTGCTGTGTCAATGACATCACCTAAGTCTGCATCATCAACATTAGGATTGTATTTCTGCTTCAGATGCTCGGTGATAGAAGCTTTGGTGGCATGAGGCTGCCTTAACATTTGGATACGGTCGATGATCTGTTCGTGGGTACCATTGAGAGTGCAAATATTGTTATTTTCGACAACATTCCTGTAGAAGGAGAAATAAGTCGTAGTCTGGGTAAGATAATTTCTGGTTGCTGTAACGTTGCCTGCGATAGCCTCAAATATTGCGGATCTCAAGTCGAGAGACAGTGGGAACTCGCGTGACCGCATTATATTCTTGGCTAGAGTCTATATATACTCTACGACCAAGCAAAGACATAAGAGCTCTGTTAGAAAATACTTTTCTTGTGAAAGACAATTTCTTTGCTCTTATTAATGAGGCTGAAATTTGGGGCCCTACTCAGCCCCCACCAGATGAAAGAATGATTGGCTCAGAGCTTCAGTCACCCGCGTTACCTGCAAATACGCCCGACTCACGTTGCTTCTCTGATGGCTGATAATCGCGCTCCCAATTGGTCTTCGCATTTAGAAAAAGCGGTAGCCTGGGCGCTTTATCTGTGCCATTCTGTGGCAGCTGAGGTTTCTTCTTTCGCAGAGACACCTCAACACTTCAATCATAATTTTCGATCCATATGGCGAGGGCAATGACCATTTTTACGATAGTTTCCGAGGCGATTATACTTCCACAGCCTCTGCAAGTTATGTCAACCCCGGTTGCGCAGACCAGCACCTCAAGTTCACTTTCGTGGTAAGTCATTTGTTCTGTCTCTCGCTGTCTACTTCCATGATCGTGCTTAATCCTACAATTCTCTCCACTGTCGATTGACGAGAGATAGGCCCAATCCCGAATTATCAATTGGAGACAGACATGGGACCTTGGGTCTCTTCAACAAGCAGAAGTGTTGGACGTTGAATGATGACAGCCCAGCTCACCTTGTATGGAAATTGGTCTGCAGGAGCATTCTTTATCTTCTTGACGATCAAATTGAGCATCTCGACACGAAAGACAAGGAATTCAAAATTGACAAGTTCATGATTGGCAGAGCCGCGAGATCACTCAGCCCAACGATTTTATTCGCTTGCAAGAGCAAGCCCTGCCGACGGACAGCCATACAATTGGTCCACAAGAAGGAAATTCTAAAAGCGCATCCTAGTGTTAGGATGGCTGAGTGTGCTCGCCCTCCCACTCTAATTGCAGGTAATGAAATCCCGGGTCCGCATCCGGGACCAGGTGTCTATACAGACAATCAATTGATTCGGCCTGGCGTATCTATTCTGGTGGTTGGAGAAGATCCATATTCCGTTCCCAAAAAGGCGACTATGGGAGGTATCCTCCGTATAGGTAGTGGATTGTATGGACTCACAGCCAATCATGCTTTCTTGCCAAGCCATCAAAAGGAAACTGTGGGGGATTGGGATTATGAGGACGAGGACGATGAGGACGATGAGGACGATGAGTTCAATTTTCTTGATGATATTGCACCTCAAGTGTGCCTTGAAGACGATGAATATTCTTCTGAGGGCTCAAGAGAGGGCAAGTTCGGCCTTTTAATGCTCTCTCTCACGTCAATCTAACTTCCGCAGATACCACCTCGTCAATCTGGGAAGAATCGCCATCATTTGACACCGGGATCTCGAAGGAGTATGGTACCTATGCTGATCTACGTGCGAGTTCACAACTGGTGCAACCAGATATCGTTCTGCTCGACGATCAACGGCGAATAGCAATTTGTAGTGAGCCAGATGCTAGTCTTGGCGACCTTTACGTCAAGTCCATGCCAGAAAGTGGCCTCGACTGGGCTTTGATCGACCTTAACCAAGGCTCACAGCTTTTACCTAAGCCTTGGAACAGAAGCCTCATGGACTTGACCCTTCGCCGAAGTAAGTGATGCACGGGCGGCAAGAATACTGTTCTAATCCGTCTTCAGCAATTCTCCAAAACCTTTAGTCTCAAATCTTAGATATGTCGTATCCAACGCGTGTTGCAAGCGAGCCAACATGTACCGAAGTTTGGATCAAAACCGGGAACAGTAGCAGAAATCTAAGATGTATGCTATCGAGTGTGGCATCATACTGGAAACCTCTCGGTCACGTGAAATTCCAAGAAGTTTGGACTGTGACATGCATTGATGGCATATTCAGTAACTCTCACAACACTTCCTTGAATTTCTTGCACTAAAGCTTCTTAGCCGACGGCGACTGCGGTGCTTGGGTCATCGACGGCCCATTCCACCTTCTTTTCGGCCACATCATCGCAGCTTATCCAGCTACGAAGACAGCATACATACATCACTCCAGCAACTAAGGTCTTTGGGGAGATCGAGAATGCGTTAGGTCAAAAGACTGAGTTGTCGACTCCTCTTATCTGGTTTCCAAAAGATGAGCGGAAACTCCTAGGCCTTGGAGTTACGTCTCCCAGCCAGCCGTCAAGTCCAGTTCCGGAGTTCATGAACCCACTTCAGTTTAGAAGATACCTTCAAATGCTGTATCCGATGCGAGTAACGATGTTTTGAAAGGCATTTTCTTCTATGAGTACCACATTCTGGTAACAATGTCCTGATAGCATGAAATACAATGTTTCATTTCTACGTAGAAGTTGTCGAACTACGAAAACTTTCGTCGTCTGCGGCGCTCTTTCTCCCATCCTGTGAGCATATTGACGCAGAACAGACCGAGAGACAACGGGAGCCTGCAATGTTCCATAATTCCATCGTCGTCTCGAGTTACATTAACTCTCAAGAGATCACATGGCGCCATCTTACATTGTGACATTAGAAAAGGATCCTCAAAGGTCACCGGATAAGGGGCAGGAAAATTAAGCGAAGAAGTATATCCAAGTCTTGTTTAATTGTGATTACAAGCCTTCCTTATTTACCAACTGAGTAGGTTTTAAACGCATGTTGTTCTCCTTATCTGCGACAAAGAATGAGTAAATATGTGACTAGAACCGTGGTTTATCAGAATATCCAAGGCTGTAGGAAGGTGGAGAATGATCTGTTCACAATCAGAAGCAAAATATCTTGAAGTGAAACGAGACTTTATAAGCAATACAATAACTCCTTCGAAAGCAACAAATTGCTGAGGAAAATGAATTTGCACCAAATCAAGAGGCAGCAATATTCCGCACGCCTACTTCCAACCAAAGCCTATTTTCACTTTTTCGGGAATATGCTGAGATCAAACTTTCCCAAGCTGATCCAATCAAACATTAATCCCATGCAACCAAACCTCCTGCTCAACCCTCGCGGAAAATGTACTAACCCCCAAGATATCCCTCATCTGATCAACCCCCACGAAAAGCGTATTCCGCGCAACCCACCACCTAATACCTTCCGTACAGGGTGGGGATGTCAAGCTGCCCATATACGTCCAGAAATCACTAAACATATTAACTTCTCTCAGAATTTGGTAAATATCTAGCTGCATTGGCAATGTGGCTTGAGAATTGAAGCTCGGGAGCGAGGTGATGTTGTTTTGAGACGAGGAGGATGGGAGGAATTGTGAGAAGAATTCAGAATTGGAGTTCCCTGGGTCGATTCGGATCGCGATCACGCCTGCTTCTGCGCCTGAAGAATCGATGTGCACGAGGTGAAGCTCTGCTTTTGCGCGGTCGCCTTGTACGGAGTGGTCTGCTGGTGCGTGGATGTGCCAGCCTTTGAGGTATAATGTTGTGTTCTGAGAGTTGGAGTCGAGGTACGTGAATGACGGTGCAGATGAGATCGAGGAGGATGTATTGACTGTGAAGGCAGGACCGTAACCCCAATTTGAGAGCGTACCTGGAACTAAAGTATAGGTTGAGGTGCTGAAATTTGGAAGATGGTTTTGTGCGAGGCCCTGGGTGAGAAGCAGTTGGATTGGTGACTGAGTCGTCCCGGTTTGGCAAGTTGTGTAGTCTGAGGATGGTTAGTTGGTGCTGATACGGAAATAGCGACCTACTTGGGTTTACCATGCCCCAATTGTACGAGGCTTCGTACGCCCAATCTTGACCTCCTGTAGCTCGCTTGTTGGGGGAGTTGGTATGTGTATCGTGCTGTGGACACGCAAAAATTGCTCCGATGAAGAATGGTAATGTCGCGATGCTGAAGAAAGAAGAGTACATGATGGAATGAACAGAGTTTTGACTTGAAAAGGGCACTGATCAATGTCAAAGAGAATTATCCGTACCACTTCAATCCATATACAAGACGATTGGACTCATCTTTATAGCTTCGTCAAATCCTGGTATCAATTGACTTTTCTCGATTTCGTCTATCTCGTGAGAAGATGACGGACTTGGTCATCAGATTGAACGCGTAGACTCTTGGCAGATATAATTGCGCCAAGCAATCCCCAAGGCTGCGTGAAGGCATACAAACTTTATTTTTCTCGTGAATCTTAGAGCTCAGAATGGCTTAGAACCACAAGGAGGCCAAGCTTCTGGCATGCCTTGGCGGCGCTGCGGTCTCGGATCTTGGAGCTCGGATATAAGGTTGCAATCCGAACGTCGAGAGTTTTAGTGCCAAGACAAAATGGAAGTGGTATAAATGCGAGTTGTCGGCTGTCAGTGGCGCAGGCTGACTGAAATTTCGAGCGGATGTTCTGGAAATCAAATAGGTCGGAGCTGGAATGAGCTCTTGGGTCGTGGATTGCGAGACTGCGAGAAGACCTGGGTAATGCGTGCTGAAGACTTCGGCAACAACTGGAAAGTTCTGCACTGGCCTCCATAACTTTGTTACCTTTGAGTGAGGTTGGCCACCTTTCCTCAAGGATGACTTGAAGATTCAAGCATAAGATGGGCTAGCTCCAAAGTCCGTTGTCGGATGTCAGCGAAGAACATGGTCAGACTCTGTTTAGCGGGTACATGTGAGCTGAAAGACTATCTGAACATAGCAATCTTCTACACAACACCAAAACCATGGTACATGCAATTTAGGATTGTTGCAATGGCGTGAATTATAGATTTTGTCTTGACGGAAAGAGCCAGAGATTCAAGTTTGCCAAGTGGGCGTTTCTGTGTTAGTGGGAAAGCTAAGAATCCCAAAACACGCCACAATGCTGTATCTTTCTTCCTTATCGAGAGAATCCTGACTTTGCCTTTCCTGCTCGCTTGTGTTCAAGACAAACACAAACCTTCCGACAATGGAATCTGCGACAATCATGGTCACCACAGCTCTGATGAGCTTGCTTCCAACTCATACAACTGCATCTGCAAGTAGTCTATCCACAGGCCCACAAGATACAGATCGTTACTACGAGTTGCACACTGAGTGGCTGTTGATGGAGATTGTTTGGGACTCGAGATCGGAAGAGGAACTGCCTCTCCTAGCTCCTGCCGTAAGATTAATGTCGGCATCTATAAGCTCCGGCGCTAACTTACTTTAATATAGAACAAGTCTTATCTTGAGAATTCAGAAGCTTCCACCAGTCCCTTTCAATCGTTTTCAACCTCAAAGAGTACAACAACAAATGACAACCCCCACTGCAGGATGGTATAGATCCAATGTGCAAAGCAGGGCGCAGTGTAGGTGAATTCTCTTTTCAACCTCATTCTGATGCTTGAGGCAAATACAACGACTTAGGAGAAATATGCTGATGGAACGCGACCAAAGACATGAAAGATTCGAGATTGAAATGCTAGTGCGGCCGAGAATCGGCTTATACCTATCAGGAATGTCGGTATCTATAAACTCCGGCGCTAATATAGCACACAGAACCAGCCTCACCGTCAACTTCTTTTCAATCTTTCTCCATCCCAGGAAGAGATATCACAGAAGCTGGCCACCCATACCTGAGTTTCCGACGTTTAAGTGGCAGAAAGCGCATTGCAAGACAGGTAAGCTCTACTGTCAGGCTGTATTTGAGCCTGGAGGCAAGACAATAATACATGGGGAAGACTGACGCAGACAGTGAAGGACTTGAAATTGGAATATTGGTGGATGCCATAACGCTCGGACCACTTGTGCACTGGCCGGATCTAAACCTTAATTTGATCTCCATCGTCCATATTCGAACAAAGGCAACAACCTCAACAGTTCTTGAACAAGAATAAAACTGCTGAGAATGGAGAATAACTATATATTCCGATTAAAGCGGCTTCGCTCCGGACAGCTGGAGTGTCTCGAGGCACTTTGCCCCTCAAGTTCCCGCATCCTCGAAGCCCTGCCTCGATGTTTGGCGACGAGTAATATACTAGAACACCCCCAAGGAACAACAAGCTTCGGTATATCTGGCATGACTGAGAGGAGGAATGCCTGGAAACGTCTGATTCTAGGCTGCCTGTCATACAGCCGGCCAACGTTGAAGGACCACCAACAAGTGTTGGAACTGTCTATGCATGACTATATTTAGCAAAGAAACATGATTGCGATGTCATTTCAATGGTCGAATACCGAAGATACTGCTCCGTACTTTTACATTATCTGGTGAAGTTTCATCAAGGCTCAAGCGAGAAGTAGTTACCCGCTTTCATACTTCGAATTGGACAAGTCACGTGTCTCACTACTTTTGATCCACGAGCTGCTTCTTTGAATGCTCTGCTTTCGTGCAATTGAGATGAAACAGCAAGCGCTACTCATCTGTTGGATTGATCTGAAAGAATTAGATGTTGTGTAAGCTCAGCCATACATCTATTCGAAGATCATCATGGTGTGTAACCTCACCCAAGTATGATCCCGCAATTGCAGGGGCGCTGCAAGCGGCCGTTGTTGCAGAACGCCATGTTGGAGGATCCCGAGATAAAGAAGCTGCCTTATCATTGCAAACAGAAGACTTGGCTACCCAACGTTGACTGAATGATAACCCTCTGCAGGACTGGGGTCTACATGTCCTGCAGATTTTGGGTAGGGGTTGGCTGCAATCTGGCCTTGGACAGCCACTTGGCTGGGCGACGAACAGATTGTTTCACGTATCAAAAGAAAGATCATGGATCTTGGCGCGAAAATTTCTTTTTAGAACCAACACTGAACGTTGGAGCAGTCCTCGTGGCCTGAAGCCAATCTTTGTATCTTGTTGTATCTTGTTCGGATGGCTGTCTCTTCAGCTTATAAGGTCTCGCTTGTCTCTACGTGATGATTGGTGATTTCGTGACCGCCGCTATGCAGATCGAGCTAGGTTCTGTCCTATAATGGATTCTAGGGAGAGTGATTAGGTTCGGCTCTCTAGTGATTAGCTCCAGAGCTCTGGTGATTGCGCTAGTGAGGCTCCATTCCAACGTCTATATATACTCCCGGTTCTCACCTGTCAACAAGCTTTTTCTCCATCCGAAAACACCACACTTTCTTCCGATTTCCCCTTCTGATCTTCGATCTTCAGTCGCCTACTCTCAACGTTCGCGCTTCCAACTTCTATTACACAATCAAAATACCCTCATCGCACTTCGCCATGCGTTTCGTCTCTATCCTTGTCGCCCTGTTCGGGCTGATTGTTACGGCCGCAGCTATCAAGGACATGATCCCAACCCTGACGTAAGTACTTCATCCATCCACCGTGCGCTTCTTTTCCTCGTAAAAGCTTGACTGATCTTGCGCAGCGAATCCACCACCTTGACCATCATCTCCTGTGGCCCTAGCGCGACCAACTGCGCTGGTTCCGCCGGTGTGATTGTCATCGATACCTTCACGACCACCGAATGTTCAACCACTTCAATCCCGACCCCGCCCTCTGTCATCTCTGTCTCTACAGTAAGATCTTTCCTCTGCGAATCCCCTTTCTCTCCTCCACCACATTGATAACCCGATTTTAACGTTTTTGGAAACAGACTTCCTCCACTCCGATTCACCTGACCGACACCACCTCAATGTCCTCCTCGACCGTCCCGACTGAATCCACATCATATGTCGCTACTACGTCTGGTACATCGAGCTTCACGACCGTCACCGCTTCCCCACAATTTCCGAACTCGTCTCCAACATCTGCCAACTCGTCAGTTACTGAAACTACGACCAGTACTGGTAGCTTGTCAAACTCCGAGACCAGTTCGACCATCCACATTACTCCGACCGCATCTGCCCCAAAGCAGACTAGCGCGAGCGATGGCAAGCGAGTTGCGGTTTCTGGTGTTTTTCTGGGCTCGGTAACTTTGGTGGCTGTTATGTTCGGATGATCTTTCGGACATTCAAACTTACTTGGTGCTAATGCTTGAGATGCGGGAGAATGGGTTCGTTGCGGCATTAAAAATGCTCGCCAAAAAATGAATTCCACAAATAAACTTTCTTGTTCTTGTGCTTTGTGACCCTGATTTGTGATTCCTATGTTTCGAACTCTTAATCTTAATTTTAGTATTTTCTTGAATTTTTGAATTTTTTTCGCTATTTCTCTCCTAGCATATCCAGATAAGCTGGCTGTACTTTAGTAGAAAAGAATAGGAAAAAGAAAGAAGTTCAAATTTGTGATTTTAAATCTCTGAACATACGCTATACTTTGAGGAAGAGATAACTCAAAACAAGAAATATACTACTTGTGCTTTTCTTATGTGCGTAACGTATTTAGATACAATAGCAAAACTTCCTAATTTTGAAGTATATTTTTCTATACTCACAAACTACTATACTAAGCTGTACTTTCAGAATAGGGCATTCTAGAACGAGAACTTTCACACTTATGATACTTTCATGTACTCAAATTCAATGCATTCTATCAAAGCTATCTGGACGAATTCAACACCCAAGTCTCCTATTCATCTGTCCTACCGTATCAGCCAATCTATCAAAAGCATACTGTTGTCTGAAGTCCTTCTCAATTCCTCTCTTTGCATCCTCAAGCCGAAATCTGTCTTCAAATCTACCGAGACTGCTCTGGACACCTTTTATCCCATCACGCAATCCCTCCGTACCAGGACAAGCCCCTCTTCGAAGAGGATCTCTTCTTTCTGAAAGATGAGGCTGATGCCAAGGCATACCGTGGCTGTATTCGTAGCCCTCGTATGAATCCTCCTTGTAGTGAAACTCTCCACCGTATCCAAATCCACCCCGTCGTTCTCCAAGCAGAGGTCTCCTGGCTGGTGTTGGCAATGGTTGAGCTTCTTGTCTGCCAAGTGCCATTCCTCGTCCAAAGATCTCGATGTCGTCGAATCGGTCCTCGAGTGCTTTCTTGCCTCTATCTTTCTGGTTCCAGTCACCTCGACCTCTATCCCAGTCAAAGCCATCCTGCTCCCTACTATATCGTCCATACTCCCTCTCCCTGTTATCACGATCTCCCCAACCAAAGCTTTCCTTCTCTTTCTTGGCTTTCTCTTCCTCCCTAGCCTCCTTAAAAGCCTCCGCCCTCGCCTTAGCAACCGCAACCGTATCCCCCATCTCCCTCTCCCTCTTCATCTCCTCAACCTCCTTCCTCAAACCCCCAACCTCCTTCTTCCACTCGCCACCCGCTCCACCACCATCCTTCTCCCCCTTCTCCCCCACCTTAATCCTCTCCCTCAAACTCTCCATCATCAGCCCCTGAAACGCATCATCCCGCCTCCACTGCCTCTCCCGAAACCGCTCCAACTCACCCCACTCCCTCCCCTGCCTCTCCTCCACCACCTTCCTCTCCCTCTCTTCCTTCGCTACTCGTTCTCTCTCTCTATACCGCGACAATTCGAGCGATTGCTCGAACGAGGTGTAGTCGTTGTAATTCCAGATGGCGATTTGGCCGTGATTCGTCGGTGGGGGAAGAGGAGGGACGGGGAAACCGTAGGCGTGGACAGGAACGTAGGGGATCATTTCCTGTTTCTTGGGTTTGGGCTTGGGTTTCTGCTTTGGTTTGCTGAGGAAGAACGTCGGTTTTGGGGTTGGGTTTGAAGGAGGAGGAGGAGGAGGAGGGGGGAAGTGGACGTGATGGGGTAATTTCGAAGTCCGGTTTCCGGGCTGGGATTGGAAGGGACAGATGATTTTTGCTGGAGGCTGAGGCTTTGGATGTTTCCTGGGAGGTTTTTTGGTGCCGAGGAAACACATGGTGGTGGGCTGGAGGGGAGGATGGGTGAGGTTGATATTGGGGCTTGGGTGGGGACATTTTGAAGGGGTGGGATAAGGTGAGAGTACAAGGGTGGAGAGAGAGGGAGAAAGGAGGATGAGATGATGCGGGTTTTGGAAAGGGGTGGGACTGGGGCTGGAGAAGACCGAGATGCGAGGAAAAGTGGTAAAGACACGGCTTCGTGCAGCGGAACTCATTGGTGGACAGGGTTGTGGAACTGCTCTTGCATTAAGACCAAAGAGAATGCGTGGAAAGATCATCGATGTCATTTTATTTCGTGAGAATCTATGTCTTAGATATCCAAGCTCCCATTCTATGGATTCCTCACCGTGGGCGCCTTTACTCCGCCAGGGTGATGTACAGATGCGCCGGTTTTGCAAAGGCAGGCTTATAATTTTGCTGCTGTTTTCTTTGTCTTCTTGGAATTGTTCTGCCATGCAAATTCCTGCGAGGCGTTAGTTGCTACCTCACCTATCAAAGCGTCCCCCAAGCAAACGGACACCTCACGTGGCATCCGCGTGATCTTTGCAAGGGAAGAAAGGAGCGTTGACTTACCAATTTCTGACCTGTTCCGGCTTCAATGATGACATTGACAACAACTGGAACACTGGCTTTGAAGCCTTCCTCTGTAGCTTTTGCCAATTCATCTGGAGTTCGTACCAAATATCCTTTGCCGCCACACATCTCAGCAATTTTCTCATACTCCACTTCCCACCCCAAACTACTACTTCTTAGTCCACCCTTCCCAGATTTTCCCGCTATTGTGAGCTTCTGCTTCTCCAACCAGTCATCACTACTCTCGCTATCCCCGTGATAAACGCCCGAATTGTTGATAACAAAAATCAGAATGTCCATGCCATACCTAGACATGGTCTCCACTTCTGCCAGTGAGAATCCGAACGCAGAATCGCCTTCCAAGCATACCACCTTTTTGTGGGAAGAAGAGGACTCGGACAGTCCTTCCGGACTGGGGAGATTGTAAGCACAATGTGCTGCAATGGCATATCCCAGCCCTACGCCCATTGTTGCATGTGTACCAGCATCGAGGCGGAGGCGTGGATGTGAGACAGGAAATATCGAGCGAGAGATATCCATTGTGTTCGCACCTTCCGATACGTAAACTATGTCTCCATCATTGAGAGGTGAGAGTTGATCAAGGGTGTCTTTGATGGTAGTGAACGTCTTTGCGTATGTCATAGGTATCTTTGAACTTTTGGCAGCCTGGCGGGCTTTTCCTTCATTCTTGGCTGCACTAGATCGAATGGTAGAGACATAAGGAGAAGATGTGCTATACGTCCAGCCTGATAAGGCAGTGATGAGCTGAGAGGCCACCAAGTTGATATCTCCAAGAATGGCGAGGGATGCATCACCAGTATTTCGACCTAGTTCTTCAGCAGAGATATCAACCTGGATAATTTTGACAGCGTGATTCCACTTTGGGGCTTCTCCATAATGTAATATCCAATTCAGTCTTCCACCTAGTAGAAGGACCACATCAGCTCCCTCCAAGGCTGTTGATCGAGCGGAAGCTGTGTTTGATGGGTGGGAATCCGGCAGAACACCTTTGCCCATAGGTGTGGGCAGGAATGGTATGTTGCTTTGATCTATCAATTTTCTGATAGTGACCTCGGCTTGAGCATATGCAGCTCCTTTCCCAACAATGACTAAAGGTGCTTTTGCAGACTTGAGAAGAATCGCAGCTTGTCTTATCCTGTCCGGATCTGCTGCTGGTTTAGATGGTAAAGGTACAATATGCGTGCTTTCCTCCTCTCCTACTTCCTGTATGACATCGGCTGGGAGATCCACAAATGATGTTCCCGCTCTGCCATACCACGAAGTTCGATATGCATTCGTAAGAGATTGAGGTATAGAGTCGAGGGAGGCTTGTATAGAAATCTTGGTGTGTGGTGCTAACAAACTGATGGCGTCCATCTCTTGAAAACCACCCTTCGTCACTAGATGTGTCTCGCTCGAACCTGCAAGTAGCAGTAGAGGGAAGGCGTTCGCAGAGGAATTGATGACGCCTGCCATAGCGTGGATAACACCAGGTCCTCCAACAACGAGACAGACTCCCGGCCTGCCAGTGAGATATCCATAAGCTGTGGCTGCATAGCTTGCTGCTTGTTCGTTCCTGAATGCAATGAATCTGATTCCCAAAGCAATTGCTTCTTCTGCAATTTGGACAACGGGGATTCCAACAAGTCCGAAAATGACCTTGACACCCAGTTCATGGAGAGCTCGAGCAATTAAGACTGCTCCTGTTGGAGAAGGCATTGTCGTGGGTGATGTTTATTATTGAAGAACAGCTTCACAGAAAGAGCCGAGGTCAGACAAAAACCAAGAATGTCGTCGTCACTCTTGATAAGAGCTGATAGGCAGCACGAGACACAGGGTTTCTTACATCTGCATCACTGAAGCATTTGTGTATTTTCCTACCAATTGCAATGCGGATACAAAATAACTGCTGAGCTGTCAAAAGTTTGCAAAAGGTCTAAGCAACTGTTGATTTCCCCATTCGCTGGCGGGCCCGTCATGGCCGCTCGAATTCAACCGTCGCGAGTTGTGAAACAAATGTTGTTGATCCGCACACCTTACGACAATCACAATCACCTCCCTCGGCGCACACCAGATACAGATCATTGAATTAAACATGGCCTCAAAGACCTATTCCGATGATCCACACCTCTATCTCTATACGAGTCTGACCTCGGGATCCTCGCACATCGTCACCGCTACCTCGCGGATGGAGACCATCCTCAAGGCCAACCGGATCCCATTCAAAGCGCTCGATATCGCGACGGATGAAAAGGCACGCATGCTATGGGGAAGAAGAGCTGGAAAGGATGAATCTGGCAGACCCAGGAAAATACCGGGGCTGGTGCAGATGGGACTGGTCATAGGAGTGAGTTCTACCCGCCATCGTGGGGAACAACAGCTGATCAGGGCAGGATCTCGTCGAGGTTGAAGATTGGAACGAATACGGCGAGCTGAAGCAACATGTCAAGATCGTGGGAAACTCAAATATGACACCCGTACGAACACCAGCCGTTACTCCTTCGAGCACACCTTCCAAACCCGCGGTTCAGAAGGAGAATATCAAGCCGGAGTCCGCTGCGGCCTCGACCTCGAAAGAAACCGAGACACCCAAGTCTTCTGTCCCTGAAGCCACACCCATTACGTTGGCGCTACGTCAAGTAGGACAAGAAGCTGCGCAAAAAGCCAAAGATAATAAGAAGAAGCCGATGGAGACATTCTCGGGCGTGGGCAAGGCTGAACCAGCGAAAGACGAGAAGGCTGTACCCGCACCCATAACCACCGATTCAAGTGGCAATCACACAATCGATTCCCTTTCGTCCTTACAATCGCCGAACTCGACAGCTTGGAAGACTGCATCTACAAGCACATCCTTTGCCATTCCTCCCCCATCAATGGACAAGCTGGAGTCACTGCAGTCGCCCAATTCTACAACCTGGAAGTCTGCAGATACAAATCCACCTATTTTGTCTCATCGAGGATCAACAATTTCAGCAGCTTCAGATGATGAGATTAAGCAGATTGAGGAGGAAGAAGCTATTCCAGAGGAAAGCGAGGAGGATGACGATGACGACGAAAAATGATCACTTATCTTTCTTGGCGTTTATTGGCTGTTAATACCACGAACTTGACCATATGATGCACCATCACTTGCTTCGTGTGGCATGACGAGCTCTACTCGCTTGCATGTACCTTTGTCTCGGAGCCGCCTGCGTCTGTAAAGACCTCCTCACTTCGGTGATCTATTATATTCCCCAGTGGGATCCAACAACTTTCTTTGTTCCTCAAAATTGTTTCTGCCTTGATCGGCTCTTCCGCCTTAGCAGCACCTCGTTCTTTGACATTTGCACAAAAGAGTTTTTTCCAATCGGGGACCGGAACCAACCCCATAATTGGAGATCTGCCTCGGTCCCCAATATCTATACATCTCGGAAATCCATACCGTCTCCAATTGACTTATTTGATACCGGTAGAATTCGTGGCTATTCAAGATATTCTCCACAACACTGTATTGTTCATTTCCGTATTGTTTCGCCTCCTACATAAGGGGATTCCCTCGCACTCACAATGCGGGATGAGAACAAGTACAGCGCAGTTTGGGCACGATATTTGCATTTCTTCGATGTGTAAATCTTTACAATGCAACCCTTCACACTTGTGGCCTAAAATACCATTCACTTTGGAGTTAAGCAGGTGCTTAGGTAGTGTGTCACGTGCCATTAGCTTTGAATGAAAACAGTCCATTGCTTTCTTTGAGCACAGGGAACTGAAGCTTTTGGATGCAAACGGTTATCTCTTAATGTCAGAAAAACGGAAGTTTGAGAACTATTGTTATACTCTGGACAAAGGACGCTATTCTGGCCATTTAAGGATTGAGTTGTGCCGTCTTCGTGGATCCGTGGATCTTGTTTCAACCTTACTCTTCCATTGCTTGAAAGCGTCTTAGTTCTATCATTCAGGGCGTTATTGCCTCTCCCTCTCGCCATGTCGGGGGTAGATGCAGATTTTGCGCAGGCAAATCCTTTAGAAATTACTGTAGAAATACAATTCGTCGCTGCATTTCACCAATCCACTATTACACAAGTCGCAGCAAAGAATCTCAGCTACGATATCAGAGCTCGGGATCAGAAATGGAGCTTGCGCCACACTGTCGCGCCTGCCCCACCTCTCCCCTTCTTTACCCAGAACGACCAGAGAACTTGTCCAAACAGGGTTTATGTAGGTCAAATTTTGCCCTTGTTTTGTATTTATTCATCCCAAGAGCCGAAATCTTCGAGATCCTACTCGGAAGTTGCTCACCAAAGGAAACACTAACTGCTTGGATGAGCTCCACAGCTCTTAGATTTTCTGCCAAAGTGTATGCTGATTTGTCAATAGAACAGTTGGGGCACTCGCCGAACTAATCCTGATCGAAATCAGAGAATAATTCCCTATAACAGGCAACCTCTGGATATTGTGGGACAATTTCTTCATAACAATAATACACTGCAACCAGCGCCGATTTTTTCAGCCGACGCAAATATCGACAAAAATGTTAAGACAAATACCTGGTACAGATCCGCACCAGGCTGGAAAGTTACGAATGCTCCCCGGGTTACTGGAGTTGGGTCACAGAATATCACAAAATGGCTTCCTCGAATCGAGAGTGACATGGCAGAGGAGTGGGACTCCTATGGCCTAGAACTCATTTGTCCGATCTTCTCAAGCGATGATTCTGGCATGTTTACAATGCCACAATGGAGAGCAAGCCTTAAAGATGTTTTCGATAATCTCAATGCTCTTAAAGACGGAGACGACCAATTTAGGGCGGATGACAATGAAATTGGTGCCTTCATCACCAACCAGTGTGCACTACATGTAAACATTGTCGCACCGAACAACGAAGACGCTGTGAGGGTTCTCGCCAACCTTCTCATATTATACGAAGAAGAAATCGCGAGGATGCATCCGCCTTGCCGACGACCATACCATCCACTCAAGCGACACCACCCCGGTGCCAAATACCATGCCGAGAGCAATCGCCTCGGATTCGTGTTAGAACGAGTCCTTACCGGTAGTCCTGGGTCGAGGGCGCCAGCTGCCCAATACCAAGGCCCGCAGGCCCCAGTAACGTACGGTAATGTCGACGTCTCTTTTGCAAAAATAGCACGCAAAGCATCAATGCAGCAGATTCGTGATTCAGTTCGGTCAGGTACCAAAGTGGACTTTGCCCGCTTGATGAACTGGCCTTCCGATCAGAGCAACCCTTCGTACGCTTTCGGAAACGTTAACAGACAGATGAACTTTATAGGAAATGCCGATCGTGACGGCCAGCCGGCCCAAGATTTATATCCGAATTTCATCCAATTTCGACAAGCGAGAGGCTCCCTGGACGCCACAGATGTTGAACGTTGGGTAGAGTTTTGTTGCCGACTGGTATGGTTAGCAGGCTTGATAGCGGAGGACCCAGCAGAAGCGCTTCCATTTTCTCAATGGTTCGCCAGTGTTGCTGGCAACGGAGCAATACAGCGCAGCGGCAGTCGGCTGAGCATCCTTGATTTACTGAGCCGGATGAACTTCCCTGCTGATACTACTATGTACTGGAAAGAGCGTATCGCCAAGTTCGCGTGCTATACACCTGGTGATGCTGATGACAGAGTGGATGATGAATTGCCTCCAGCAGGTAAGTCTTAACTTCGGCGACCTACCCATCATTTCTTCCTTTCTCTTGAGTCGTGTACTGATCGTATTGCTCCGATTTATAGGCTACACGTATCCCTCCCAGGGACCAGGCGGAGCTGGAGGTGGTGGAGGCGGGGGAGACGGAGGCGCAGGTCCTCTTAGAGACCCTCCTGGGGATGACGAGGACGATGAAGATGATGACGGAGATAATGGGGACAATGCTAGCCCCAGCCGTAGAGTAAATATTAACCCAACCAGCAGAAAACGACCTGCGCCCCATCGGGGCGAGACTCCAGCGCAGAAGATACAACGGAAGGCAGATTGGAGAAGGGGAAGAGTTCGGACACCTAGTCCACCTCCGAGCCGGCCTCCAACCCCAGAAATTGCAGGTAGACGTTTACCACCCGGTGGAAGGGGAACGGCCCCAAAAGAGACTCCTATTAACAAGGATGCGCGACAAATAGCCATAGAGTTGAACCAGGCTGTGCGAAGAGCCCTGGCAGCTGAGCTAGAAGCTCAAAGACTGGCCCGTGAGGGGGTAGACGCAGCAGAGATAGAGCGTCGTAGACGTGAAGCGGAAGCAGCAACAGACAGAGAGCGTCTAAGACTTGCAGCAGCGGCGGCGGAAACGGAAGCAGAAGTAGAAGCGGCAAGAGAGATGAGGCGTCTCAGAGATGAAGCGAGAGTGGCGGAAGAGACAGAGCGTCTAAGACTTGCAGCGGAAGCGGCGGCAGAAGACCCAGAAGCAGCTGAAGAGACAGAGCGTTTGAGAGTTGCGGCAGCGGAAGCAGCAGTATCAACTCAACCTACCGATGTAAGACTAGAAGATGGCACACTCGTTTACATCCCGGACGATTTTTACAATGGAACCATGGGCTTGAATCCGGATGCCATAACCGAGGTCTCTGGTCTTCGAATACTTTGGGACGACCTAGGGGGGCCACCTAAAAAACCGACAGCCGGACAAGATGCTGCAGCACCTGCGTTGACGCTAAACCCAGGCGAAAGTGATACCAGTCTTAGAAGGCGATGTATCAGGGCAGCCATTCAACAGATAATTGACGCATTTGTCGCGAGCGAGAGAGCTGCAGCTGCTATTCAATCCGCCGCTGAAGCTGCTGCTGCCAGACAGGACCTCGAAGATGCGGCGTCAGAGAGGTCAGCGAGGCCAGATTTAGATCTACAAGTTCCCGCGGAAGGAATGATCGCACCGGTTGGAGTCATAGCCGAGGAAGAGGAAATGAGATTTGACGGGTTTAGTTGGCAAGTGGCCAACTTCAATCTGAACCGATGGAACATCCGGGACGTCAGTTCGAGGATAACAAACCGAGCTGGAACCGAGCGGCGCGGAGTTTGTGGTATTCGATCAGTTATTGAGGCGATGAGGCTTCAATACCCTGATGACCCGCTTGGTCAAATAACGCCGGTGGCTTTACTTGAACGCTTCACCGAGATGCGCAGAACTTCAGGCGAACGACCTAACGCGCTGATCACTGACGTTGAACTTAATCAGCTTTTGTTTGAGTGGACAGGAGGCCGGTACTCTGTTGTGGTTTACGATATGAATGCAGAGTTTCCTGAAGAGCTTCGAGCTGCGAGGCGAGTCGGGACTCCAGAAGAACAAGCACGGCAAAGTCGGAATCTGTTTCTGATATATGGACCGCATACGGATGGAGCAATTGGAAATGAGGGGGGGCATTGGCAGGCATTGCAGAGGAAGTAGTTCAGAAAATTCTTGTTTTACCAACAATCCAGACCCAGGGGTGGATCTGGACTGTCACAGGCAAAGGCCTTGTTGCGGTTTCTTTTCAAGGGATCATGTATACTTTATATTGGCGTTTGCGCGTAGATAGTAATATTGCTAGCTTATCTTAATATTATTTCATTTGGGTACAATTGATGGCTTTACGGAAGTGTCTTCATGTCTCGCCTAAGCCCCTGGCTGTGCCGTCAAGCTGGTAAATCAGCCAGTCAGTCAGTCAGCAGTCGAGGTTTTTCCCTAATTGATTAACTGATAAAAATGAAAGCATCTGATTAACTTACTAATATCGACTTATTAATCGCTAATCAGTCAAGAAACGTGACTTTCAACTAGTAAATATTTTTTATATTTTTATATAATTATTAAAAATAAAATTTATAAATTTTTATTATAATAAATTTAAAGTATATTTGCGTTGGTTTTATATTAATTTAATTTAAATATTACTCGGCGAAGGTTATTTAAAATAATTAGTAAATGTAAAAAAATATAGTTCTTTTTTTTAAATATACTAGAGAACCTCGACCTTTATATTGCATCGACTGGGTTCAGCAATCGTCTTGCACGTATTAGGTCTAAACTTCGAGGGGGTATCATTTTTGAGACCAACTCTGCTCACGAGCTTGAGTTCCCTGCAGGCACTCTCCATGCTATCTTTACGACCGTTGGCGGATTTCTTGCCGGTATCAATTATTCTACAGCAGAGTGCTTCTCTACTATGAGTCGAGTCCTAAAGGCTCACTTACCTATCTTCCACATATCTCCAGATCATATTTCCGAAGACATCCAAGCGTATAGCGGAACGCTTTCTTCAACTTTGCAAATAGAACTCCCGAGTGTATTATTCGATTCGCTTCAAAGCTGGGTGAATATACAACCTGCTCTACAAGAGCTTTTGGATTCTGACCGAGCTACATCGCTATTTCGAGTACAAGTAAAAGCATTAAACAAATATCTTGATACGTTCGGGCGAGGTAGTGGAAGCGCATTTCGATGCGGGTGTGGAGAGTTCGTGGACAATATTGGGGACCATGTCACTAGCTCACATAGGATACTGCGGGCCTCATGAAAATTATAATAAATTTTGGGGGGATATAATACGAAACGCTTCGAAGGAGCTTGGCTGATATGCCTGTGCGGAGAACACTTGATGCATCGAAGAAGTCGCTAAGAGATGAGGGAAGCAGTCCTCGAGAGCTTCTCCGTAGATGAAAAGTTGTCATATCACAACGAATAGAGCAGTGATATAAATTGCAATAACATAATTCACTAGAACGACTTTTCTGCAATTAAAAGGACTGGCTCCCCGCATAGACCACCCGGCAACTTATCTCCCTTGTGAGAAATAGGATTATGTCAATATCTTCTTGCCCATCTCAAGATCCTCTATCTCTTTCTGGAGTTGCTTTCGCTGGCGTTTTTGACGAGCATCCTCTCCCGCAATCTCCTCCAGCTGTTCCGAGGTCATCTTTCCAATGAATGACGGTGAGAAGAGCTTCAATGGCGTTGCTGGCCCAGATATCAAATGGTGCTCGACTCCTTGCATCTCTGGGCTTCGGAATGATCTGGTGTCGCGAAATGTAGCTCGTCACTGACAAGGCTCCTTTGAGTCATGTATCTTTTACCACTGCGTGCAACAGCGCCTGCAATTCAAGTCGTTATCTTCTGAAAGCAAAAAACTTCAATTCTCAGTACTGACCAGATACTTCAGTTCCTGGGTGGTTTGGTCCTGTCTCTGCAGAGTCAAAGGCTTCGGCTGCACAGTGTTAGCTCTGATTTGCTAGAAAATCTTATTCACGTACCAGATTTAATTTGCTCATGCGATGGTCGCCGACGCTTCAATGATTGCATGGGGTCTTTTTTAGGTGTTCTTGCGATGACTATACCCCGACTCAAACGGGTCGCTTTTCCCTTTCGACTGATCAAATCGCCTTCCTCTAATTCGTATTCTAACTGCCATTCATTGGCAAGCTTATCTAGCTGCAACGGCGATAGCATGACGGCAATTTTCTGTGCTTCTCTCAGTAATAACTATCGGCCGAGAGGTGAGAGAATTACCATTTCTTCAGTCTCGACGCTCCTCAACTTCAGCAAACTCCACAGAATGATTCAACAGCCAGTACTTGTTCATGCCCGACTTCCAAAGACCTTTCCGCGTCTTCGAGAGAATAGGATTGCTGCAGAATACGCAGAAAGGCTTCTGGAAGAATGATTCGTGTTCCGCATCCCGCACCTTTAAGTTGTTGAAATGATTGCGCCCTACAGAACCTCAGCGACGGACTCAGTACCACGCTCAGGCTAACTCGATTCGATTAGGTGGTGGCAGGGGACAGAATGGCACACTTAATTAAGCGAGTATAATGTGCCGGTTTGCCGTGCTCTCAAAAATTAAGATGTGGAGCATCTTTGCCTTCCCCTTTATCACTCTCTTCCATCATCCTTCCTCTCTCTCTCTCTCTCTCTACGCCTGTTAACTTGCGGAATATGGCTATACCAAAAGTAAACTTTTAGTACTAATTCCAATGCTTTTAAGTGCACTTTTATAGTGTAGAAGTTTATCAAACAGCTCATATACCGAGCTTTAAAGAACATTAAAAGACTCAGTTTTTTAAGCTCACAAAGGAGAGAGACTCAAAGCTTTGACTTTAAGTCACCAAGTGGTCCCAAGCTCATGTCAAGTGCTAACGGCATTGACACCAACCCCTGGCGAGTGGAGACTGGGTCCCTAGTAAGTGCTGACGGCCCCTGGCGAGTGGAGACTGGCTCCCTAGTAAGTGCTCTTAGCCTTAGTCAAAGGAGAAGACCATAAGACTAACCCTTTTTTAAGCCCATAACAAGGCATAATAATTAGTTCTTAAGGAAAAGAATGCTCTCGCTTATGGCCTTGGCAAATTTTTTCTCGCATTTACCCTGCAAAAAGTGGAATTTAAGGTTCCGCCCATACAAATTTGGCACTTGTGCAATTGGAAAAATAGTATAATTTTGGTGAGCGTGGTCCTCAGTACCACGCGGCGTGGTACTGAGTCCGTCGCTGAGGTTTTGTAGGGGCGAAGTTTTCCGGCTGGATCAGGACTTGATGCAAAATAGGCAAAATCGCAACTTGGTGACGGGCACTGTATTGCAGATTTTGAGACACAAACCATCTTCTGGGCCAGAAAGTGTTTACACTTTGAGGAGGAAGAATGGTAGAGCAGGTGGCGGCCGCGCCGACGAATATGCCAACAAATGCGTGACGAATGTGCCGACGAATGCGCCAACAAATGCGCCAACGAATGCGCCGACGAATAACGAACATGGGGACAAAAGTCCGTGCGTTCAGGCTGTAGAACCTCGAAATTAAAACTCTTCACATTAGGACTAAACTATCACAACTCCACCATTATGGATCCTTTTACCACTCCACCTATGTCTCCACGTCTCCCAGGTGCAGAGATCAGAACCAAGCACAAAGAGGGCATACGCCGGCTCTTCAAATTCGCTAAAATAGGCCTGCAACAGCTCCAGGGCTACTACCACCTAGGAGACAGCACAGTTAGGAAGATCCTACTATACGATGTGCCTGAAAGAGCGCGCCCTACACGCACAGGGAGACCCAGAGAATCCCTCAATGAACAGGAGGTTAGAGATATTATTGAGTATATTTGCACCGACCATGCAACTAGAGTGCTGAATTGGATCCAAATACACGATGAATTGCAACTCTCTTGCTCTGTCAAGACCCTCAAACGCCGCTGCAAAGAAGCTGGATACTACTCTTGTATCTGCTGCCAAAAGCCCTACCTCACTAAGACCCAAGCCAATGCGCGGTGGCTGTGGGGGATAGCACACATGTTTTGGACTATTTGGGAATGGAGTCAGATACTGTACTCAGATGAGGTCACATTTCAAGTTGGAGGGAAGAAATGCAAGCAGAGGTGTATTAGGAATAAGAAGGAACGCTGTCATCCTGACTGCATTCAATTCCAAATGCATAGAGGTGGCACTATTCCTGTACACTTCTTTGGTGCTGTAGGCTACGGATACAAAAGTCCATTGATCAACATTCATGGAACTAGGAAGAGTGGGGCATTTACACAAACTGATTACCTTGCTCAAGTACTCAAGCCTTATATTCAGGATTTTTTAGCTGCTTTTGCGGCTGTTTTGGGGCCTGGGAAGACCCCTCAGTTCATGGAAGACGGCAACTCTGCTCACGGCCACAAGACTACTAGCAATATTTGTGCTACTTGGCGTACTTCTATGGGTATTACTCTATTCCCCCATCCTGCAGTTAGCCCTGATATGAATCCTATTGAGAAGTGCTGGAGGAGAATAAAACAAGCTCTCCATAGGCGCCTAAGGCAGCCAACAACTGAGGTTCAAATGGTTGTAGCAGTATTAGAAGAATGGGACAAAATTCCTCAGGAATGGATCAATGGGCTTATTGAGCAGCAGGACTTCTGGGTACACGACTTAATTAAGCGATGTGGCTGGTCTACAGCTAATTAATTAATAAAATTCATGATTCTGATGCCCTGAACGCACGGACTTTTGTCCCCATGTTCGTAAGCCCCAACTTCACGCCGATTATAATAGACCAACAATCCCATTCCAGAGTTCCCCTAAATATATCGTTTGACAGGCAAGCACACCACGATGACAATAATCTCCTTCACCAGTTCCTCTACAACGTATTACGCGATTCATTTGGGATTCGTGGCAGCGCCAATCATTTTCAGAGTCACAGTAAATCCAGTGAAGGCAAATGTTTCGTAATCCATCTACCCCACCCTTTCGAGCGTTTCTAACTCGGAACAGACAGATAGCATCATACATATCTCCATTCAACTAAATATGGCATTACCGTATACCAAAACTCTAGTCCTCCCGTTGAGGCATTCCCATTTCGTCGATATATTGTCTGAAACAGTTACTCAGCCTAGTTGCTCGTCACCATCGCTGCTAGCCGTCGGATTCTAAGCCCGTGTCAGCTGGATTTCCGGTTCCTCCGACATTGCCCGCGAACCATTCCCACGAATGAGCCTCCTGACTGAATCAAGCCTTTCCGGTAGGGTTGATGCGGTTGAAGCAGAGCTATCGGATTGGTACATCCTCCCAAAAAACGGTCGGCAATTTTGGGCAGGGCTGTTGCGTTGTCGCGGATGGCCTTGACCTTAGAATGTAATGGTCATTGATATCCACAAGATTCAGAATCTTGTCGGCTGATCACCTCTCTCCTGTTGTGAAGAGAGGCTCTTATATCTTCCATCGAGTTCGATGGCACAACATTCTCCCTTTGCCAAAGAAGCCAAGCTCTCATAGTTGGTCAACAGAGATCAACTTTCACATTTGTTGGCCTCATTCTTCACCATGTCCGTTGGCTGCGGGCTTTGAATTGGCGTACAACATGATCTTCGTGTTGTTCGGGGTCGCGACGTTCATCTATCAGCGCATCTTCAAGTTTCGGCCGGAGTCGGTTTCGAAGCGAGCACAGTTTGGATTCAATTTTTTTGCAAAATGGATGTTGCTTCGTCAGCCTCATATTGACCCTCTCTAGGGCAACCTCGCATGCCTGGACAGCTTTCTCAATCTTATCTTGCAGCTCATAGAGCTGTGCCAGCTTCCACATGGCATAGACGGAGTCAGGGTGTTCGTGCCCACGGGATTTTTCAAGCCTCTGAATTGTATCTAAGGTGAGTTTCTCTGCTTCGTCGAATCGACCTTGCCGGGCGTAGACTCGTGCAAGCTCGCCACAGCCCATCAAGACCCCCAGATGGTTGTCGCTGAGGCTCCGTTTACCCGCGGCTATTCCATCTACTAGCATGTATTCGGCCTCTTGGAGTAATCCCAGCTCAATATTGATTTTCGCTAGATTACAGAGCGCCCATAATGTCCAAGGATGTTCCTTGCCAAGCTGAAGCTTTCGCTCTTCGTAAACCTTGTGCATGGTTCCTCTAGCTTCATCCAGACGTTTAAGGTCTAGTAAGGCCATAGCAAGATTGTTCATTGTTGTCAGAGTTTCTAGATCCGTGGCTCCGAGCCTCTTTTCCCTGGAAAGGAGGACTTGCTGGTGAATCTCCATGCTCTCCTGGAATCTATGCCAAGACCCAAGCGTCACGCCCAAGTTATCCAAAGCCGTGAGTGTGTCGTCATGGTCTGAACCCAAGACTGCTTTCATCCGATCTGTGGTGAGTTGTTGCAAGTTGAGAGCCTCATGATATTGACCATGCAGCCAGTAAGACCGCCCCAGTTGATCCATGGCCAGAAGGGTTTCGCGATGTTCAGGACCGAAGACTTTGGATCGAGCCTCAACAACACGCTTTTGCAGAGTAATTGCCTCTTCCAAGCGCCCTAGACCCCAATACGTTCCCGCAAGACCTAACATCGCTATCATGGTTCTCTCATTTTCGTAGCCCAAAGTTTCGACCAACACGTCTTTCACCATTGACAAGTACACCGTGGCTTCTCCAAAGCGACCACGCTCGGCGTATACATAGCCACATTTCCCAGCATTGAGAGCTTGGTCGCGGATGATGAGTAATAACGTTTGCTGGAAGAATTTCGCGTAGGAGAGTTGAAGTCTTCCCAATCGGCTACGGTAATCGCTAATCCTGATTGGACATGCCGCAAGGCAGGCATCGAGATGAGGGAGCAGATCTTTCCTGAATTCTCCATGAATTTCTCCGGCATCGTCTGGTGGCAGTAGAATGGATTCGGTGAGCGTATTCAGTGCAATTTGTGCCCAGAGCGCTTTTTCCCTCTGATCGAGACGATCTCTAGCCCAGGTGTGTACCAAAGGGTGTAGTGAGAAGCTCGCGTCCTTACCATCGTAGCTGATGAGAGAGAGCGAGTATAGCTCGTGGAGTGCTCGTCTCACACGATATGGATGCAGTGTTTTTAAGTCTTGTCTGAGAAACTGTGGAAGTGTGGGTGGGGGTTGTAATCGCGTGATGATTGCGCCTAAAAGCCTTGAATGTGTAGGCCTGTTCGCTGAGGAGGCAAGTGCTCTGAGCCTGTTTTCTACTGCTCTCGTGAAGATGTCGACCCGAATATGTTCAAAATGGTAGAAGCCAACAATATTGAGGAGTTCCACGGCGTCCTGACTCACGACTGTACATTTAGCTTGGAGATAATTCATGGAAAAGTCGAAGGCGGAGTAGACAATATCGTCATCTTCGGGTGCAGCCATGGAATGCGGCCTTGCTCGGCGCCGACTTCGATAATGGTTGTAAAAATTCAGATAGTCTGTTAAGTCGCAGATCTTTCGAAAAATAGAAGTGCCAGCTTGAATCAAAGCCAGTGCAAGATATCCTAGGGTCCGGGTTATCTCGTTTCCGGCGGCTTCAGTTGACGCGTCCCACGGCCTGGGAACATCAGCCCGCTTGAGCAGAAGATGCAGAGCTTCTTGTTTCTTGAGTCCTTTAAGTTCGACACTTCCAGCAGTACCGTGACTCCGAAAGTCTGGGTTTCTAGTCGTTATGAGAATATGTCCTCTGTCACCCTCTGGAAACAAGCCTGCTAAGTCTAGGTCGGGATTGTCGGCGTTGTCAATAATAAGCAACCACGGTTCTTCTAGTTGCGAGAGCCAATATTTGCCAGCGCCTTCGGTGTCTCCCAATCCACCAATCTTCCCAATTCTAGCGAAGGAATTCTTCGCAGTCTCGACAGACGTTGCATGGATGGTGAAAACTGCCCAATATCTGCAATGTGTTCGATTAGCGTCCGATTAAGTCTTTGATGAGCAAGCAAACATTACTGCTCTTGATTGTCTCTTGCAAACTTGGAACAAAATTGCGTCTTTCCTGAGCCTCCCATCCCATAGACAACGAATTTTCTTTGCCGGTTAATTGACGAGGTGTTCTCTGGCGGAAATAGAGCATTGTGGAGAATGTGAGATATGTCTTCACGTCCAATGAAATCGGCAGCGGTCTCTTGAGGCGGAAAGAAATGTTTGCTGTGCGACCTCCTTGAAGCACTGTGGTCACAGGGGAATAGGCGGTCGTTGTGAATATCAAAAGCCAAACCCGCAAGCTCAAAAGCCTCATTCGATCGTGCTCGGGCGAGCGCTGCAAGTGCCACCTCCCATCGATGAGCAATGACTCTAGGCGCTTCACGACAATACCGTGTCAATGCTGCAATGATCGTCCTGTAGCTTGAAGAGTTCGTTTCTGAGAACTTTACCATACGTGAATGAGTGGCATCTATGCCAGACCGCTCTGTGTTGTCCAAAATAGGTGCTGCAGATGACTCTTCGACGATGAATCCTGACCGGTGTCCAAAACTAGTCTGGACCTCTTCCCAGAAGAAGAATATATGGAATTGCTTCATAAGCGGGGCGAACTGGTCTGTAATTATTTCCAAAGTCTCTGAGTTCCAGTTCAACGCGGTATTAAACTGGCCATCTGCTTGTATGGTGGTGCGAAGCTCCGAGCTCTGTGTTGATTCCAGTGCAAACCAACTGGCCGTATCTGTGCGATTATGTGGTGTTCCGAAGAAAAGTATCCCGTACGTCGAAACAAAGATAGTGTATAAATGGACCACCTGCGCAGACGTTCGACTTGCAGAGTAGGCCAGCGCTTTCTTGACCAATATCCCACCAAGACCATGACAGACGAAGATGATGGGTCGGTGGTCACAGCCCTCAATGCTTCGGTCAGCCTGCAAAGCAGCCACAAGAGTATGCGCATGCTTTTGGATCGTGTCGGCCCAGCCGGCGCTGTAGAATGAGGAAGCAGAAGCGTCGTAACCGAATGTTAACACTCGTGCCACTGGTATGGCCTCTGGGAGGAAGTTGCGAAGCCAGAGAATTCCCGTTTCAGCATCAGTCCAGGCTTCGATCATGTCTTCATTCAAGCCATGGACAGCAACGATACTATTGCAGTCGCAGTTAGTAATGTTTCGTTGGCAACTATCGCGTTGAAATCCTCTTACTCTACCGAAGCGTTTCGGTCTTCCCGATTAACTCTAGCTTGGTTGAACTCGACCGTATTAAGGTGAAGGAGACCTGAAGGCATCCTCAATAGTCTAAAGATCTGAATTAACCAGATGAATCGAACAACATCATCGACATCGAGGAAGAATGTTGTACAAAGAACGCGGTCAAAAGTCTGGGAAATTCAGGGGGGTTACAGGGCCTATAATTTCGCTAGCAAGCTTGTAATGTCTTAGTTTAGGCCCTATCATGTCTTCGCTTTCAGGGTAGCATGCCCTGTGAGTCTTCATATTGGTTCGCTTAAAATAATGCCCTGTAGTTTTACCGTGTCTTTCCCTGCTCAATGGTACGTGAGCTCACTGTAAATCGATGGGTCAGGGCGTTATTCTAGTGAGTTGATTGGATTAGGCCTTGTAAAATCCTTACAGGGCAGTCACAGGCCACAAGCCTATAACTCTCCTGTATTACCCAGACTTTTGACCGCGTTCTTCGTACTGCCCCGCAGCTGGGCAGTATTTTGAGTGGATAGACAACACCTGGGGTGTACGCCATTCTGGTTGGATGGCTCGTGCCGCCGCCAATTTTTTTGGCTTGCATGCACGTGTCGCATATAAGCGCTCGGCTGAAGGGCAAACTCATCCAATAAGCTTCTGCTCTCCTGTCTTTGTGGCTATGCAGCGCTTAAATTGTTAGCTGCGCGCACGGCTTCCTCCAGCTTGCAATTTTAGTTAAGAGCAATTCCCAGGCTCTTCAATCAGAGTACCGGCGCTGACACCTTGCTCCATGTGAAATAGGTGGCATGAACATCCAAAGCGTTTTCCTCATGGATTTACGTGACATATTCACGCAATTAGTCATGAAGCGGACCTTGATTTCCTTGTTTCTTGTGGCCTTTGCAACCCATATTATTTATTATGTTACAAAGAGATATCTCCAGCATCGCGTGAGTGGAGGAAGTCTCAACAAGTCATCGAGGATAGTTCACGCTAACAAATTACAGGCAGATGCTACTTTGGGTCGCCGCCATCGTTGCCAGCCGCCTCCGGAGCTGCCATACAGATGGCCTCTCGGACTTGACCGTATAAAGGAGCTCTGGGATTTGAATTCAGAAGGTCACCTTCTCGCCTTTTATGCTCAATTGCTAAAGACTACGAACCTCGCAACAACCTCTCCCAATACTTGTTGATCGGTCCACGAGCGTTTCATATTCTGCATCCGAGGAACGTTGAGTCCCTTCTGTCTACAAACTTCACAGGTAAACCGCCCTGTGATTGACTAAGACTTGTGGAAGCACTAATTTTTGATCGTTATCATACAGACTACGGCTTCGGAGTTCGACGAGATGTCTTCGCCCATTTATTGGGTAATGGTATTTTCGCCCAAGAGGGCCCGGCCTGGAAACACTCAAGAGAGCTCTTGCGAAAACAGTTTATTCGAACACAGTATCAGAATCTCGACCACTTCCGCGAGCACGTCGACAACCTCATAACACATCTGCCGGTTGATGGGGTCATCGATCTGCAGCCGCTCTTCTTCAACCTTACTTTGGACACGACAACTGCTTTGTTGTTGGGACGGTCAGTCTACAGCTTGAGAGCAGATATCGACCAGGACAACGAGAACAGATTATTTGCGGAGAGCTTCAGCATAGCACAGGAAGGGCTGGCCAAGCGGTTTCGCATCGCTCCATGGCATTTCTTTTACAATCCTCCGAAATTTCGGCGGGCTTGTTCCAACGTCCATCGTTTCGTGGAACGTTATATCCGGGAACGAAACTTGCAAAACGAGAAAAACGCTTTCGGAGAAGAATCATGTGGTTTTATCGACCAAGTCGCAAAGGAATCTGTGAGTAATGAAGACCTTCGCGATCAGCTCCTCAACATCTTGCTAGCTGGGAGAGATACGACGGCGTGTTGTTTATCCTGGACATTGTACGTCTTGACCTGAGATTATCTGTATATGCCGAACTGACATCTGCGTTTGTTACCGTGCAGTCGCCTTCTTGTCCGCCATCATCACATAATGGATCGCCTTGAAGAGAAATCTCCTCCGTCATGGGCGCATCAGAGCACCCCAGCCGGGAGCAAATTAGGAGAATGCCGTTTCTTGCTTGTGTTATCAAAGAAAGTAAGTAAAATTCAAACTCACTAGATGATACCACAGGCTGAAGGTTTTACCTTGCAGGTCTTCGCCTTTATTCACCCGTACCATTGAATAATCGCACAGCTACGAAAACCACCATCCTACCGACTGGTGGTGGGCCAGACGGACACAGTCCCATTCTAGTAAGAAGAGGCGAGCTGGTTGTGTTTTCGCAGTACGTCAACTCGCGGATGAGGAGTATCTTTGGGTCGGATGCAGATGACTTTCGACCCGAGAGGTGGGAAGGGTCCGGGCTCTCAGGTATTGGTTGGGCTTATTTTCCATTCAGCGGTGGGCCAAGGCAATGTCTTGGTGAAGACTTTGCCCTCATGGAAGTCTCTTATACTGTCGTGAGGCTGTTGCAGGCTTCTTCGCTCATCGCGTTGCCTTCAGGCGAGAAGATTGAGCCTGTCGGGGCGGAGAGACAACGACTTACTCTCGTCCTCTCAAGTGAGGATGGATGTAGGGTCAAAATTGAATGGCGGTGAATGACCCTATGAGCGTCATACGGACAGTAGCGACTACAAAGGGCATTTGAGCCGAAATTCGATGTACGTGTTATATCGATGACTTTGAAGCTTCACGTGAGGTTCAAATAGCATTGCAGAACCAACAAGATGAATGACACATTATAAACCATTTCGTCATTTCAAAGGCAATTTTAAGCGGACTCCTTTTGTATGTGATAATTGCTTGTACGGTAGGTACTTCGCATCGTAGCGAATTCACTAACGCCTCGCCGGGATCCCCGGCGGCCCGTGCCGCCTGACCATGATTAGGGCGACACAGCTTGTGAGGTGACGTACAGTGACAACCCTGTCATAAAAAACTTCGTAGGTTAACCAGAAACACCGTAACTAATTAACCTTATCAACTTTGTATGCTCTCCTGTCCCGATCGCCCAGTCGCTGAGTAGCGACCGTGTCGCCGTCAGGGAATGTGTTTCAGGATAAAAGGTCTAGCAATTGGCCAGCGTTTACTGGGGGCTGTGAGTGCTTTCCCACAAATCAAGTATCGTTAACTGCCGCCGTTCGCAACCTTCGGGCGCAGTTATATTAGTGATGGAACGAGGCGGTTATGTGCAAGGAGGCAGTGCTAGATTCGATTTTAAAAGCACCTTACTGCGCTGCTTGTTGCAGCACTTTAAAGTATCATTCTGCAGACATATTCTGTCAGTTGGAATTCGGTTGTCTCCACTCTTATTCGCTGGTTTAGGACTAGCTCAGGGGCTCTTTGTGCTGAAAGCCTTTCATGCCTATATAATCCTCACTCCTGTGCTCTCACTTAGATTCTTCAGACTTATCAATACTACTCTTTTCTGCCCACATTGTCCCTATGACATACGCACTATTCATCTGATATATTCGACAAAGATCGCTGATATCCATATCCAATATTCTATCATGGGGCTTGGAGACCCACAGCAAGTTTTTGGGGTTCAAGAGCTATATCGACCGGCCCGTGAACCAGCGGCGATTGAGTAAGTACACACTCATTCATGAGTCAATTTTCCAACTCTGACCTATCAATTCTACCCAGTATTGTCGCAGTGCACGGGCTTAATGGAGACGCGGTCAAAACGTGGACATCCGGGAATATCTGCTGGTTAAATCATCCTGATCTTCTACCGAAGTATCTAAAGCGAGCTCGAGTCCTAGCATGGGGATACAATGCGAACATCTCTTCCTTGACAGGAAAAACCACCAGTTCAGAGAGGATTTTGCAACATGCTCAAACACTTATAGCGCAATTACACGCCGATAGGGATGTAAGTGGCTCTACTCTCCAAACAGAACAGATAGCCCGAACATCTCTGGCAGAGTACCGCATACATGAAGACATCCGCTAAAAAGCTGGTAGCTTGAAGATGCGAATGACAGACCTATTATCTTCCTTTGCCACTCACTGGGTGGGATTATAGTAAAACGGGTAAGTCATTTGGTTCAATCCTCCCAATGGAGCTCGAGGCCTAAGAGCGGGCAACAAACGCTGCCCCATCTTAATCTCTCAATGTTGGCCATTTTCTAACTAGACATCATCACTAGGCCTTGGCATATTCTGCGAGCCGCCATGCTTCTAATATAGCACATCTGCACTCGATATATACCTGCACATTCGCCATACTCTTTTTCGGTACTCCGCATCATGGATCTAGTAAAGCACGTCTCCTTGGCAGCCTTCAAAAGCTTGCATCTCTCGCCATCCCAAAGGTTGCAGTGCAAATCGAATCGAGCTTAGTGAACGCTCTCGAAGAAGAGTCCGAGACACTCCAAAATATCACTGACCAATTTGCCCCACTAATGGCAAATTTTCGAATTTTCTTTTTCTGGGAACAGGAGAAGACGGATCTCAAATACGCCAAGGAATATATTGTGGACGAGTCGAGCGCAGCACCTATCTTGGACAACACAGAGAGATGTGGCATTGCGGCGGACCACAGAGGAATGTGTAAATTCGAAAGGAGCACCTCGCAAGGGTTTCGGACTGCTGTGGCGGCACTTCGGAGGTATGGTCAGGAAGCGCCACAGGTCATCAGGAGTAGATGGATCAAGACTACTGAGATGTTGATCGAAAATCGACGTCATGAGGCAATGGAGATGTTGAGAGGCATCCAGCCATTATCAGGTGATGCCTTTCCCCCGGAGATTGTGCATAGAATCGAAGACTCGTTTCAGCGCAAAGAAATTCTAGACCAGGCCGGTCGTCAAGAAAGGGTTACAGAGAATCATTAGTAACAAATAAATTTGTTCTAACCAGATATGACCTATTCCAAGTTCGCGTGATCCCCGCTTTGGTAGTTCCATCTAATACATTCAAGATGCTCCAATCGCTCCCTCACTCAGCCAATGATCCGTTCTCACCTCCAAAACCGTGCGACCACTGAGAAATGTATCCGTATCTGTTTTCCTGTATACCTGCGGTAGGAAGCCTACTCGCCTCTAGGCCGGACCGTGTTCCAGCGCGTGCGTACTGTGAGCCGAGCCCTGCCAGGGAACTTGCCAAAGATCCACTCCCAAGACTTGCCCTCTTTCTTGTATGCCAGCAAGCGCTGCTCGTCCAGGTCTGACCATCGGCCCTGCTTGCTCATGCTCGAACGGCCCTGCTCCGCCTCGCTAGAATCTTGATTGTCGCTGCTGGAGCCCGGATCGCCATCACTTGAATCGTCATCATCATCGCGGCTTCACGGCTCGACCTTCTCCGTTGCAGGAGCCCCAATGCCAACGAAGCAATTGGCTCTTCCTCCAGTTCAAGAACGACCGGCCCATCTACACATCGTAGGATCGCCGTATCACTTTTTGAACTTTGTCGAACAGCGCACCCGGATGGTCCCTATGCTCCGGTGAGGGAGGGTAGCAATGATGTCTTCCCACGAATAGCCATCGTTCCTCATCTAGAGCAGCGTTGCATCCTCTTCTGTTGTCCAGTTAACACGCCTTTTCTTAGGCTGCAACGGTGCTTGATGTATCTTGGAATGTGCAGCAGCGTCATGATTAATCGAAACCTTTGCTGGCGCCTCCTTGCTAGAATAAATGTCTAATGCTGCGGGATTAATCGGTAAATGAAGGTGTTCCGAGGTTGGCGGCAGTTTCAATTCAAGATCGTACGTTATATCATCCCCGATCTTGGTGCGTTTGAGGAAGCCTTGGAAGGGCTATTCTTGATACTCGGCAACTGGTGCCGCCTCTGTTGCCGCAGACGGACTCCGAGAAGTTCGCGAGGCATGTTGGTGGCTATTATCGACGAAAGTCGACCGACATCCGTTATTAGCCCGGGGATGCGCGCTGTCAATCTCAGGTCTGGTGGTCGACAGCGCCACAAGGGTGCGAGGCTGTCTGAGGCGGAGCTCTGGGGTATGCCTGCGGCAGATAGTTGGAGTCGCGGCAGGCGCTGCGCGTGGCTTTCGTCGCTTTGCAGGTCGTGGGTCCTCATCGCCAGCATCGCAGGTGTTATGATTGTAATGGGTGTTTACGGAATGGTGGCCGTCGCTGCTGATCTCTTTATGCGCGTCCTGGTGCCCCCGCTTCTCTCCCCGTTTCCCCGCCTCAGGCTCGCCGCTCAGCGCCGGGCCTTGTGGAGTAGAGTGTCACGACTCTCTCCTTACCCTGGTAAGGTCACGTGGGTTGGTATGGTGAATGAAGTAAGATAGGGCAATGATATTGTAGTTAGGAAACTTAATCAAGTTGAGCACGGAGTTTCTCCCCAGTGAGTGACAACTCGCCGCTATATAGGACCTCCGTTTCCTGGATCGTAGTGGATCGCTCGATCCC